CTAATCAGGACCCCGTGGTACTGTCTTAGAAGTACCTAAATAAGTAAGTAAATACATAATTTTCTAACTAAATAAGTATTATTAATATTAGTATTAAATGGTGGCCTACAAAACTGCACTGAAGACACCAGACACCACTGCCACCTCCCACACCTGATATATGCATCCCTTATTTACCCCTCCTTAATACACTTATTCCCACATTAATATTTTATTTAAAGAATACGCTTTAAGTTAAAAGGGGCGTATATGCCGCGACATAATATTAGTTATGACTAAAGACAAATTTGAAATATTAAATATAATAAGAGGGTGTGTCGAGTTGTTTGTTTACATGTGTGTGTGAGGTCAGCTGACTGGCACGGGGCTGTGGCCGCCTTGCTTCTCTCAGTGTTCTCCCGTGTCTCGTCTCTTCTTAACACACGCTAACACGTAAGCATATTAACTATTGAGTTTATCAGCAATTGGGGGTTATGATAATTGTTAATAATACGCCCTGGTGGCACATGTTCCGGTGTATTAACGAGGTAATATAATATTGTGGTGGGTGTGCCCAAGCGCTGGCCTTGGGCAGGGGTGGCTGAGTGATCCTGTAACTACCAGTATTATCTAGTCTGTATTTTAATATATATTATGCTACTTAAGGGGTGGTAAATGAGGAGGACAATGGGTGAGGTTGGCTTTTTCAATAGAGTATTACTTACTTTTGCGGGGATCTACACTATTGACACCCTTATTCAGACATCTACTTACCATATTCTTATCCATATATATATATATTTACTCACTATGCTATGCAAAAACTGCACTGTCAAATTGCATATACCTTGTGTCAACATCATAAAACCTATTCACCTATTTTTATTCAAACTGCTAACTTCACAATCAGTATAATTTTTCACTAAATGTCTCACTGATTAGAGAATGCAATTACAATACAGTAGTTATAATATATGATCATGAGGTAAGGAAGTAAGAAACTTGCAGGTGGTGCGTGCATTGTATTTAACCGGTAAACTTTATATCCTCTACTAGGATTTTGGGTAATAAGTTGTCCAGGAATAAATACTTGGGTTTTGGGTAATATTAGTAATTGGATTCTCTAAAATACTGAAGTTTGTTTTGACTGACTTCAATAGTGATGTAAGATACATGGTTACTCCAGTGTAAGCAACACTGCTGTCATGCATTACAACACGTAATACAGCACCTTTCGATTATTGGATATTTCTAAACTAAACATTCGGGTACCTACAACCACTTGTATATAATGAGAAATTTTTTACCGCAGGCATACTTAATCATACATCTTAAACTTGGCAAATGTGGAAAGAATATTTTATAGGTTCACAAATGGGTTATTGTTTACAATTTCTCAATTGTTGGGGACAGGAAGCCTATTAGACATATCTAGGTCCTCCTGAAGCAAATGACTGACCTTACCCAGGATGCAACTCTTATCATTTGCCAAAGATTTGGCTACCAATTTACTGGTAGCTGAACAAATGCATCAGATGTAAGGAAACTTGTCCAAACACATTGCACATTGTCTTGGCTGAAATCAAACCCAGGATCATTTATTTTTATTTTTTATTTTTTTATATACACAGTCCCTTGGGTTACTGTACTATTTGGATGCATACTAATGGGTTACTGCTGTATTTGGATATAGAATAACAATGCAGCCTGATGTGCATTTGGCCTGAAAGAATATAAGCACATGTGATAAACAGTATGTCCTTTGTTGCTATGTTTGATTTTTACTTCATGAGTGTGTGATGGGTTATTTATTATAGTGTATAGCATGTATAGCTATATAGTGGCATAGCCATGGCAGCTGCCAGGTTCTGTGTACTATACTATTGAAAATGACACGCCTAATTTTTTTATTTTTTTTATTTTTTTTTTTATAATTTATGTAATTTTATTTTATATAAAAATGTATATACAGTATAATATATATATATATAATATAATATATAAATATATATACATATATATTATGTATATAATTTATCATTTTTAATAATTTTGTAAAGCATCACTGAAAACCCCCCACATACAGCCGTCACATACCATATCATCAATGTCACATGCCACCAGTGTCACATACCACCAGTGTCGCATACCACCAGTGTCGCATAACACCATCAGTGTTACATGCCATCAATGTTACATGCCATCAATGTCACATGCCATCAATGTCACATGCCACCATCAGTGTCACATGCCACCATCAGTGTCACATGCCACCATCAGTGTCACATGCCACCATCAGTGTCACATGCCACCATCAGTGTCACATGCCACCATCAGTGTCACGTGCCACCATCAGTGTCACATGCCACCATCAGTGTCACATGCCACCATCAGTGTCACGTGCCACCATCAGTGTCACATGCCACCATCAGTGTCACATGCCACCATCAGTGTCACATGCCACCACCGTTGTTACATGCGACCACCAGTATCACACACTACTGTCACATGCCACCATCAGTGTCACATGCCACCACCAGTATCACACACTACTGTCACATGCCACCATCAGTGTCACATGCCACCACCAGTATCACACACTACTGTCACATGCCACCATCAGTATCACATGCCACCACCAGTGTCACATACCATCAGTGTCACACATGCCACTGTCACATACCATCAGTGTCACACATGCCACTGTCACATACCATAAGTGTGTCATACCATCAGTGTCACATACCACCACATACCACTACTGATTCATGCCTCCACCACATATCACCTAATCTCAAAACAAACCCATTAAACTTAAAATGAAGCCACTCTAACCTTGAAACAAACCAAATAAACCTTAAAACATTTCAAACAAATTTCAGAATATACCAATCATAAAAATAAACTAAATAATCCTCAAACAAAACACAAACCAAAAACAAACCAAACTACAAAACAAAATAAATCAAACAACTTGGACTGACTTGAAGAGCATGAAAGCAAAGCAACGGCCTTGCTTTGTGGAGAGTCGTTGTTCAATTTCTGATGGTCCAAGCAGTTTGGAGCAGTTTGGGACCTCTCCTTCATTCTGTACTCAGATCCCAGCTCCTTTTCCTCATATCCCTTCTAAGTGGTATGTAGTCATGCTGGCTTAGCACTTTCTTCTCATAATTACCTGATTGCAACCACTACATGTTACAACCACCACATGTTACAACCACCACATATCACAACCACCCATGTCATATCTACCTTTTATCCCAAGTTCTGTATAAACTTCAACCACAACCATAGCACCACAACCATAGCACCACTTCCACCACCATCATATAGCACCACCACCACAATCCACCACCTCACCACCACTTCTGAGAAAAGGCAGTGATTTCCCCTACACTTCCTCTCTCTCTCTCTCTCTCTTTCTCTTTCTTTCTCTTTCTCTTTCTTTCTCTTTCTCTCTCTTTCTCTCTTTCTCTTTCTTTCTCTTTCTCTCTTTCTCTTTCTCTTTCTCTTTTTCTCTTTCTCTCTTTCTCTCTTTCTCTTTTTCTCTCTTTTTCTCTCTTTTTCTCTCTTTTTCTCTTTCTCTCTTTTTCTCTTTTTCTCTTTCTCTCTTTTTCTCTCTTTTTCTCTTTCTCTCTTTTTCTCTTTTCCTCTCTTTTTCTCTTTTTCTCTCTTTTTCTCTCTTTCTTTTTCTCTCTCTCTTTCTCTCTCTTTCTCTCTTTTTCTCTCTTTTTCTCTTTCTCTCTTTCTCTCATTTCTCTCTCTTTCTTTCTTTCTTTCTTTCTTTCTTTCTTTCTTTCTTTCTTTCTTTCTTTCTTTCTTTCTTTCTTTCTTTCTTTCTTTCTTTCTTTTCCTCTTTCCCCCTTCCTCACTTACTCCCCTCTCCATTTATTTCCCCTATCCTTCTCTCTCCCCTCCATCCCTATCTCTCTCTCTCCCCCCTCCTTCACTTCCTCCCCCAACCGTTGATAATATTGATAGTTGTATTGGGATCGAGCTTATCTTTGTAACTAATCAGCTCGTGTGATCAGAATAGCTAGAGCAAATATGGACCTCTCCAACATGCAGCCAGTGCTTGTCCATTTGTCTGTGTGTGTGTGTATATGTGTGCAAGCTCCTGTGTAATTGTACAGTACATGAAATTCTGTTTATTTCATTGCTTGGGAGCCTTGGTATTTTATTTATTGCAGTGCTTGGAAGTTTTGGTGTTGGATATTTTCATTGAAATTTTTCTGTAGAAGTCAACAATTTCCATAGCAAGGCTAGAAAAGAAAAATGGGGTTTTGGCGCACTACCCGAAACTTCTTGCTGTGCTTGATTATTATATCTCTGTATCTCAGATTGCATGTATTTATCAAAACAAGTGAGTACTGTATATTATAGAACTACTGCTCTGTATGTATTTGTAATCTAATGCAGCTTGATAATCATTTTTACATATTGTATATGTAAAAAGGTAATGTGCTTGAAGTACACTCAAGCAGTCTCTGGAGACGTACTTTTCAATATATAAAAGTTTTAAGTCTATACATTGTCTTTAATTCATTATAGTATCCATATGAATTAAAGTTTAAAAGCTTTATATTTTGTATTTGTGTGAAGCTTTTTATTAATTAGTTTTGTTTTAAAATGATATAAAGTACTGTACAGTAAATTTATAAGAGTTATTTTTTATGTAGATTACTGTATTATATTATAATTTGCCTTTTCCTCGCTAGGCAAGTAGTTTTGTAGGAAATTCTTCATACATTAATACAGTATTCAGAAATTCTCTGTTGTTTAGTAGCTTTATATTGAGCTGATACAGTATCTAATAGGTGGGATACAAAATGCATATAAGTACAGTGGTACCTCTCCTAACGAATTTAATCCGTTTCCAGAGAGGTTCATAACCACAAAATTCGTAAACCGAAGCAAATTTTTCCATAACAGATAATGTAAATTGAATTAATCCATTCCACACTCCAAAAAGTATTAACTTCAAAGTAAATTTAATACTTAATTCACCCAAATCTTTAGTATATTCAAGTTATTGCTTACCTTTATTGATGACTCTTTTTGGCGTATGGAAAATGGCGAGGAGAGGGGAAGGAGAAAAGGTGTTAGTGTTTGGAAGGGGAGTCCCCTTCCATTATAACATCAGGCAGTGATGACTTCTCTGTGGTACTCTCTCTGTTTTGCAGGCATATCACTAGGACCTGGTTGTGGCTCTTGTCTTACTAAGAATCTATCTAAAGACACAATTGTCCCTACTTTTTAACACTTGTCTGTAGTGAGACCTCACATTGTCATTTAAAATGTCAATGCAACGGCCTGCTTCAGCTTTATCTGGGTGAGTTTATTCCACAAAACTTTGCAGTTTTTCCCATACTTAACACATTTTCTCAATGAGGAAGGGACATCCTCTACTGCCTCTACTCACAACTACTTTCTTAGGTTGAACCTTACCACTGACTTTCTTGAGATCAATGGCAAGATATATAATAATTACTTTTAAGTTCAAATACCCCCAAAATCTGAAAAAACACTAAAATTCCTTACAAAGAATTAAGGCACGATTGTCACTAGGCGAGAGGCACTGGTAAACTGAGGCGCGTAAACTTTGGTCATCATTTTTCAGCCATATTATTTTGATGTTTCATCTGTGTATTTCTGGTTATTTAAAAAAAATCTTAGTATAATAAAGGTAAGGTAAACTATAACTTGTACATACTATAGTACAAAATATGTGTGTGTATTATGTATGAAATCTATTTTGAAGTTAATATTTTTAGCTTTTCTTTCTGGGCGTTCCACAGCTGGAGTGTGGAACGGATTAATTGAATTTACATTATTTCTTATGGAAAAATTCCTTTCCAGTTACGAATTTTCAAGTTACGACCCGTCTCTGGGAACGGATTAAATTCATAAATGAAGGGGCCACTTTACAAGAACTAAATGTTGCTGCAAGCATTGTTGCAGGATCTCGAATACCATTCAGTCACAGGCATTATTTAGACGTGACATGTCATTCAACCACGTAACATTTCTTTTCATTCAGTCACATGACATTTGTTTTGGTCATGCAACCCTCTGTTCTCTCACAGGTTTTACCCTTTGCTTGGAAGGTATGGGATGTCTCGGCCGTTCTTTGAAGGGTATTCATGCAAGCTCTGTTCGCATTCTTGTCTGGGTCTTATGAGACTATTTGTGGGGATGTAGATAAATGCCACTCCCACTTTATCTTCTGTTACTCAAATGATTTCTATGACAAAGTACTATATGTGTAAGTGGTTTCTTCTTTTATAGTAATAGCTTTGTCTTATTTCTTTTGTTCAGCGATGTTACTTCCCCTCTTTCCCTTGTTTAATATACATGTATACAACTTTATTTTTACTGTATTACTTACGTTTTTTCTCAGGGCTGATACCTTCCTAGTCTATGAAACTGGTAAACAAGGTAATGATCATGTGTTTGTTTGGAACCCAATAGCTAAGATTTCACCTCTTATAAGTACAGTATTTCATAATTCCATGCTCAGAGTGGTGTGTGTAAGGTACAGCGTACATGCTATCTGATTCAGGAAACTACTAATATGCCACATTTGATGTTTCAGGGAGTGTGATTGCCTCAAAAATCATGGCCAGCACACAATCAACTGTAGTTGAGCCTATTCCTTATGGACCAGATCTCTACATTGGCCTGGTTCTCTCAATATCTTCATCCATATTTATAGGTGGTAGTTTCATCTTAAAGAAAAAGTCCTTATTGGCTCTAGGAAAATCTGGTGGTACGAGAGCAGGGGCTGGAGGCTATGGCTATCTCAGACACTGGCTCTGGTGGGCTGGTCTACTCTCCATGGGGTTTGGAGAAGCACTCAACTTTATAGCATATGCCTTTGCACCTGCAACTTTGGTCACACCTCTTGGGGCACTGTCTGTAATTGTTACAGCTCTCTTGTCTCAGTATTTCCTGGGAGAAGTCTTAAATGTGCTCGGAAAAGTAAGTCTTTTTTATTGTTATATGACGAGTATCTTATTAACTTTTATTTTTACAGAATCATCTCTTGTGCACAATTTTGTATATGCAGAAAATACGAATTCTCGAAGCTAAAGAATTTTTTGTAACCTGGTACAGTACTTAGATTTTTATTCTGGGTTAATTGATAAGAGCTTAGAATTACATGAATTTTGTTGGTTCTAATAGTAATACTTTAATTTTAGTTTATTTTCTATTACAGATTATTTGAGATTGTTGCAATGTTATTATGTATCTGACATTTTAGCAGTGCCAGAGACTTCATGTTCTTGGATTGTCTGCTTATTTATGAATGTCATTAACCCTTCAGCGGCTCGGCTAATTAAAAGTCCTATATCGTGATGCATATGACAAAAAATTGTTAAAAAACGATTGTAAAAAAATTGCAAATGGTGATTCGAACACAGGAGGTAATTGCAGATAGCAGCTGGAACTATATGAGGGCTAAGAGTCTTAGTTTCCCATTGTCGGGTACGGTAAGCCAGTTGCCTAACTCCCAGGTACAGTACCTGTTTACTGCTAGATGAACTAGCAGTGAAAGGAATTGACTCATCCTGCCAAGGAATCAAACCCAGGATCATTTATTTGTAAGCCAATTATGCCTATTAGTAGTATGCTATTTTGTCAGCAGTGCAGAGTTGGAGTTCTGTCTAGTGGAATAGCTTTACAAACATGAATTATTCCAGAAAGAAATGTTCAAATAGATTTTGTAAGGCTTTTGGAAAAGTGAAATATCTGAACAAATATTTACATTATTTAGGGTAAGTCTTTTACCTCCTGCAGCATTCTATGGTGCAGAAGGAGCACTCTCACCCATTTGCCTTGTGAGTGTGTGGGGGGGGGGGGGGGGAACTAGGTTCAATATCTGGGTGAGATAAGATTGTTGGGCACCATACCTACGTGATTCACCTCTTGTGTTCAAAGCAGTAATTGATAGTTTGATTGCGAAATGATTGATGGATCATGTTCTAGAGAACACAGGGTGCTGAATAGCAAAACTCATTCCAATACTTTATCCTTAATCCAATTTAAAAATAAAATGGCAACCTTGCACATGTGGACTGAGATGATGACCAAAATCCTAGAGCCAGAAGAGAAACTATGGCTGGTGTCCAGTGCCAAAGTATGAAAGATACGAAAGATGTCTAGAACCCCTCGTTGAAACAAAAGCCAATCTGCAGAGAACTGGAGTGTAGGCATACAGTTGAGTCAGAAAGAAGCGTGTGCAAGATTGCAAAATAAAATGCTATCAGTTTCTCAAAAGTTGTTGGAGTTCACATAATGGCACAGAGGAAGGCTGAAAACAAAGCTCAAGGTTGTACTGTAGCAGAACCTAGCCCAAATAACAGATCCAGAAATTTTAATGGGATAAAAGGCCAAGAAACCTCCAGAGGAAGTAGCCAAAGCATGAGTTTCCTCAAGGCAAAGGGAATCCACACATGACAAAACCTGAACCAGTAGCTATCAAAAAAAGCAGAAAAACCCACGCCGACTCTTGGGCTAAACCTTATTCAATGGAAACACTTCACAGGTAAAAAATTAGTAAACTGTTGAGGCGCTTGAAAACCCATCCAAAGAGGAGGCACTTTCTGAAGATATGTTAATAATGGGATTGCATATTGAGCCAAGAAAATTTTTGAAAGGGAAAGGCAGGCTGTCTAGATAACCCAAACTGAACTTAACCAAGTTAGACAAAGCGAAACCTGTAAATAGAATTTCAGCTCGTGAAATGGAAAATTGAAACTGCCATGCACAGTCAACATGTAATCTTTTTACTTCTGGTTAAGCCTAAATAAGGCAGAAAATAGAAGATTGAACAATTAAATTACAATAATGTGAAACTGTGTAATTTATCTGGGGCACAAGTGTGATTCCATCTCATTACTCCAAAAGGTTTTCTTATACTGTATAGGTTTTCTTTCTCTTATATGACTGAATGAGATGTGGTGCATCAGTAAGGTCAGTAGAAAAATAAAACAAGTGCCAAAAGGAAATTATTGAGACTTTTTGATGAGTTAGAGGAGAACTTGAAATATAAAAGTAAAATGAAATGTAGGAGAAAGAGTACTTGAGTTGGATTTGGATGACACATGCCATAAATAAAAGTTATAAGAAACTTATTTCTTTAGTATAAGTGATCCATTACAGGTAGGTTGTTCGCTGTGTTTACTAGGAGCTACAGTGGTGGTCATTCATGCTCCCAAAGAAACTGAAGTGAGAAGCATGGAAGATCTGGCAGCCAAGCTTGTTGATCCAGGTGAGAGAGCACAGATATACTGAAGGTGTGTATGTGAAGGATGGCAGTATGTCACATATGCACGTATTTAATAAGTCAATATTGACTGTAAGAAAGTGCGAGAACGGGTTGCACATCATAAATGTGCTCAAATTCATAAATAGTGAGAATGATTAATTGATTGGAAGGCATTTATTAATCTTCTCTTATCCATATTTGTATTCTTTTGAGTACCTTCACAACTTGATGGGTCAATACACTTTAAGAACTTTTCTGTTCATCTGTATTTTATCTCTAATGGATATGTCCATTACTGGTTAATATGTTAATTGTTAAACTAACCAGAATTATACAGTACCTTGTAATATAATTACATTAACTTTGCATAATTCCTCTTTGCTTAGTTTAGTCATTAGGTAAAGGTGCTCAGTTCATGAAGCAACCTTTAGTATGCTTTACATTGGTGTCTTGATTATCCAGATCACTTAGTTCAGGGGCCTTCCATTACAGTGAGATGTTTCTGTTTTCAACCATATCTTTACCAAAAATAATGTATTTTTATTAGTGCAAACCAATACAACCTCTAATAGCACACATTTGGATACCAAAATCACTTGAAAATTTTACATCTTTTTATACGGTATAAAAATAAACCTGGCTGAATTTGTTTATTATCACCCACAAATTCTAATCCAGATAATCATAGTACGAACCTCAGCTTTTGCCTTTTGTGCTTCTATTAAACTGAGTGAACACTTTAAAATTAGAGCAATTTTGCTTCTTGGAAAACTTGAAAATTCAGATTACAACTTCAGACTTTAGACAATTAAATCCCAGTGGTATCATGTGCAGAACCATCAGTGAGGGCTCAAATTTGCAATAGCACCAGACAAAACCAACCACTTATTATTCATAGCCCATACTAGGTGGCAGCACTGCTGCAAGGCAAGCGATGCCTATCAACAACCTTATATGCATCGTAACTATGCTCATGGTGGGTTGGCTGGCTGGCATTTTTAACTCACTTGGTGATATCACCTGATGATTATAGTGGCAATCTAATGGTTATAAATTCATTAACCTTGAAAATTCTGACAGGTCTTGTCCTAATTAGTTTGGATTACAGATGTTGCACTATTTTCATTTATTTATCTTTGTAAACTAATAAGGTGCTGTATATCACTTTACTTGCTGGCCCACAGCCTTATTGAAATACAATTTTTATTTATATTCCCTGATAGTCATTTCACTGCACAACAATTATATTTTTTGTATGGTTTACAAATTAGACTATTAGATCTTCCTATGAAAGAAGATCATTTTTGCATTACAGTTTTATGTTTCATGGTTGCCACAACACATTAATATTAGTACCCAGAATGCTTAACACATGTTCAGTGAATTAATGTATTTATTTTATTGTTGCAGTGTTTGTGGTGTATGTTGCGTTGGTCACAGCTGCAGCATTCGTATTGATATTTCACTTTGGACCTCGGTTTGGATCCCGCAATGTGGTGATTTATATTGCCATCTGCTCTCTGATTGGAGGCTTTTCAGTTCTCGGATGTAAAGCAATTGGCTTGGCTGTGAAAGTAAGATCAATTATTGAAGCTTCTTTTGCTTTTCTAATGTAAAATTATTTATCTGGAAATTAGTATTAATTTATCATTAGTTTAAAATCAAACTTTGTACAGTATTCCAAATTTTACTCTAAGATATATTTAATAATGCATTAATTAACCTTAGTTATGTTGCCATTCTTTAATCTAAGTGGATAAAGATGTAAGAGAAGCCTGAAATAAAGGATTAAAACAGATGTCATATTTTGGCAGAGGAGTTAAGAATCCAATAACAAATATTGACAGCAATAAAAGCCTTGAAGTGTGTCTGTAACTCAAATTTAAGTATATTTAAAATACAGCAGTGTTTTCTTTATACTGTATATACTGTTTACAAAAAATATAACTTCAAGAGCTACAAACTTTAAGAGACTTAAAATCCTTGATCAAATACCGTAGCTACTCCTACAAGTATATACCTGTATATGTAAGCACAAGCTGAAGAAAAAGATGCACAAATAAGTATAATTAAATACAAGTAATTAAAGATGAATGAATGTAAGTTCTTTCCAAGACTGTAGTATTAAATCTGAGAGAGGGTAACACACTACTTACTGGTAGACAGTTATGCATTGCAAATATCTTATAATTCAGTTATGTATCGTTTCTATTATACCGAACTCTCTGTACTTCCTTACACTTCCCGTGTCTCTTCTTTCTATGAATGAAGGATGTGCAAGGATTTACAAATTTTGTTACTAAATCTCTAAACTTTTTCATATACAGTATTGTACAGTATATAAGTTCAAAGTGTGAAGTCGAGGCTTCTTTGTTTATAAAATATTAAATTGTAGAGTTACATATCTTTCATGGAACATGCACAAGTACTAAATAATTAAATATTTCATAAATTTTCTCCATAGGAAACCATATCGGGTACAAATGAATTTAATAATTGGATCACATGGTTCTCATTGCTGGGTCTCATTATCTGTGTCAGCACGCAGATGAATTATTTAAATAAGGTGAGTTTATTGGATAATTAGTATTTTACCTCTCTTAAGCTCAGTCATGCAACATCTTGACAGGAAATATTTGTCTGAATTTTTGTTAACTAATTTAGCTTTATGTGTCAGTATATATTTTCTTACACTTAACTCTTAGATAACAGCTTATGTCATATTAAGTTTTTCACCATAGAAACTTAAAAGGGAAAAGTATACCAAACAGTGACATGGATCATTTCACTATGCAAACTGGCATATATGTGAAGGCTGATTGTATAAACTATTGTACCTGTAACAGGTCTAAATTTATAATTCGTGTAGATTTGGTCTACATAGATTAAGACTGACTGAATTCAGCAGCCAACTGTATAGTGTCATTTATAGCTTTTTAAAGACCAGGGCATAGTTTACATTAATATAGTGTTTTTAATGCTGCTTAAAATTTGTCCAGTGTTATATAGGAGGTTACAATATAATTTTGCCATTGTTTTCCAATTTTGCTTGCTAGCGACATTTAACCAGTTCTCTCATCTTCAGGCGTTACAATTCTTCTGAGCCAACATAAGTGTGTACGGTACTGTATATACTCAGAGTGCAGACATTAGGGTAGCAGTATTAATAACATAGCCCAAGTTAGATCATTATATAATCCAGTATATTTAGGGAAGTCACTTACCTGCAAATTGCAGTTGTGTTCTTGAATTGCCAGCAACTAAAGTTGGCGCTGTTGTGTGAATTTGGGTAAATGTGGACCATTTTTTTATCTAGTGAGTGATTACTGGCATAATTTCATGCGTGTTCTTCAAGCACACTAATCTTCAAATGCATCATGTATGTTTTATTATTGCTCATATAACAATTGAAATCATTATATCACAGTGTGGTAGAGGGCATTAATAATTGACAGACATTCTTCTGCTAAACTAAATTCTAATAAGTTTTTATCATTTTTATTTGTGTAATTTTAACAGTTATATGTTATTCTCAGGCACTGGACATTTTCAACACATCCCTGGTGACACCAATTTACTACGTTTTCTTTACGGCTTGTGTGATCCTGTCCTCTGCAATGCTGTTTAAGGAATGGAAAGGTCTGCCGACTAAAGATGTCATAGGCGTTTTGGCAGGATTTTTAACTGTTGTTATTGGCATCTTCATTCTACATGCATTTAAGTATGTTGTCACTCATTTGAGTTAAGATGTTCTAATGTCCAACATAATATTATATTTCATCAACCTGGGCACATTTGAGATGAACCCCCACCTCCTTGATAGCAGACGATAGCTTGACCACTGGCTGCCCACAATGTTGATAATTGGAAGGAGGCAAGCAGTGGCTTAACTACCGCTCAACTTGCCTTGTATTTCTTCCTGGATTTTTCGAATGGTAGCTAATAGTATTCCAACCCCATCTCCATAGCATATTATAGAACAGACATTGTTGTAATGTGGTAGAGCAGCCACCTAGTATCTAACAGCTATAAAGCTCATCTCCCTCAGGCTCCAGATGGATGAAATATATATTGTACACTATGTATATTTGTTACAGTGAAAACACACCAGTCATTCCACCTGCTTCTCCAACAATATACTCTTTCAGATTTATTTATTTAAATATTTACAAGAAAGTACACTGGGTTATTTTGTACAATTATGGCATATAAATGTGAGATATGATAGCCATTATACTATGATCTGTCTGTGGTTTGAGAGCACAAGTGAAGTGTGACAACAAACCCAGTAATGACCTATCGACATGATGTCCCTATATCGTATTTTGTGTTTTCTGTAGACATGTACTGATGCCAAAATCGGTCTCTTCCAAAGATTTGCTTAACTGGATGTTGCAAAATTAAGTGTGTACTGTATATCTGTATCCTTGGCATTTGATTTCATTGGGAACTCTAATTTTTTTTTTTTTTTTAAGGAATGGGACTATTAATATTTATTTCAGACATTGGCAATAAAAGCTTTGAATGAATAGCTGAAATACAGTATTTTCCAAAGAATTTCACATTTGCTGTGGCAAATCGCTCTATTCTCATTAGTGGAAATTTATTAATAAAACAATCTGAAATTACTAACTGAATCAAAATCTATGCGGACAGTGTTGGTCCACTTGATCTATTGATGTTGTTTTTGCAAGATGCTTCCACTTGCTTGAGCTGAGAAAAAGATGGTGTGAAAAGGAGTACAAACCAATGTAAGGGAAAAGAAATTAAATCAGAGAATGTAAATATAATTTTCATTGCATATACCATAAAGAGACTAGAAAATCAGACTACAGAACTAGGTGGCACTGTTGTACAATGCATGACAGGGGTGGAACTCTGCCTACATTACGCATGACAAGATTGGCACTAGTATTAGTGTAGCCAAAGAAAAGACTCATTAATAATTTACAAGTAAATTTTGAACTGAGCTTCAAGACAACTACTGTACTGAAAATTAAGGTAATTTTAAATATTTTGTTTGAAATTGTTTTAAGATAAGATTCAGTAACTTAAGATATTAAGTATTATATCTTACATAATGCTTGGTTTTAGGGACATGGATGTCTCATGGACGGGCATGTCATCAATGTTGACAGCCCAAGGTGCAGGAGAATCAAGACGGGGCAGCTCGGACCACACGGAATCGGCTAATGACATTAGCCAACTAGCAGACGAAGAAGAAGGACTAATCACATCGGAACCTCTCTCCTATGGATCCAATAAACGTGTTTATTAAAATAAGTCCTGAAATGTAGCTAGTGGCATACAATTAAATTTGCTGGTGGCTCAATTAGTGCTTTTGTACTGCTACTTGCAGTTTACATATGTAGTTTATATCAGTGATTGTATATGGACCAAAACAATTCATAATCTACAATTTTCATATTGAAAAGTATATACTGTATGCCTAAATAAGTCTGAGACTTAAATTATAAAAAAAGGTCCTGCACCGTGATTCTTACTTTTCAAGTGATGTTCATATGCTGAAAGATATAATCTCATGGTGTGTGATGTATGAGACTGTGGGCCACAGCTGTTCACTCATACAAAAATTTGATCTTGCGAGAATAGATAATAATAGTTGTTAATTATTTTATTCATGATTTTAATTTGTTTGATTGTAACGTTAATGTTGTTTTTTACACCCACACTCAAATTAGGACAGTAGCTGCAGGAATTTTGCAAAGCTTTTACCGGTAAGTTGCCGACTCCACACTTAAATGGAATATGTAATTTTGTTGGATATGTCTTTGTTATGAGCTCATTTATTGAACTAAATTGAAGTAGCTCACTGCTTAGCATACCAAAACAAAAGGTAAGTTTAAGTTATCATATTAGTCAGTGCAAAAAGGAACATAGTAAAAGAGACAATAAGTATAATGTTGAAAAATTTGAAAATTTATTATTGATTGATTGATTTTATTTGATTTATATATGACCAGGTGTACATTTATAATTGATTTTGTTAGTTTACAACCATTAGCTTACAGTCCACTTATTACAGGTGCATTACACAGTACAGTATAAAGGACCTATCCTGGTTCATGCTCATTCTGAACTGAATATAAAGGACATACAAGAGTGATTCCGATTTCGTAAGATTTAGGGTGCTCGGCAACAATAATTTTTTATACAATTGTCACTGTTGACCCGAGTCTTTATTCTCTGCAAAATTTCCCCCGTTTCATACATATTGCCTAACGTCAGCTGTATCAGAGCCATATGGATATTCCTTATAAAGACAGCATGGTCTGTGATAAGCAAATGCCTGACAAATGAGCTAATGTTGATGGGATAATGCATTTCTTTTAAAAAAAATATTCAGCTTTAAATTCTTTTCATAAGGCATCAATATTAAACCCTAGCAGCAGATCTCAATTCATATATGGGTGTATATCTTGATGAATTCCTCTATTCTCAACTTAGTTTGCATTGTGAAGGCATGTGTGGTTCTTTTGACAGATTTAAAATTGACATTAGAATATATAGCACAAAACAGTTCTACAAGAATTAATATTGCATTTATTATGATGGGGTCCTCATTGCTCCAGGTGCCTCAGAAAACTGAGTTATGAGTTAATTAAAATAAGAAAATTAAGTTAAAATACTTTCCTGTTTTGTTATGGAAATTTAATTACTTGGGAATTAATTCTTGTAGAATATAAAATATAGTTTTTATGCAACATTTGCCAAAGAGACATTTCAGTTTGGTGTAGCTATTATAAATGATGAATTGCCCTGAGCAACTCTAAAACTAAATTAAACATGTAGAATATCACTTGGGAGAATGTTATTTCAGTGGCAAGTTAATCTAGGTATTTACAGTTGATATACAGTATTTCAAATGTATATTAGGCACACAACTAGAGAGAAATGTGGGCTAAATGTATATTTTTCTAGGACTGTAAGACAATGAAGAGTTTATGATTGCTGTAGTATAAGTCTATATAACAGTGACCATTGATTTGCAGATGTGGACATTAGCATAAGTGTTAGGCTACTAACACTTATGCTAATTTGTGAAGGCTACCATTTTTTATTTTTATAATAAACTTGTTGTAATTATTATTTAAATAAGACTATCTTGATATTCATCTGTGTTTTAGTCTAGGTTTGCTAGTTAATGGATTTAGTTTTTGTTCATTAGTATGTTAAGACATCAGCAACATTTAAGGAAAGAAGTAAATAAATGATACTTGATAGTTTTGGTATTATATAAATAAGGTTTTTGTTGCTTGAATCAAGAATATGTTGAAAGGATGAGGGATTTTTTAGTAAAGGCATAAATTACAAGGAGGAAAATATACCTGTACTGTATATTCAGGAAAAGGTTATGAGCCTTCAAAGTAACTAATTTTCATATTCCAGTACAGTATGTGGAATACCATATGGTGGTGCTGTTGAGTAATTGTGGTAATAAAAAATCAAGAGAAAAAAGGGCCATCCATTCCCTCTCTTCCTTAGACATGCTTCCATTGGCTGTTGATACCAGTTAGTCTAGATAATATATATTTAGCAGGTAAATGTTACTTGTCACACATTAATAACAATGCTTCTTTATTCCTAAGATTTGTTTTTGCAGCGATATTCCTGCACAGGCCCTTAGCTTTTGGCTGGCCTGCTAAACCCTTAAGCTAAATACCTGCCATATTTTGTAGATAACTTCATATTTTCACACATTGGTAATTACATATACTGTATATACTGTATCTATTATACAAAAATTAATTTTCTTTTCTTCCTGATCCAAATTCTGGAAAGAAAACTAGTCTTTACAGAATGATCTCTCCAAATAATTGCTTTTTTGTTCAAATGATGAGATATTACAAGCATAGTATATTCTTATGTAAAATAGTTTTATGTTCATAGTATTAGTTTTTTCCTTCAAGAGTAATGCTGATAAATTAATAATGATTTTTTAAATATGCACTGTTCAATTTGTAAATACTGTATTAGTACTGAACAACAGATTTTTTACTTTCATGCACAAAGATAAATTAATTTTTTTTTTTTTAAATTCTGTGGGTTACACTGTTTTTTGGCAGAAATGAGTGTTATTTTTCCTCTTGAGTTTGATAAATCTTTGCAGTTTTATTTTACAGTTATGGTCTTCATACTAGCATATGTTAAGCAACCTGTCCTCAGACAAGTCCATTCCATCCAGCGATCAATCTCAAAGACACATTCATAAATTTTTACATGCTGTTCATTCAAAACAGGAATTTTCTCAAATATAAATTATTATGTATTAGCATATTGTTGACCAAACCACACACACACACTAGAAAGTGAATAGACGACACTTGTCTATTTACTCGCAGATATAAACACGATGCATAATTAGCTCTTACTTAAGACAATACGACTTTAATGATTTTGAATATATTATAAGGTAGAACGAGACAAGCTTTATTTGTTAAATACAATTACATCATCTACCTATTACATCATCTCAATTGAAACCGCAGTGGTTCGTTTCATGAGATGAGCCAAAACTCCAGGATTACTGTTTGCTGATGGAACAGTAAATTTATAATATATTTTTCTAACTTTGTAAATTATCATATGTGCACAAAATTAAGATGTCTTTTCAAATGGTGTGCATAAAGTGTCCTTGCTCAAAAACTAGAATTTTCTCAAGTAAGCATGCTACACATTGTGAGAAAAGATGAATCTACATAATGCAGTACGTAAGTCAGTTTAAAGAATTATACTAAATTTTTACCATCCGTGAATCTTTAACCATTCCAGGCCTACATTATGGCTTATGTTATAAGAAATTAATGTCATGTGATATTCTAGCATTTACAAAGATAATTTTGATGTTTGTACAGTAATATAATATTTGCAGTTTGCTCTCATTGCTTTGAAAATTAGAACATTGTTATTTTTTAAAGGAATTCATTCTTCCAGAATTGCTGTTATTTTTTAAAGGAATTCATTCTTCCAGAATTGCTTTTTTTTTTTTTAAATGAAGACAAGCTTTTCAACAACAGTTTTGGCTTTATTTGAAAGAAATTGGGCAGCTTTCAGCTATTCTTGATAATTTTAATTGTTTAATTTAAATTTAAGAAACTAAGTTTATTGAATGAAAGTAATTGGAAAGTTGCTTACATCTATGCTATATATGCCGCTTACACCGTGAAAAGTAATATTGGTGCCACATTTTGGTGGGAAAATTCAAATCTCAGAATCCCTTTTTTTTGTCACTAAAACTTCATTATTTTTATTCATTTTTTTATTTTTATGCAACATACTTTATTATGAAATGCTCTACATTATTTTTTTTTTATACAAAGACATAATGGCTTTTTAATGGAACCAAACAAATGAATGCAGAATACTATTAATTTAAATAGTATTGGGTTTTCATTTTTTGTATACCAGTCTTTTTATATATACAGTATAATAATTTTTATAATCTAGTATTTTAGAGTGAATTTGTAAAATATATATACAGTACAGTATATTTATTTGCACACTTAAGAGAGACGAAAAGCAAAATGCCCTTAAGCTTATTGGTACATCATTTTCTTTAATTATTAAGGCTTATATGGGGACATATACAGACATTAAATACTCAATTTTTAATATTTAACTTTATGAATGTAAGCTTCTTTGATTATATATATTGTATGACAATCATATTTTGCGAAGTTTGTAGTGTAAACATATTACTCTTTCAGTTTTCTAGTTTTTAACTTTGGTCAGTAATCAACTACATTATAATGACTTCCAATTTGTATTGGTAAATGTTAACCTATTTTCATTAATTTCAACACACACACATTCATTTGCACATCCTCAACCATTACTGTCCATCTGAAATGTTTTTTTTTTTTTTATGATCCTGTTCTTGTATTCTTGTGTAACATTTGTATCTGATTCTGTATTGTATTTTGTTTGTGCTCTATTGTTGTGTACCTGTGTGGCATATTTGCATCACTAGTATTCATTTCATGTACTTTACTAGAAGTATCCAAGAATGCGAATTTATTTATTTTTATTTATTTATATACAAGAAGATTTAGTGGTTGCTAAGGGGAAGGGGGGGGGGTACATATGCAAGTGAGTGAGTAGTACATTCTTGCAAAGCCACTAGCTTGTATAGCATTTTGGGATTGCTAAAACCAATTGCCTAGCTGGGCTATGTCTCCTGTAAAGTACATACATGATTATGTTGTTTATGTAATGTAACTATTATTTTAAGATGAGGTTTGCATTGATTGCCTTCAGTGACCTTTTTTGCTGTTGATGTGAGTAATATTTTATGCTCTTTTTCTGGGAGGACTTCCATCGATGGTTTTGAAAATGTGGCTCCCTGAACAGATGGCTCTCTACAGGTAGCTCCATGAACAGATGGCTCTCTACAGGTAACTCCATGAACAGATGGCTCTTTCTACAAGTAGCTCCCTGAACAGATGGCTCTCTTTACAAGTGGCTTCCTGAACAGGGAACGACCGATGGGACCCACCAGAAAGAGGCATTTCATTACACTCATTGTTAGATTTTTTTTTTCTTATAGTTCATACAATTTACACATTGAACTTTTGGCTATGTTAATATGTCTGTTTAGCACAGCTTAAGTTGTCAACATAGAAATTGTATACAAAAAACTGTTTGGCAAGCTGGCACAAGTGGTGCATTGATGGGATTGTTGATAGTTAAAGGCTGCTCATGGATTATTAGATGGTGCATCAATAAGTGAACACACTCCCCCTTTCTAAGCTCACCTTCATTGTTATGATAAGGCATTGTTTATGCCACAAGGCATAAACAGTGCCTTGTGGCATTGTTTATGTGGCAACATACTGCACTGCTGGTCTATGAGGCTTTGATTGATTTGATGTGGGTCATGTAAAGATGTTTTATGTTTTTTTTATATGATTTAAATGATTGTTCTGAATTAAAACACTGTAATAAGTACTCCATGCTCAATTTTTTGGTTGAAGAGTTTGTTTTTTATCTATTTTATATAAATAGAAAAACTGCCTCTGCTGATTTATGAAACAAATTACCAGGTACAGTACTGGAATATAATAGACCTGGGATTATTTAATTATTTCATGTGTAGGTTATATATATACACACACACACAGTACACATATACTGTATATTAGTAAGTTCGGTTGAGTATAAATAAAAGTTGCCTCGCGTGGTTCAATAGGCCTTCTGCAAATTTTCTTTATTTTATATCAGACAGGCATTTTGGTTTTCGAACACAACATAATGAAGTGACTTAATGAAAGCTTCATATTTAGATTAGCATGTTTAAAACACATTGGGTAACATGTATGCTTTGATTTCTATTTATTGGAAGAATAAATTGAAACTTATGTATGTCTGTCATTTAAATTTTGCCACATCTTATTACTGTATAGATATTCAGTAACACTGTAAGCTATTAAATCTTCTTTTTAAAATTAACCAAAACAAATGGATGTAATCCTGTAACTTTAAGTAGTTGTAATGTCTCACAATCATCCAGGAGTGAAGGGTTTTATTTTTGAACCAAAGGTCTTAGTATACATTCGGTCTTTATCTGTGAATGAGGTTCATTTTGGTTTTGAAAGTGTTTCCATTGTTACTGTTACATATTTGAAATGCTTGAATTGATGTTTGATATACCTGTATTTCACCTTGAGCTTAGAAATGTATATAATGCTGTAATTATTATCAAACATGCATTATTTGATAATTTGACTTTTGTCGTGGAAAGGTTGCACTAACGACAATTAAGTTTGACGAATAAATGAAATCCAGTATTCTGTTGTGGCCGGGGAGGCAGGCAAAAAGCAGTCTCGTTGGCCAAGCCAACTTAGTCTTCAGTAACTTTATCACGCATTGTGTATGGGTTCTTGATAGAATTCTGCTTGACAAGTTGCATTTTTTACAAAATGTTCTGCTGTGTGCAGAATTAGGTGATTAAGGCAGTTAGATAAAAGTGGGCTAATGTTGAAATAATAAGATACATTTTGTAATTATATGTTAAGGAAGAATATTTTTCATTTTATTTTTAATGTACTTTTATGCTAACCATTTAAAGGCATTATACATACATGGTTGAATACTAATAAGTGTGTATCACAGCAAGTGTCTACTTAGCACACAGTATTTCAATGCAATCCTGTGATAAATTAATAATAGCAAGGCATAAAAAAGAATGTATGTACACATACTTTTATAGTTGTATGTTGTACTTTTTCACCATTTATATTGTACTTCCACTGAATGTGTCAAAAACTGATAAGGGATTTCAATCCTTTGTATGTGCTGTTAAATCTGGTTATTGTTTTTAATAAACAATGTGATGCAACTAAGAACATTTAGTATTATTGAAACCCTTTATATTTTTTAAGTGCTGTTCTTTATCAGCTGTATGCATGTTTTATTGCTTTATATGCCAATAAGTTGCAGAAAGATAATGTTGCTGTTAGTAAAGTAAAATTCTACTACAAATGTTGATTATTCTCTGAACGAAGTAAATAAATTTAATAATTACATAAGTTAAATAAGTGTTATTTCCCAATGATATATGGCACAAGCCAAATTCAGAATATTCCAATTGGGTCTGGACTGTTCCTCTGATCAACATTATACAAAATTGTATCACAGAGTTACACAGCTGCTATGGGCTGCTTTCTGCACGCGCGTGTGTATTCACCTAGTTGTGCTTGCGGGGGTTGAGCTTTGCTCTTTCGGCCTGCCTCTCAACTGTCAATCAACTGTTTCTACTATATTTTTTTCCCACACCACAGACACACACACACACCCCCCAGGAAGCAGCCCGTGACAGCTGACTAACTCCCAGGTACCTATTTACTGCTAGGTAACAGGGGCATAGGGTGAAAGAAACTCTGCCCATCATTTCACGCTGGCGCCCAGGATCGAACCCGGGACCACAGGATCTCGTGTCCAGCGTGCTGTCCGCTCGGCCACCAGCTCCTCCCTGTGTGTGTGTGTGTACTCGCCTAATTGTGTCTGCAGGATCGAGCATTGACTCTTGGATCCCGCCTAATATGTGTGTGTGTATAGGGCCGGCCCCCACCCCCCCCAAAGGTGGGGGCCCTAACGTGTATGAATGCACTATGGCTGCCTGATCAACGACACAATGAATTATTATTATTATATCACCTTCGGATACTAAGAAAATTATCTAGTTTCAGCAGCCTTCAGCCGCCTACCTCGGCTGAAGGCACACGAGAAGCCCACAGACCCACCAACTCCCGGCATCTTTCGGTCAAGCCGGCGCCGGATACCGTCACCTCTCAGCCAAGCCGGCGCCGGACACCGTCACCTCTCAGCCAACCCGGCGCCGGACACCGTCACCTCTCAGCCAAGCCGGCGCCGGACACCGTCACCTCTCAACCAAGCCGGCGCCGGACACCGTCACCTCTCAGCCAAGCCAAGCCGGACACCGTCACCTCTCAGCCAAGCCGGCGCCGGACACCGTCACCTCTCAACCATGCCGGCGCCGGACACCGTCACCTCTCAACCAAGCCGGCGCCGGACACCGTCACCTCTCAACCAAGCCGGCGCCGGACACCGTCACCTCTCAACCAAGCCGGCGCCGGACACCGTCACCTCTCAGCCAACCCGGCGCCGGACACCGTCACCTCTCAACCAAGCCGGCGCCGGACACCGTCACCTCTCAGCCAAGCCGGCGCCGGACACCGTCACCTCTCAACCAAGCCGGCGCCGGACACCGTCACCTCTCAGCCAAGCCGGCGCCGGACACCGTCACCTCTCAGCCAAGCCGGCGCCGGACACCGTCACCTCTCAACCAAGCCGGCGCCGGACACCGTCACCTCTCAACCAAGCCGGCGCCGGACACCGTCACCTCTCAGCCAAGCCGGCGCCGGACACCGTCACCTCTCAGCCAAGCCGGCGCCGGACACCGTCACCTCTCAACCAAGCCGGCGCCGGACACCGTCACCTCTCAGCCAAGCCGGCGCCGGACACCGTCACCTCTCAGCCAAGCCAAGCCGGACACAGTCACCCTGCCGGGAGAACCAGCCAGAAAACGTTCAAAATCTACCAAGAATCCTGTGATTCAAGGCGATATGTGCGCCAGGCGTCGTAACAAATCCGGACCGTTGAATAGGAATGCCAAACATCAGTGTCATATCCAAAATCACGAAACAGAACGTGATCCAGCGGCTCCCAGGCGGAGGAGCTATAAGCATATCATTGTAATATGCTAAAATAATTGCATATACTCAATAAATAACTGGGAGTCCTCACACCTTTAGCCTATTTTTACAGTCTAGAACCAGATTGATGTCCAAAGAGAGCAGATAACAGTTGGCCAGAAGTAGCACTAGACAAAATAGAAGTAATTAAAGAATAAGTAAAATTAAAATACATTAAAGGTGTGTAATATGTTGTTATTGAAGGAGGTTGTGGAGATTTTGTTACCAACTGCAGTGTAATTAGTTTTCAACATATCACTATAGACTGAACTCCTGGAAATCTAGTAAAAGGCCAATATGTAGTTTAGATATTCAAGAAAAGGGAACTGACTCAAATCACTAAATTATAGATCAGTCTCTGTCATCTCATGTAAAATAATAGATAAAGAAAAAAGGGAACAAAAATAATGGAGCACTTTGCGACAGCATCACCCAAATAAGTCTAGAAAACGAATTATATATAGAATGCATCTAATACAATACAAATAAAAATCAAATAACAAATTCAAACCAATTTAATTTTTAAATTTGGCGCCAGTCGTGGCACAAACATGGCGACCCGTGTGAGGCCATATTTGTTGTTGGTGCCCACAGTCCTGAGGAGGCGGCTGCTGCAGCTGACCCTCACTAGGCCCTCTGACGTGTCTTGTGAGAGATTCATGATTCCACGGCCTTGAAGTGAGGTCATTTAGGGGCCATGACCTTAGCAGGAGTGAGTATCGGGGGGTCAGAGGTCAGGTAGGAGATATAATGACCCAGAGGAACATGGCATAACCCCCACTTCTCCCGCGGGGCAAACACCTGACCCCTGGGGGGGTCACACTTGGGGGTGATGGCTTGGAGGTCATGGTGGAGGATATTGACCCGGGGGTCATGGCTTCTGGCCTGGGTGATGATGGGGGGGGGGCTGGGTACCTGTAGTGACCCCATACATTGCCAAGTTTGACACACGGAGAGGGCCGTATGCCATTAAGGGTGTGACGCCAGGGGGGGGGGGGGTGTGACGCCAGTGGGGTGTGACGCCAGGGAGGATGTGACGCCAGGGAGGATGTGACGCCAGGGAGGGTGACGCCAGGGGGGGGGTGTGACGCCAGGGAGGGTGACACTAGGGGGGTGTGTGACGCCAGGGGATGTGTGACGCCAGGGGGTGTGTGACGCTGGGGAAGGTGTGACGCCAGGGAGGGTGACACCATGGAGGGTGTGACGCCAGGAGGTGTGACGCCAGGAGGGGTGACGCCAGGGAGGGTGTGACGCCAGGGGATGTGTGATGCCAGGGGGTGTGTGATGCCAGGAGGGGTGTGACACTAGGAAGGGTGTGACGCCAGGGAGGGTGTGACGCCAGGGAAGGGGTGACGCCAGGGAGGGTGGGACGCCAGGGAGGGGGTGACACCAAGGAGGGTGTGACGCCAGGGAGGGTGTGACGCCAGGGAGGGTGTGACGCCAGGGAGGGTGTGACGCCAGGGAGGGTGTGACACCAGTGTGGATCTGATGACAGCGTGTTCATAGGCTCAGTGTTGTTGCCAATTTAGGTGAATGAACACATGTTAATGTTTGCAGATGGCACAACACTAATGAGGAATGACAAAGTGGTTTAGGGTGAGTTTGTTAAGTTGCAAGAGTGGGCAGACAAATGGCTGTTTGATAACAAGTGTGAAGTAATGAAGATGACAGGAGACCTCAGGGAAGCCTCATCACATGGCAAGGCAAATTGAATACAAGTCATGTCGTATATAAGATGGTTTGCTGGCAGATTTTAAAATCTACCCAAGCAGACCTTACCCAAGCAAACCTTACCCAAGCAAACCTTGCCCAAGCGAACCTTAGCCGACCGAACCCAACTGAACCTGGCAGAATCTAACTGATCCGAACCTAAAAAACAAGTGTCTTTAGACAGATTCTTAGTAAGACAAGCAAGCAGTGAGCCACAATCAGGTCCTAGTGGTATGCCTGCAAAACATAGAGAGAGTACCCCAGAGAAGTCATCACTGCCTGATGTTATAATGGGAAGGGGCTCCCCTTCCAATCACTAACACCTCTCCTCCTCCCCCGACCCTCTCCTTCTCGTCACCGTCTTCCATTTGCCAATAAGTCATCAATAAAGCTAAGCTATAACTTGCACATACTATAGTAAGAAATGTGTGTATTATGTATGAAATGTATTTTGAAGTTAATATTTTTCAAAGTGGAACAGATTAATTCAATTTACATTATTTCTTATGGGAAAATTTGTTTCGGGTGCAAATTTTCGGCTTACGACCCATCTGGGAACGGATTCAATTTGAAAATGAAGGTATCACTGTACCTGTACTTCTAAAGTTGTTACTGCAATTTAATGCTAAAAGTACCACTTACAGCTTTCAATTTAAATTTATACTTTTCAATAATACGCTATCATGTTTTAAGTAATATTCAGATGACAAGCCCAGTGTTGATAATTCAAATTTCCACAATGTTAGGCAAGTACTCGTTAGAAAAGTAGGCAGAGATGTGTGAAAATATACAGTAATTATGAACGTACAAAAGACTTAAATGATAATATAATAATACTTTCTCTCAATTTCTTTACAGGTTCCAACGGAATCAAAATAATTTTTTTTTTTTTTTTTTTTTTTTTTTTTTTTTTTTTTAAAGATTTGTGAATGGGTCGGTGCCAATGTGCAAGCAACTGAGCCTGGTGTTGTATGTGAGGTGGCTATGTATGGCTGAAGCTCGAAGTGCTCTATGTCTGAAGATGGAGCACCATACTTGGAAACAAATAATTTGGAGGACCTATCCAGTCATCTTCTGTAATTTGTATTTTAATGTTAGGTGAAGTGATAACTTAATATTTTTCATATGTGGTTACACAAGGTAGCTAGACAGTACTGGAACTTTGATAGATGCAAGAGAACATGGAGAGTGAACAGAGCCTTCTGATTGCCAGTGCTGTGGACAGCTATGTGTGGGGTGAGAGAACCTGGGAAGGATCTCCTACTGGCCACCTTACTTCTCACAGCAGCAGGAACTTGCCACTCATATGCCGTCCCTGGCGACTGTGGCACAGAGCTACACTGTGTTTTGCAGGCTCGAGGAAAACTTCTTGGCGCCGATATATACTTGGTGCAGCGATTATCATCATTGTGGTGGTGATTTATTCACTTGGTGAATCATCTCATCGCTCATTGATGAGGTAAGCAGAGAAGCAGCTACAGTATTACCTTTTTTGAGCTCGAGTTGTTTTGTTTAACATTTTAGTTAGAATTGAAGAAACAATTATGTAGTGCTGTATTTAGAATGCTGTTTTGTGCATGAATCAATAGTATAACTTACAGGCATCATAGAGTAGGGCTGTGAAAGTTATTACTGTATTTAATTGTAGATAAACTTGTGACTAATGGCATAAAATGTGTATGGGAATATCACCATAAAAATTTGAACAATTTATCAATGTTTAGACTGCTCTTGAACATAATATATTCAAGATACTGTAATGGTATTCTCAAGTATTGTGAATTGTACCTATTTTACATAAAAAGGTTTCTAAATAAGTTTAATTTATAAGTGTTTTTGTTTATAGCAACAATGATTTGCCCGTCATTGATAATGCGTACGAAGATTATTCCTTATAATGCAACATGTTTAACTACAATATATTTTAGCTTCTGTGATGAAGTGTCCTGAATCACTAGTTATGAAACCCTGATTTATCTTTAGGGAAATATATTTAATTTTTTATCCTCATGCACATTGTATTTTTAGTACAGTAGTTAAAAGTACTCCATTGTAGTTATGGTAGTTCAAAATACCACATCAGTAGTCTCGCTGTTATTGTTTTGGAGTTTTTGTAATGTTTTTATTCTTTACAGCAAATCATTCGTAGATTGCAAGTTAAGGAATACTGAAATGGTAGTTTTCATAAATCAGCTCTTTAGTCTAGAGTGGCTGAAATTGTATGTATTTACAATATAACTGCTTGTGTTTACCTTATTCCTTTTAAGCATGTTGGCTTTAAATAAAAGTATTGGCAAATAGTAGCTTCCTTTGCTTGCAGGTTATTTTGAATGGGTGGTTATGATGTGTGTGTGGGACAATTTTGAACATGGGTTGTCATGCTTGTCGGGTGTTTTGAATGTAGGTTGTCATGTTTACTGTTTAAATGTTTGGTTGACATTCTTGTCTCTATATTCTAAAATTTCTTACTTATTCATAATAAAATAATTGTAAGCCTATAACTGAGGAAGTCTGAAGTAAATTAGATGTATAATTACCCATAGTATCACCTGATTGTTGCAGGTTGTTTACACACAAACTGTACATACAGTAATTATCAATTCTGGTTAAACCTGCATATAAATGCCCTGTTTTTGTGCATTTTGTGCATGCATGCATGCATGCATGCGTGTTTGTGTGTATCTGCATGTTTGTGATTTTCTATTTGTATATATGTGCACCATTCATGTTTAGCAATTTCTCAAATGTCAATGAATTTATTCAAAATTCTCAGTACAAAGTTTCCTCTGTTTAAGGCTGGAACACTCTTGATGGTTCTTTTGTCTAATGTGGCCTATACCTTTCAAATTATGTGGGCAGAAATACTTACTAGATATCATCTTTGCTAAATTTATTGGATTCACTGCCTTATTAACATCTGTTCTCAATTGTTATATACTGTATTTGGAACTAACATCTGCTCTTATATAATTATTTCTAACTTGCTCTTCTTTGATTCATAATTATTTCCTCTTCATGTTTGTTTGCATTGCATAACTTAGGCTTTGTTTCTACAGACAATTTTCTATTGTTATAAAATATACCTGTTGGCCTTGGGTGGTGAAAACACACAGGACTATGTACTCTTGTTTCCCATTGATAGATCCTTGAATTTTTTATATACAGTACTCCCTGTGTTATTTCACTCTTTCATCACCTGTACATTCTCTTCAATACCATTTTTCATTATTTTTCTTTCTTTATACAGTATGTCATATTTGTGTGCATATTTTGGCATTTAATTTATACTTCCTTCAGTGCCTGAATTTTTTTTTTTACACTGAAGAGTGTAGGAGCAAGAAGTAAAGTCTCTTTACCTATTATTTTCAAGCTAAAAGTTCTTCCTGTCACAACTCATTTTAAAGCCTCGATATGTTTTCCTCGCAACGTAATCTGCCAGTTGATTCTCGTCCAAATCCCCAATTACTGCAAGATGTTCAGAAGTGACCATATTGAAGGAATGGTTCTCAGATCATTTCACTTTGTCCTTGAATTGAACTTTGGACCCCTTGCTTATGAAGCAAGTTTGCAGAGGTTTTCGATTTAAATCCTGGGTTGGGTGGAATGATGTGGACACTGCTCTTTCACTCTACTTGCCCCTGAGCACTCAGTAGTGATGGGGGATTTAAATGTACAATATATTGATTAGGTCACTCTAAGTCGGAGTGCAGTATGTCATATTTGTGTGCATATTTTGGCATTTAATTTATACTTCCTTCAGTGCCTGAATTTTTTTTTTTACACTGAAGAGTGTAGGAGCAAGAAGTAAAGTCTCTTTACCTATTAGTCTCGTCCTTTAGATTTCTGCAGCTTCCCTATAATGATCCCTTCTCTCTCTCTGAACTTCGTTCTGCCCTGGCCCTCTGCGGTTCTACGGCGGCGGGCTCCGATGGTATTCATTATGAGATGCTTCGCCATCTCCCTCCGAGCACGTCTCAGTATTTACTGAGTCTGTATAATCGGATCTGGGAGTCGTCGTCAGTCCCTGAGGACTGGCTCGATGCCGTTGTCCTCCCTGTTCGCATCAGATCATCTTATGGAGAATCATGTATGATAAGGCTTCAGAAAGAGATATGGGAGGGAGAGCTGGAAGCCAGTTAAACTTCAGCTTCTGCTACTGTACCCATTAGTATTAAAAAAAGTCATTAAATACATACTGTAGATAGATTCTCCACAATTCAATTTCTCTTACCATTTTGTGAAGACATTTTGTTCTTGGATTGCTGTTCCAAATGGCACATTTTAAGTATGACTACTTTTACTAAATTCAGCTCTAGAGCTTGCATAAAATAATATACCTTTGTTTTGCAATGCAGACAAACTTCTGAAATTCTTAATTGAGGCTAATAATGTTCTTGTAGCTTAACACTTTGCAGTAGTTCTTCCTCATATATAACCTGTTTATTTAGCAAGTATATGTAGTTGATGACTGACGTGGCAGCAGCTTTGTTTTGTGTTCCAGCCTGGTACGTGGCCGCCCACCAGAGTCACTGTTTCGGTGCAACAACTTGGTCAACACTACTCTCCCTCATCTTCGCATTCCTCCAAAGACCATTGAGAATAGATTGCGTGAAGACCCCAAGGTGTTATTATTTACAGAGACACAGTACTCAAAAACTGGGAAAGCCATCACAAATATTCTTGTTGCAAATAGAATCAAGTGAGTATTGTATAAGTATAGTAAATTATTCTCTAATTAGTTTTTCTTTTCACCAATGTCACCTGATGATTTGAGATAACATTGTCAATTAGCAGTGTTTGATTGTTTATGGCTACAATTGCATTTTTATATCTACTGATCATCTGGTCTCCTATTATGGATGCTAAACTTTATTATGCATTCTATTTTTCAAGGTACAAAATGGAAGTTTTGGGCAAATCTCTACCTGTACTCACAAATCTGTCGAGAGGCAAATATGGTACAATTATATTTGAAAACTTTGAACGTTACCTCCAAATTGACCCTTGGAACCGGGAACTCTTGGACAAATATCTGCGTGATTACAATGTTGGATTGATAGGCTTTATGCCATCACATGAAGACACTCAAGTTGGAGCTAAGCTAAGGGGCTTTCCACTTTATGTACATACTAATATGGCATTAGAGGTTTGTGGGATTGTATTTGTATAAATGTTTTTCAGAGATATTCCAGTTAGATGCTCCCTAAGGCACAACTCACTTAATGTCCTGTTATACAAGATCATTATTGTCTGGGTAGGGGTTACATTCTGCACCAGTGCATCAGGTATCTTTTCAACATTCTTATCACTTCATACTAAGTGCTAGGGAGGCAATGAAAATGTTTAGCACAGCCCAGAATGGCTACAGAAAGTTTACTCACATTCCGTGCCTTTCTACTGCACTGAATGTTCCAATACTTGGTTCCAATACTTGGCATTATTGGAACTAAGTAGTGCTCTCATCAAATTGTTAGTTGCCCATCTTGCTACTATCTCCAGCTGTCACCAGATGGAAGCATCCTCACTGATATCAGGTCTGCAGTCTCAAGCCCTCAATCTCATTCTTCCCGGCTTTGCATGTTTGGGTTTGATATTCCAGGGCATCACATAGTGGCTTTGGGTCAGGCATCATTTCCCAGGTTCCTTCTTAACCTTTACACAGCTCAGTTATTTAAGCCTTACATGATGGTATGCATGACAAAAAAAAAGTTCACAAATCAAATGTGAAAAAATTGCATGGGGGGATTTGGAGCGCAGGAGGTAATCACAGATAATGACTGGAGACTTGTAAGGGTTATTCACGGGCAGCCATCCTTCTCCCATAACCATGCTTATTTTCATAGGTGTTGGAAAAAAGTGATTGCTAGGACTCCTTTTGAGTTCAGTTTTGGTTTTTGGCTATGAAGAGAGATTTCTCTGAGGCAAATGATTCTTGATTTAGTTAAGTATCAACAGTGCCTCTGTCACAAAGGTTACATGTCATGTATGTAGGATAGCTATAGACTACAGTTTTTTTTATTCGCCTAGCAACATAATGTTCATCCTTCGGAGTCAAAGATGACTATGATGCCTAGCAACATAAATCTCTGGTGTATTTACAGAACAGAGGAAGTACCAATTAACTTGTGTGTATAGGGCTTCTTATGTGTATAGGAATGGTTGTTGCAGGCATGTTAACTACCTATTCTGATCAATCTAACAAAAGATGGGTGGGCTCATGTATATGAGGGGGGAAATCAGCTGAACCAGCATGGGTGATATGACCATAGGCAAGGCACAGTATGGGCATTTGCTATGCACATTGCTAGGGGAGGGGGAGCAACAGAAGGGGCTCTACACCTGCTGAGTATGATATGGCACGGCTGGTTCACAAGAACTGTTACACCAGTGTTAAATGCTACCCTGCCCTGACTATCCTGATCCTATTCAATGGAACATTTAGTGATTGGCCTTAGGAAATATTCAAGTGTCTTGCTCAAAGTTTTGTTATGCACTTAAAAGCCTGATATTTTTTCTAAGTTTCTTAGTGCTTTCATATGTATTATTATGCATATTACATACATCTTTACTATATTTTATCACAAGAAAAATTGAGACACTGATAAGACTATGAATCAGCCTTGTGCAAGTCATCAAAGTAGTCATTATTCACTTACAAGTTAATAACAATACTGTATTTCTTTTGGGGACATAATACTGTATCTCAAATTTCATCATTGTTTTGCAGAATATCAGCCTTAACAATGAAAACCCAGTTCTACAGCTGACCAGAGCTGGGGGAACCATTACAGACAACGTGCCAGGAACAGACTGGACTGTGTTCACACTAGATGATACCACCTATGTGCCATTAGAGTGGGGTTACTCGAGTGTTCCTCACTTTTCTGAAGAAAAGTTGATCCCTGTCATTCTTGTTAGTGTAATGCTCTTGTATTCTCATGTGTAATATTAAACAGTGCTTCGTCTTCTGTTAACTGAAGTACAGATAGACTTTAACACAGTATTTTCATATTTGTAAGCACTAATTTTTGGGTTTTGTTATAGAAGAGTTGGGCTGTTTTTTTAGTGTTCAGTGCTTGTTAGATTGTATATGTTGATGATAGCTTACCTAAACTGTAGAATGCATCGTTCTGCACTAATGGCTCAAGACCACTTGGTATTCTGGTCTATTTGCTCCTCCTCTACTTTCTTTTTGCAATGCTTTGACTATTTCCCTCTGGCCCTGCTATATTTTTTGCATGTAGTTTCTCTCCTTATTTGCTTATTGAGGCAGTCGTCATTCTTCCCACACATTTCTGTTTTTAGTGCAAACTAGTGTAATAGTTTGGCATGAGTTTAGTGTTCAAAATATTTCTTGAAGCGTCTGAAGTATCAGCAGAAGATTTTAAAAGGCTACTCTTTCAATAGATAGGAAATCAGGGATGCATTTCTTAATCACCCAAATGCAATCAAATCATATCTAGCAATTATTAATGTCCTAAAGCAAGATAAAAGGGTGAAAAGAAGGCTGGAGGCTGAGAACAGGGTTGATGGAAAGTGGGTTTCAAGAGAATGATAGTAAAAGATCTGTCAGCATTAGGAGAGAATGAGAGCTTGAAAAAGAGAAGAATGTTGGCAAATTGTTTATTGCATATTGTATATAAGTATATATAATTGGTGTTATCATAAATGTTAGCATGTTAGATATAATTTACTTTAGAGTGTACTCCAGGGTATATTAAAATTGATTTTCTTTTGGAAAAATATGGTACTTTAAAAAAATAGGATCTAGAAGCGTGCTCTAGTCATTAAGGGTTTAGGAGAGAGGGGCAAGAGGTGGTGGTATGAGGTGGTGGTGGTTAATGCCTCCACTATTTTCATAAGTTCAATTTCTCTTCTACTTTTATGATAAGTTATTTTGTTATAATTTTTTGTTACTTTTATTAATATTTTCTTATAGGACAAAGGGGATTTTGATGGAATTTCTCGGGTTTTATTTGGGAGCAACTTGGAGTTCTGGCTACACCGGCTGCTATTCCTTGATGCAGTATCCTACCTCAGCATGGGACGCATCTCTGTATCTCTGGACCGCTATGTTCTAGTCGACATAGATGATATTTTTGTGGCTAAGAAAGGGATACGTATGACTGCAGATGATGTGATGGTAAGGATTTAAATAATTTCTCTTTCTTGTCTGGCAAGTAAAATGCCATAGAATCATTGTCAAAGCAATGGTATTTTGTGAAAAGTATAGATTTGGCAGCGTAATATCATTTATCTGAGTGTCCTGCTCTTTGACTCTCGATGGAACAATTGTGCGACTTTCAAATTTATTTAATTACTGGTTTGTTGTACATGGTTAAATTCAGCAAAATCATGTTTCATTATTCTTTTTGTAGGATTGTTTATCAGCTCTGTTTTTTCCTTTTTATGTTCCAGAGCACTTAGTGAAATATGTAATTTTTCGTTTGTCCTCTTGGTCCCAAATTAATTAGGTATAGTCAAGGGGGTCTATATCATATACTTAAGCTGTCAAATAAAATAATTAGCCATTAGCCATACACACTAACACAGGTGTGTGTGTGTGTGTATTTTATGTATATTTTGGTGTTAAATATTATTTTATTGAATTTGCATTAGAAGCAGTATTGAGGATATACATGGAATTATTAGAATGAACACAATTTTGATCCATTATTCTAATCAACATATTGGAGAATTTGGTGAGATTTGAGAACCGATACATGTTTATAAGAAAACCATAAAAATAGCACAGTACGTATATAAAAGTATTTATATATACTGTACAGATACTCTTAAGGGTAATAATTTTTTTGTCTGTCAATAAAAATCTGACCAGAGGTAGTTTTATCAGTAATGACTAGGAATATTAAGCCAGAAAGCTATAAATTCTAATACAGTTTTCTGGTATATATAATTTCATCCCTGCAGGAGATACAATGAGTGTATCTTGGTGTAAATGTTGTCGACACATGTTCATATCTCGCTGAAGCATGATAATGCCTCGGAGGCTGTAAAAAGAGAGGGATACTAAGTGCATTTGATTCTTGCAGGCTCTTCTGGAATCTCAAAAACGTCTTCAAGAGATGGTGCCGGGTTGGAAATTTAACCTGGGGTTCAGCGGCAAATATTACCAGAATGGTTACCCTGAAGAAAATGTTGGAGACATGACACTATTAGGTTAGTGTAAAGACTGAAGGTTTTAGATGAATAAAGTTTGAGGATATATCAATTTGAAGAAAGAGTTGCAAATGCACACATTCAAGAGGAAGCTTGATGAAGTTGTTCAAAGTGTGTTGGACAAACCATTCATAAGAGCACTATTGTTAACTACAGTGTATAGGTAAAGCCACTAATGCTAACAACAGGTACAGGAACACACTCAAAGTTAGTGACAAGTTCATATGAGACAACAGAGGCTGCTACATTACACACACTGCGGTATAAAATAGCACCCAACTATTTGTAATAATCTTTGACTTCCAGCACTTGACTATAGGCCTAAATTTTGTTATGCAATTCGTGATACCTAAATACAGGATATATAGAGCTTCAGGTTGGATATCTGCACATGCATGTATTAAAGAGAATTGATACTGTTTTAGACAGACCAATTCTTCGACCAAAAAAATTTACGACCTTACTAACCTGAATAATTTTCTTTAGAGTTGTATATCTTTAGTAGTTAGTGTAATGTTCCTGTTGGGGTTTTGGTGACATAATTAATATTTCTTTACATTTTTGTAGCTTATTTCTGAATTGCCACCTGGTAGTACACTTTGGGTAGTACACTTTCGCGTAGTACACGCGAAAGTGTTAACACACATTTTGTTGACATTGGGCAAACTATCACTTCCCTTCCTTCCATCTTTTTTTCTCTTTGATGAAGATACTTTACATAAATTGTTTTGGTTCACTGTTACTTTTGAATGGATTTATTCAGCTTCGAGTTGGTCTCGTCTCCACATTTTCCTTTTCCCTGTGTGCATACCAGATTCAGATCCTGGTGTTTGGTAAGCCTCCCCAAGTCTGAAAGCATAGTAGTTTGTGGATATTTCTTTGGTACCAGAAGTACCAAAGTTCTGGAGAGCTACTGAGGCTGCCCAGAGAAGGGCATTTCATTATATTCAACACTTAATTTTTGTTCAATAATATCTCATTTGTCTTTTCACAGAACATGTAGATGATTTCTGGTGGTTTGGTCACATGTGGGGCCATACTCAACCTCACTTACTCACCCAGAAAGACCTTGAGGAACAGATGGAGCTGAACAAGCAGTTTGCTCAGAGCCACAACATTCCAACTGATTCGGGTGAGTTGAGCAAAAAAAAATAAAAAATTCCAACCTGCTGCTACTAAAAGCATCATCACTGACGATTTGTTGTTTTAATTTAAAATTTCCTACACCTAGTATAGCACATTTATTGTAAATTAAGCCTAATATAGTGTATATAAGGCTTATAATTGCTTATTTCGACCTAGATTAGGTCAGGTTTGGTTTATAGTTAGTTTTTCCATTTCTTGGCATGGCCCTTGAAGTATTCCAAATGTACAAAACATAAAATTTTTTATTGTACAGCAGTACATATTTTGTATATTTCATCCTTAGTAGCTATAGGTACCATATTTTCAGAGGATGGTTTGAAATAGTGGTACATAAATACTTTACTGATGGTAAAAGTACAGTAGTGATAAATTATGATCAGCTGGAGTGATCATGATCATTCTGGATTTCTCAACGAATGCTCTACAAAATCTGGATCAATCTTGGTTAAAAGAAAAGAAAATAATTTGCTGAACTTTTTTAACATTAATCATAGTTATTTGGCATCAAACTACAGAACATGCACCAAAAGCCCAACTTTTTTTTTTAATCAAACCTCAAAACCATATTTAACATGTTCCTGTCAATTCCTTCTCTGTAATCTGTATTTTTATTTTTATCCAGGTTCTAGATACAGTAGTTGTTTTGACAGGAAAACTACTAAGTGATTTTGATGGTTTTGTTATAAAGAGGGACAAATTTTGGATGTTCCTTGTATTTTGATACCAAATTTAATGAAAAATAAATGTTAAATCCTTTAATGTTTTTTGAAAATGCATTAATAATACAACACACATTTGAATGTATTCCTCCTCAGCCAAGAACTTTTACATTTCTGCTGTTGTAAACTGTTTAACTGTTATTGTGCTCGCCTGGAGATTCATAATGGCTTTTCAACAGTTCCCCATTTTACAATATGTAATATATCTTTCCAGATGAACCAAAAGTTGACGAGTACAGTGTCTTGTATATAATATCATGGCAATTATATCCCATTAGGATATGGTGTTGCCCCTCATCATTCTGGTGTTTACCCTGTCCATGAGCCATTATATGATACGTGGAAGAAAGTATGGAATGTGCGCGTGACGTCCTCGGAAGAATATCCCCACCTGTATCCTGCTCGACTTCGGAGGGGTTTCATTCACCGCAATATTATGGTGTGTGTGTGTGCATACGTTTTTGCATGTGGCCCATATGATCTTAACAATATTGAAACTATATTTTTGATACTAATCAACTATTATTTTAACTTGATTTATATTAATATACATTGTGATGACATATTTTTACATGAAGTATTTAAATGTTTGGTGGAAATGTACTGCTATACTGTACAGTACAGTATTTTAAATTCCTCAAACACCAAAACTGGCAAAAGCATTTGAAATGACATTACATAATCTGTGTATTGTACACATGGCTGTTAATATACACATATTAGACAACTAATAAAACAATTTCTTGTCACTAGGTGCTACCAAGACAAACGTGCGGCTTATTCACACACACAATATTTATAGACAAGTACCCTGGAGGACGTGCCATACTTGACTCCAGTATCCATGGCGGGGAGCTCTTCCAAACTATTGTGTTCAGTCCAGTAAGTGGTGGTACTGTAGTTGCTGCTTTGCAAGTTTGTACAATAGTTTATTTTTCTATTGAAATTTAATATTCCAGTTTGTGGGCATGTGTGTATAGTATGGATATTACATGGATGTGTGTGTGTGTGAAGGTAGAGGTACTAGGAAGTGGCTGCTTGTAGTTTATAGCAATCTGTCTAATAACTGTTAGCTGTGAGAGGACAATTACCAATAGTTGGTCAATATTGTATCAGTGATGTGGTATCCTTAACATTACATCCTGCTAGTTTAACACACAATGGAAGCACTGCTATGCTTCCATTGGTTAGGATAAGGATTTTGGATGTGACGAGGGGGAAGGAATGGTGCCCAACCATTTGGACGGTTGTGGATTGAATGCCGACCTGCATGAAGCGAAACCGTCACTCCACTGTCCAGCCCAAGTGGTTGGACCTGGGGAAAGGGGAGGAAGAGCATTTTTATCATTAGCAATATATATAATGTTTATATTATGAGGTCAGTCCATATGAATTAAGGATATACTGTATTTCAATTGGCTGTGATTGAATCATATTTAGTCTTTGATGTTTAAAAGACAGTACTGTACATTAAAACATTTGTTTGCCTTGATACAAAATCCCAATATTTCCTTTTTGCAATTTTGACTTTATTGTATTGGGTGAAATATGTTGGTATTAGTGTGTGTATTATCAGTAGGAAATTGAATAGGGTTAGGACTGAAAACTTTAACCCATATTGCAGGTTAGCATCTTCATGACTCATTTGAGTAACTATGGGAATGATCGGCTGGCCCTCTATACATTCGAGTCTGTCATCAAGTTTGTAAAATGTTGGACAAACCTCAACATGCGCACTGTGCCACCGCTTCAACTTGGAGAAAAATATTTCCATCTCTTTCCAGAAGAGAGAGATCCAATTTGGGGGGTAAGTGTGGTCTTCAGTGTTGTATCTACATCAATGTAGCTAAGGTTCATAAGAGGTGTAGAGAGCATATGTCTGATTCATGTGGAATTATGTAGATGTGTATCTAATGAATGCCTCAGGGTGGTGAACGACAAAAATGATATCATATAGGTACTTATCTATGTTTGAGTAATTTAAATTTTGGATGGCCATTACAAAAATTAAGCAGAATTTAAGTTAATTTTCGATTACAGTATCCTTGTGCAGACCATCGACATCTGGAGATTTGGGCCAAGGAAAAGACCTGTGAGCAGCTGCCCAAGTTCTTGGTCATTGGTCCACAGAAAACTGGAACAACTGCCCTCTACACCTTTCTTGCTATGCATCCAGCTATTGTGGCCAACTACCCATCTCCTGAAACTTTTGAAGAAGTTCAATTCTTTAATGGAAAGAATTATTATAAAGGCATTGATTGGTGAGTTTTGCAATCCTTAAATCTTGATATATCAAGAATGGGAAGTGGGTTAGTAACTGTGTTTAAGAATATGCTATATTAATTACCATTGGACAGGTCAGTAATGTGTGTAACTCGTAGCATATTTTAACTTTATACAGAGCATTTCCTCTTGTGTAACTCTACCCGTGTCATGCTAGAGGATTCCTCAGCCTTCTGGGTTGGGAAGACCACTTCACTTGACAATGTTACCCAGTCATTTGCCATGTGGAAATTCATTACAGTTATAAATATTTGCTGAAGTGAATTATAGTAGCAAACATTAATGTAAATTTATACATTTGTATTGCAATTACCCTAGACTATTGTTTCATCTTATTATATAGTAGGTTGCATATTTATTTAGCCTCTTAAAGAAATTTTCTTTGTGGTGTCAAAGCACTTAATGGTTGATAGACACCTGTTGTCAAACGTAAGATGTCATATCAGTATCTGTCTTAGTCATATTATAAGGTCATAACTTTGAAATGTGCATTTAAAAGAAAATAATGTGATATTTACAAAAGGAGGTTATTCGTTCTTAATGTATGAGGTTATTCATTGCACAGTCATAGTACATCTAGGTTTTCATTAGGAATTCTGTTTTGTTTTATATAGGTATATGAAGTTCTTCCCAGTTCCAGCCAATTCTTCCAGCAAGTTCTTGTTTGAGAAAAGCGCCACTTACTTTGAGGGAGATACAGTGCCACAGAGGGTTAAAGCTCTTCTGCCTAATGTGAAGTTGGTGAGTTTTTGACCTTATTGTACTTTTGTATTGCTTTTGTATTATATATCCTATACTAGGACAGTAGGGTACTTTTACCTTGCGATGATTTCGGAGTTCAACGTTCCCATGGCCCAGTCCTCGACCAGGCCTCCTGGTCGAGGACTAGGTAGCTGCCATCGACGTCAAAGAAATGGTGGTGAAGGTGTTTTTGTATGACAAAAAGTCATACAAAATAGTACCATTTTGGCACAAATATAAACCACAACTTTTATGCTAATAAATGTCAGAGCATATATTAAAGTATCAATATATACTGTATATTAAGGTATATACAGTAATGAAGGCAAAACTTTCAAGTTGTTATGAAAATTCTAGTTAGCCATAATTATTGGATAGAAATGCATTGTAGACGTGAACCACAGTCCTGGACACATATGCTTAAGTATTTTTTGTGAGCTAGGAGCCCTTGGTTACTTCCTGAACCAGGGCCTGGGTTCACCCATGACTGTACCACCAGGCTCTCGCTGATCTTTACCCTATGCATGCCTTATTTTTGTTATTAGAAATAGACAAATAATGAGGAAATGAAGCTTGTTATTAATATCCAAATAAGGCCTTCCTCTCTCTACCTTGCATTATGTGATCATTGTGTTGGTAAGGCATCTTGTGATGTGGTGACCATTTAGAGGGAGGTACTTGCTACATACATGATGGTAGTAGAATTGGTGTAAAGAATTTTTGTAATGTTGACTTTCTATATTAAGATGCACCCTCCAATTTTGCAATTTTATAGGGAAAAAACAAAAGATTTTACCTTTGTATTTGGGTAAATGTAGTATACACTATTGCTTTAATGAAGAATATATTACATTAGTAAATAGTTTAGAGTAATTGAGATACTGTATCACTTAATGTAGGGAAGTTATACAGTAGCTTAAATATTGAGTATATAATATTGTATTTACAAAGATTTAGCTGAAATAGTATTATTTATATGAGTTTGTGTTTCAGAATATTTTTTAAGTTATTTATTTTGGGACAAATGGAACGTGCACAAATATTTCCTCAATAACCCTCAGTGATCAACCAATAGTCATGCTCATGATTAGTTTTACTTGCTTCCCAGTTATGTGTGGATAGTTAGGATGTTCATTTGGTAGATATTCTGTTAATTATGCTTTATGTTATACTCTTGAGGTGGTAACGATCATTCCTCCAAGCAAACGAGCGTATTCCTGGTATCACCACATGCGAGCACACAATGATCTCACAGCCCTACAGTATGACTTTCATGAGGTGATCACAGCTACAGAGAAAATGCCAAGACAACTCAGGAACTTGCGCAACAAGTGAGTACAGGAAAGAATATTACTTGGAATAATTTTCATCTTGGCTTCTAAGCAATTTCTGTGGTCCCCAGACTATGTTGAAATTTTCTTCCTTGTCTTAGTACCAGTATGGCCTGACTGATGTTTCATGAAGTTCCTAATACTTTTTCACAGAACTTGTTTAGCTCTGACTGTTATGATCTAATTGGAAAGTAATCAGTGAAAAGGTAAATGTAGTGAAAAAAGAAAGTAAATAACTCGATGGCAAGTTATTTACATCAAATGTATATTGTAATTGTTTAATGAATTGGTCAAACAGTACAATTTTTGGCAGTCAGAATTTATGTTTGTTAATATTGGACATTTTTTCTGTCTGTATCAAACTGTTTAAGATGATTCTTGAATTTAATATTTTGCAGATGTTTAATTCCTGGAATGTATGCAAAGCACATAGAAAGATGGCTTGACTTCTTCCCTGCCTCTCAAATGACTATCATTGATGGAGAAGAGCTTAGAAATGATCCCATTTACATCATGAATGATCTTCAAAAGTTCCTCAATATTGAGCCATTTTACAACTATACTGAACACTTAAGGTATATACCAAGATTTATTTTGGGCCCATTGCAAGAGGATTTGATGATATTACATACATTGATTATAGTGAGCACAACTGCTGACAGCAATGTAGAGAAACACCAACATGAGAGTTGACTGTATTTGTCAATTTTATGTTTGTAAGGGCTTTATCAAATGTAATAGGGCTAGTGTAATGTAAGGGCTAGTAATAAGGCTAGGGCTAGTATTTACATAGGGAAAACCAGGGAAGGGATGAGGCTAGTGAGGTGAAGATAAGTCAATAGGGATTGTGTGTTACAGTTGATAAGTATAAAATTGATTTAGCAAGAAGAGTAGCAATACTGAGTTTGCCTTCATTCTACAGCTGATCCTCACGAGTTGCCATAATGAACAGAAAATGATGTACTAAAACACTCGAACCTAACATAACCTACCAGTCGACCCACGCATAAAAAAACATTCATGTTCGAGAGCTGTGATTTTTTGTACACTTTTATTTGTCCATTGGGGAATTTTATGCCAAAATGTAGTGTACTATTTGAGGAGACAGGTTGGTTTCTATGTGATTGTGCTGTAGTGGTTGATGGCTTCAGACACTACAATGTCTCTCTAAAAAAAAATTTCTTTTGAGTTTAGCATCCCTGAATTTTAATGAGAGGGTGTCTCAGGTTGCTCTGTGAGACACAAGCATTGGTAGTATTATCGACATGGTAGGCATAATTCTTTGTATACCTCACCTGCTGAAACCCTCCTCCATTTTTCCTTTAATTTTGTTTTTAAACACTTGCCTCATGCGTCTGATAGATTTTATAAAACCTTTACAGGTAAAACTTCATTTAAAAATATAGTCACTCATATTGACGTTTCTTTACAGTATTCATTGATGTTTGGCTTCCTCGAAAGCATTGCTGAAAGCACATTATTAGACAGATTTTTGTATTGGTGTGTTTGTCACGCTAGTTTGGACATCTGTTACTCGTACACTATTTACCGATACACAATTTATTACCATCCAATATTAAACTTTCCATTTTTTTCATACATTGAGTAATGTCTTCTCTGTTCCATGTTTTTCTTTATTCCGTGTATACATGTTGACACCATCCTCATACTGTTTACTTATTCTTATTTCTTAGTGCCAACAAGTGACACCTGCTTTTTGTAAATTTGGTATGGAAACCAGCCTAGAAAATCTTTTAAGCAAATGTTGGCTTGTTATACAAGTGATACTGCCAGGGTGTGGTGTTGGGTGAGTACAGTAACCAGAAAATCTGAGATAATGCAGTTACCATTTTGCTCTGAGAATATTAATTGCTTTTTAAATGATAAAAGCAAGGGCTCATTGGTACAGCATTTGTATTGGCACCTGTTTTGAGACGTTGAGCTGCAATAATTGAATTGTAGTGAAGGATAATGGTGTTGATTGATTGGTTGATTTGTATTCATTAATGTGCAGGCCTTTTACATATTTAATTGTTTAAAACATCATCTTAAAAGTTATTTGTTATCTAAAATGCATATCAAATATAACATAGAATTATAATTGAGACATATGGGTTAAAATATGATTAGTAAAGAGGATTAGTAAAAGAGATGGACTGTGCAGTTAAAACAGTGAAGATAATGCAAAGAGAGCATTGGAATATGGGATAAGGTTAGAGAAATATTGATGCTGTATGTTATAAGTAGTGAGACCAAGTATTCTTTGTTTTACATAGTAACTTGAATGACCTTGGTTATTTTGACGCTCATGGAATGAGCGGCAAAATGATCATGGTGTAAGTTTGCCGTTCATGGAATGAACAACAATGAATGATTGTGGAGGTAAATTTAATGAGCAAATTTAAAAGAAAATATAACAAGAAACACGAGGAATGATTCTTTACAATAATTAACCAATAGCTAGAAAGGTGGGTCTTGGGAACTAATGTTTGATCAAGCAAGCACATCTAGGTAAGTATATTTATAACCTAAGCTGGCAGAGGAGAGACAGACAGACAAATGGTAGAGATGGTGGGAATGTAGGAAGAGTGGATTATGAAATCAAGTGGCATTATGGCTGGGTTGATTGGTGGAGATGGGGGAGGGGAAAGGGTTGGAGATAAGATACATATACAATACTGTCAAGAGACTGTGGATGGCTATGTCAATAGCCTCAATGACCATAATGCCTTTGAGCATTGATTTGTCTAGTTTTATACTGATTTATTAATGCAGTATTGCTGTAAATAATAATCATCTGTAATATATACTGTCCCATAGGAAGATAGCATAAAGAATATTTGAGTATACAGCCTTGGTGCTCGTAGTCATCTGTGTGTGATATACAACAGTTGCCTGACTTGACTGAAGCCTGTTATTTCCCCTGGTATATCATGTACATTTTAAAATTAGTCAGGCTTCCCTTTGTGCTGAGCTTCTTGATAGATAATTGATGTAGAATTTTAATTTTAAGCTTTTTGGTTAAGAAGTTATTGGAAGCATGTGGCAATATTTTGAAAATGTATTTACAGGTATGACAAAAGGAAAGGTTTCTTCTGTCAGGTGATAGAAGAAGACAAGACTAAGTGTTTGGGCAGAGGAAAGGGTCGAGTGTACGCCCCTATGAACGAGTCGGATGCTAAGTTACTAAAGGTGAGGCGTTGCTTTTGTTAGCTTTATGCATTGCATCATATTTTTTTTGTCAAAATACATCTAGATAGAATATTATTCTCTGACTTTATAATCACATTACAAAATTTTCTTCAGGTAAGAAATATTTAGGAAGAGTTTAGAGAATACGTGGACTATCTATGTTGTGTTGTAAATCACATGGTCAGTAAGTGTGTTAGTATGAGGCAGTTTTATACATACTGACTTGACTCAATATCAATATTTAATCAGCAAATTATTATGGGTGAAAATATAAACATTACAACATCCATCTGTTAAAATTGTTTTGGCTTATTGTCCTGTGCATTTTTTTTTTTTATACTTTTAAATTCTAATTGTTGCTCTTTCTCAATGAAATCAGTTAGATGATTTATCAGTGTGTAAGTCTTTTGGAGCAGTGTGGGAGAACTGAGCTTTGGTCCCTAGTCGTCCCGAACGGGTGCGTCTTGGTAGACCCAGTACTCGAGTTCGTCATCACATTGCTTCAAAAGATTTTTTGTTATTAATTTTTCGGTGCTAACTGTAATGTATGTTTACTTAACAGGAGTACTACCAACCATACAACATAGCTCTGGAGAAGCTTCTAACCCGGCTCGACTACCCAGTACCTGGCTGGCTGGAAGATGAGTTGCAATAGTTAGCACTAGAAGTAGGGGGCACCTAACTTGCCAGGCACAGTTATGCTTAGCAAATTCTATTTAGTGTACATCTTTTTGGATGATATTCACCCAAGAAGGTGTATGGTAGTTTCGTTATTTAGTCATTAACTCTCGTAATGTTACGAGGGATTTAATGGCTTACAAGCAAAAGTCACTTATTTATTGCTATATTTTTAGTGTAGATTAACATTTTAAGAAATAAAATCTTTATGAATCTTTAGCAAATAAAATTGATGACTCTGGTATAAGCATGTCTAATATAATTTATAAGAATAATAATTTTATTTTAGAATATTAAAAGAGTTTTGAATATATATAAAATATATGTATGGAGAGGACTATAAGAATAGCCATCTTGCTTTGGCGGGCAATTGGCTCCAATAAATACGTGTTGTACATAGCTATATATATATATATTATATATGTATACAGTATATATACATAAAATATTTTAGACTTGCTTCACATGGTTAAATTAAATTTACATTTGCTTCAAGATAAGCTTACAATAAACAAAGGAATCACTAGGAATGTAGTGTGTACTGTACTATCGGGTGTCGTGGGCAGCCTCGAGAACTGTTGGTAGAGTGAGTGTCATGACATGTACTTGGGAGCAGTGATTTATGTTCCTGCCACTCGTGTAGCAGACTTTTCTAGTTTACTTACAAATTGGCATTAACATTTTACTTTTAAGAAAAAATTTATTCTTAATTTATTTACAGTTTTAAATATGTAGACACCTAATTAGTCCATGAGGTTTGGTTTCTGGACCTCCCATGAATGCAGACAAGCTGACAGATTGTGACATCTGTGACTCATGAGGTCGTAGATGTCAGACACAATAGGCAGCATGACAGAGGCAAAATTATCATTGCCCCATGGCACAGACAGTGAACAGACCTAAAACTAACACAAGGCATGAGTGGGTTTGGAGGGGACATCCATAGGCCACACAAAAAATCCTCGGGGCTTAAAGGACTTTTCGAACAGGATGCTTGCCAAAAATTATACTGGTAGACCAATACAGCCTAATCAATGGTGCTGTGAAGGCTGACTCACTATGCTGTGTAAAACAATTGTGCCAACCCCCAGTGTGCCCCAGCCAACTGAAACCTTTGTCTCCAACTTTAGAGCTAGACATTGGGCTAAAAAAAAAATTAATATACTCATGGTAAAGCCTCATCCTTGGTGGTCTGGCCTCTTAAGAAGCAAACACACAAACCAGCAGTAGTGCTCCTGCACCACTGTTGGTGCAGGGATAGCATTTGAGTGCACAGGGAAGACTAACCCTGATCACATGCAGCTCCAAGCACCCTACAAGCCAGGTTCACACAACACAAATCGGACAGAAAGCACACACACATACACACTTCTGAGACCTGGAACTTCAAGAACAAGAGGTCATAGATTGAAACTAACTAAACAAAGATGCTGAAGAAATATAAGAAAATTCACTATTGCAAACAGAGTGGTAGACGGTTGGAACAAGTTAAGTGAGAAGGTGGTGGAGGCCAAAACCTTTGGTAGCTTCAAAGCGTTATATGACAGAGTGCTGGGTAGACGGGACACCACGATCGTAGCTCTCATCCTGTAACTACACTTGGGTAACTACACATAGGTAATTACACGCACACACACACATGAAGCGAGTTCAAATTTAGAACAATACCAAAGCAAATGGTCCCCTGCAGGCTAGCTAGTTAGCACTTATCAGGATGGCTAGCACTTAGCTTAGAAGCAGTAGGACTCGACTGATGACCTGAGAACCCTACAGTGGATAACCAGAGGTGTCAACATCAGCAAAAGGCTGAGAAGGAAGGCTGACTTGGAAGGCTGAGGGAGGCCTGGAACTCTGGCAGGGAATTAGTTCTAACAAGCTTGTGCTAATTTCAAGAGATTTGACCATTTCCTTACATTGGAGGAGTTCGTTTGGCAGTTTTGAGTCTTCAGTTCCTTTAGATCCAGCAGTGGTCTGTATTGGTTCACTGACTTTCTGGATGCTTTCCTGGTTGGGTGGCAAATTGTCGCCTGCTCTGACTCTAGTCCCTAAGTAGGCCAAGCAGAAGTCTGCAGCTGATGTTATCTAATAGTTGGGTGCCATCTTGGCAAGATACCTTCAGGGAACAACAAGGGGCTTCCCCTGAAATCCTAATGATCTTTGCTTGAATCTACCAATCCTAGCTTTATAAGCCAAGAAACTTCTTTGATGTGCGTGTCAAATGATTTCCGAGGAATTCTCTTGGTTCTTTCTTTGACCCCTGAGAAGGTAATTCTTTGCTAGTTTTTCTTAATCCAAATAAGCACCTTATGTCATCTCGGTATCATTGGGCTTCCTCGTTGTACTCAGGATAGGATTGTAATTATCTTTTTTTCTACGTTTTATTAGCTTGGCTTTATGTCTGCTAAGATCTCAAATCACATTTAAAACCACCGTGTATATGGTAGGTTTGGCAGCTTTTTGAAAGATGAGAGTAGCTATCTCCTTACAAATGATATTAAATATTTTCCATTTCCTAGTGACAATGTCAGTTACTTTTATGTTTAGATAGTATCATGGATGTTCGCATACATAAAACTGTGTATGAAAGATAATGAAGCAGTGTGCCCTTAATTGTGGCTTAACATGATTTATGTGGCCCATCTTGAGTGCAGTCTGCATTCATTGGACTTGTTCTGACCTCCTCCTCCTTCCCCACAAATTATATGATCATCTGAAGGTAAATTAATTATACAGTGGTATAAATTCAGTACCCATTCATAAGACAATTCATGAGTTAAAATAAATAGCTGGTGCCTACTGTATTATTTGTAAATGGGTATTTACAAGATTCTGGGTCATTCATCTATATAAGATATCTTACTTATGTTCATGCAAGAAAAAGTATCATTTAGGTCATAACTTGCATTTTGAAAATGGAAATATTTACAATGGTTCATGTACTTTTGTAAATAATGTGCATACATTTTATATATGTACATAAATGCACATACATGTATGCACTTAAAGTACATGGCCACAGGCATGTGCAGGCCCTATTACACACTAAAAAAAATTATTACCCGGTACTTAAAGATGGCCTCACTTGATGCTGGAAGATATCTCAATTTTTTTGAAGCCATGCTGAATGCAGCTTTAATTTCAAATTCCTGGTGACAATTTAAATTTCCTAATGACTTAATTCCGGTGTAATGTGTGCTTCATCTCCATTATGTAAATGAAGGCCAAATTCATCATTTCAGCTTTTGTCTGCTCCCTAAAATATTTTTCTTAAAATTGGTAAGGTTTATTAATACATTGCATTAGTATAAAGCATAATGCCACTTATTACATAGACTGGCAATATTATTTAGAAAATAGCACATCTTCTGATTAACATTGCAAATGCATGATGCTCATAAATGTTCTTTAATGCATTGAATTTCACACAAGATCTGACAACATTATTGTAACGAAGCAGCAGGCCAAAAATAGGGTAAAATTCCCGAGTATTAGTGAAACTTCGAGATATGTTTCAGGCTGAGTCTTCAGTGTTTGGTTGGTTTAAAGTGAAGACACCGGTGAAGATTTAAAGTTGTATTTTTAATATATAAAGTTTCGTTTAAATATTTCTTGTCTTGAATTTTTAAACTATTTATTGTCTATTAAATAACTTGCATCTATATTTTTTATACGCTTTTTTGTATTAAGTTTAGGTAGGCCTTGGTTTGTTTGTGTTCTCGCCTGTGAGCGCCCAAGTGGGAACTGTGGGTTTAGTGTATTTATAATAATACTGTACCACTAAACAATATTCTTGGATGGGATTTTACCTTGCATCCTATTTTCTTTTGGGATTATAATTATTTTTTCATCTTGTCAACTTATTATATGTGCAAGTTTCTACCTTAACCAAAACAAACACACATACATAATATAATATATACATACAAAAGCATTTTCAGTATCAGAGTAGTTAACAGATGGAATGCATTAGGCAGTGATGTGGTGGAGGCTGACTCCATACACAGTTTCAAATGTAGATATGATAGAGCCCAGTAGCCTCAGGAATCTGTACACCAGTTGATTGACAGTTGAGAGGCGGGACCAAAGAGCCAGAGCTTAACCCCCGCAAGCACAACTAGGTGAGTACACACACACACACACACACACACACACACATGAGAGGTATAAGCTACGAGGAGAGACTACGGGAATTAAACCTCACTTCCTTGGAAGACAAGAGTTGGGGGGGACATGATCACCACATTAAAGATTCTCAAGGGAATCGATAGGGTAGATAAAGACAGGCTATTTAACACAAGGAGCACACGCACTAGGGGACACAGGTGGAAACTAGGGCCCAGATGAGCCACAGAGATATTAGAAAGAACTTTTTTAGTGTCAGAGTGGTTGACAAATGGAATGCTTTAGGAAGTGATGTGGTGGAGGCTGACTCCATACACAGTTTCAAGTGTAGATATGATAGAGCCCAATAGGCTCAGGAACCTGTACACCTGTTGATTGACGTTTGAGAGGCGGGACCAAAGAGCCAGAGCTCAACCCCCGCAAGCACAATTAGGCGAGTACACACACACACACACACACACATATACAGTATATATTGCATTATTACTTTTATTAATTTATAAAGAATTTAAGCAGTGGTCATATTTAATATCTACCACCACATCAAACGTGCTACCTCTAATAGTTTTCCAAATAAATAACTTAATAAGTTTTAATGTATGGCTCTTAATTGCAGCACATATTGCTTTTATTACACATTTTTAGCATCTGGTTGGTTGAATAAATCTCTTAGTAGGCTTGCACAGTTCATTGATTTTTGTTTGACCAAACTGTTGTGAGTGATGATGCAAGATCTTGGTAGATTGAGGAAAGATTTTTAGAAATATGGAATTGCTATCTTTATATGGTTGCTTGCAATCACTTTAAAACATTCTTGATATATTTGATGGAATTGCAAGTTATATTTGGTGTGCATAGTATCTTGTAGGTGATAAATGACAATACTTCCAGTGAAATTTTGTTTCACTAACCAATGTTAAGTTTGAAATTAAAATATTCATGTATAAATCTATAAATTATTAATGAATAAATATTGAGGTTGTATGGCGGAATTGAACCTGATGCGACCATGAATTCGGAGGAATGGGTTTGATGCCATCGTACAGCCTCGGTATTCATTCATAGGTTCATTATGGTCTTGTGATTTCAGTGTGCAATTATTACAGTACAGAGATTACTGTACCAGAAACACATTTTGTTAGTGTATGAAGCTATACAACATGTTCAGTGTTAAACCTTAACAAGAAGACCCATTTACTTTGTTAAAGCGCACACAGTTTGTGAGCTCATTATATTGGCAAGTGAAGGAAATGGTTATGTTCGTCTCGACCACTATTTGTGGCTGGGATGTAGTCTGATCTCAATTCAAAATAAAACTTTATATGATTATTTAAAAGGTTGTTTTATGAAATCTGACATTATAATATACTGTACTGTACATGGAAAAAATAGTTAAAAATATTATCTTCCAAGAGAAATGCAATTTTGATGATGAATGTAGAATAACATTTAATAAATTAGTTGTGCACTTCTTATATTTTTTATTCATTTGCTGCTGCTATTGCTTTGTATCTGTAGTTGATGATTATAGGCCTAACCATTAATTGTGCTTCTCTCAACTCTATGGATTTTATTATATGTTCATTTGATTTCATGTATGAAATTTTTGCTTAATGCTGTCAACATTTTCCCTTTTTCATCCCCTCTTACCTACAACTTACATAAATGTGTCAAACATAAAATGAAAACCTACTACAGTATTGAATTTTGTTTTAAATATTATCATTAGGTTTCCCACAGCCTCAATTCTTGTAGTTATTTGACCTTCTAAATAATTAACTAACTCATACCTAGTATAGTGATACCTTAACACTTGGAAAAGCTCCAAACTAGAACACTTTCTTCAAGGAAAAAAAATGCTTGGTAGTCGGCCGTTTGCTCGGCATTCAACCACACAAACGTGTTGCAACACACATGGCAGCTGAGGAATTATCTTCAGAGGAGGATGGAAGGGGAGAATGTCCCCTAGCTGTGGCCAACCGTGATATAAACCTGTTGAATGATAATGCTACGTCTCACTTTAGAAACATTATAAAATGCAGGCAAAAGCAAATATCAATGAACAGGTGACTCTCCTGCCAAACAGTACCATCTATCCTCTTCCTCACCACCTTCCACATATGCCATTAACTCCTAAATACAGGTAAAGTGAGAATAAATTTTTGAATTTATTTTATCTACTTCTTGTGTTTAGGTCTTCTGTATGATTTATGCATGCTAGGATTGTAAACTTAGTTAAATTCTAGTAAAAATGCTTTTATAAGTGAATTTGTTGAGGGTCTGGAAATGATGAATCTAATTTACATTTTTCCTTATGGTAAAATAATTTGATACTCAAACAGGCTTCCTAGAATGAATTAAGTTTGAGTACTGAGGTATCACTATAATTCCTGAACACAACTTACCCCCACACACAGAGAATAAGTCAATAATGTGGTTCAAACTAATAAGCCAACCTTCACATTTGAAATGAAAGTGACAACGTTTCTGTCCGTCAGTGACCCTTATTAAAGCATCGCAATTTGGTTAAGGTTCAAGATAGACCAAAATGCTGCACTTTCATTTTATTTGTAAAGGAGGGTTGGGTTACTTATCCCTATATCGGCATGGAAAAATAAAATTGTAGTTTTACCATGAGAAATCAGTGTTACTGTACATGAAATGAATAGAAAAATACAGTACTGTATACTTCTGCTCAAATAGTTGAAGTCCATTCTTCAAAATGGGTAATAGGTTTTACTTAAATTGCAATATATAGATGGCATTGGATGTATCCTGTGGACCCTAAAGGTTTTTGCCATTTATTAAACTAGCTGTACCCGGCCACGCATTGCTGTGGCTCATCAAAGCATGTGCGCTGTTGAGCCACTGCAACCTTTCCCTGTCTCCCAGTTTTCCCCTACCATTCTCCCCTACCCCGTTCCCTCGTCCTCCCCACCATTCGCCCCCTTCCCCATCCATTTGTTCTCCCCACCATCCCTCACTCCACTGTCCCCTCGTTCTAACCATTCCCCACTCCCTCGTCCCCTCATCCTCCCTACTATTCCCCCCATCCCCCTTGTCCTCCCCACCATTCCCCACTCCCTCGTCCGATGCATTCCCAAATGATCTGATGTTCCCATAAGAAAATTGAGAACATCAAATGATCTAATGTTCCCATCACTGAAATATACTGTAATAAAAAGTTAAAAAAAATGAAATGAAAAAATGAAAAAATAAACTATACTCAGGAAATAAACGGTGTGGTAAACAACACAGCTCAATTCCAACGCAATATCACACAAAATAATTAAATCAAAATGAAAATAAATTGAAGTCTATGAAAATTCAATTTGTCGGTGCAATTGGAAACATTGAAATGTAATTGTAACACATTTAGTATAGCGTGTGTTGCTCTTATGTGCAACAGATGGCGCTGTTTCTTAAGAAAAGAATGTTTTAAACTGTCACAGGTGTGGCATCTATACTTATATTTACGAAATGAACGGTAGGTAAACAACACAGATCAATTCCAACACAATGTCACACAAAATAATTAAATCAAAATGATAATAAATTGAAATCTATGAAAATTCAATTTATCAGTGCAATCGGAAATATTGAAATGGAATCGTAACATATTTAGTGTAGCATGTGTTGCTATTACGTGCAACAGATGGCTCTTTTTTTTTTTTTTTAAATCATGGCTTTTACCTGTCACTTTTATGGTATCTATATAGTAGGTACTATATATAAAAACATTTGCATATTCGAATGGAACATCGTGCCAAAATTTCAAAGCAATCTGTGAAGGAATTTCGGAGATTACAGTGTTGCTCTTACGTCCAACAGATGGCATTGATTTTAAAAAAAGCATTTTTCCTGACACAGGTGAGGCATGTATAGAGTAGGTATATAAAAACGCGCGCCTATTTGAATGCAACGTTGTGTCAAAATTTCAAAGCAATGGCTAAAGAGGTTTCAAAGATTTACCTCACATGAAAATTTTGTTTAAAAACTTTTTTTTTCGTCACAGATGTGACATCTATATAGTATGTATATAAAAACCCGCTCGGATGCGAATGGAATGTTGTGAAAATTTCAAAGCAATCGGTGAAGAACTTTCGGAGATTAGTGATTTTGAACAAACGAACATTTACATTTTTATTTATATAGATTGAACCATCATTCCATTTATTATTTAATTGAACAATCATTCAATTTATTATCTAGTTAAACCATCATTTAGTAGGCAAGATTTTTGCAGCCCCATTGTCAGTCTGAAGTAGGTAATATGAAAGGGTAAACTTAACTATTCTTGAAAAGAAGGAATTGGTAAAGGAAGATAAGTGGCCTTGCTGTGACCAGCCTGGTGAATATATATGGCATTGTTGCCAGCACCATCTGTGATAAACACCTTTGGCAAATTCTTTTAGTACAGGTATACTTCACTTGTAAATTCAGGAGTTATCAGGCACATGAGGCTTCATGTGACTGATGACCCTTGAATCGAAAATGTCTGGAAGGGCTAGATGAATGCTTCAAGCATGACTCTTCTCTATACTCTATTTCGTTCTTCTTTACATAGTAAGGAAGTTGAAAATTAAGTCAACATTGTCCATTTTGCAATTTTATTTGGCCTTTTTCTAAATGATTAATTTTGTTTTCTCAACATCTTTGGTTGCAGAAGGGAAGGGGATAGAAATTCGCTAAACCTACAGTATAGATGACCGCGTAAGATGAAGTGAGGTGAGGTGATGTTCGGGCGATGTTGATTGGGGCAGAAGGTAAGGTGAGAGCTGGATATTCATGATGGTTTATGCTTGAGAGAAGGTTGCACATTTCAGACCAGTAGGTGGTTTGACGGCCAGTGAGCTTAGCGTCTTGTAATGCACCTGCAACAAAGTGGCCTATGAAAGCCTCATGATAGGTATCACCATTGCCCCATTAAGCATTTTCATGTTGTCAGGAGGCAACAGCCTAGAGGAAAATAGCAATGTAGAGTAAGGAAAGAAAGCTAATGATGCTGTACTCATTAAGATGATCATGCATTCACCATATCCTTCACACTAGTCTTGCACATGACATAAGTTCTTACTGATAGGTAAGCACTAACCAGTGTCATGCACAAGACTACAACTGCTTACCAGTGTCCCACACTTTTCAGCTGCTTCCTAGCTTTGGGTCAAACAATGCTTTCCCAGGTTCTTTTTATTGATTACAGTATACTCTATATGTATGTGTGTGTGTATATATAAGGTCCTCACAAACTTGTGGATGGATATTCAGTACAATAGTAGGTGTCTGGGCTGGGGGTATGTGCAAAATATTTTTGTCAATGGTTCACATCAGTGGTCTTTCCTTGCTAAAAATGAGTGCCATTAGAAACAAGGTACCCTGTTTGTGCTAGCCTGGGCTTGGCACCCTCATTGCCTTGGTAGGGGGTATTCCATGGCCTCAGAGTCCAACCTTATTATGTTTCATATGGGGGCAAACAGGCTCACAAGTCAAGACCTCTCTGGAAGCTGTTTTTCTCATCATCCAAGACCAGATCAGATTGATGTGATGAGGTCAGTGCATCAGGAATTGGCGCACAACTGATAGCTGTGTTGATCCCAGCCGTGGGAATATAAGGTGGCTAATCCACATCCAGTCAGTGAATTCCAATGCCTCCTGGAGAGACACTGTGCCTTACAGAGCAGTGCCATGAACCTGCTACCCATGCTTTTGCAGTATTCCGCTCTCTTCCATCACTTCATACATGAGTATTTATGGTGACAACCAAAACAAAAAAAATCACAGGTACGCTGAAACTGATGTACATTAATAATTTTATTTTACATTTGGTTTTATTAAACATTTATGGTGTAGAATACATCCTAAAGCATTATTCATGCTTTATCAAAATTACTAATCATTACTTAAGTTTCATTACCCTATAACTTACATTAATTAAAATAATATTTACTATCAACATAAACATATTAGTTTATTGGAACAATGTAAATTTATTGAAATTTAGCAGACACTTGACTTGTAGTTGTCACATTTTCTCTACAATATATTCAGAGTTGAACATCATTGTTAGAATTCAAGAATATGAGCTTTTCCCAGTGGTAGCATTGAGATGACTTCCATGTCATGTATAAATATTTTTCCAATGCTAAAACAATTTCACTTTCTACAGGTGGTGCTGACAAGTAGTGTACGTCAGACACTTGATGTGTGTTAGAACACTAGTTTCCATCAAGAGGTCTCTCTCCATTTCGGGTTTGTTATGAACATTTGCTACTTGTACTCTTGGATAATGATTTAAATTTATAGGTTTTGAACTGCCATCACTACAATTCAATCTGCCACCTACAGATCATAACATTGTCATTCATCAGTTTGATCAAGTTCTCACCATGGTGCTAGTCTCCAGCATAAGACATATTTTAGGAATGGCTGCATTCTTGAAATTAACTAGATACCGTACTTTTAAAACATGTTAGCTGATTATTAGCTAAAGTTATTTGGCAGTGCAGGTGCATTTGCCAACTCCTTAAAACCCCAGATGAGAAAGTATGACGATAAATTTGTAATTTTCTAGTTTATCTGCCATTCATAAGGAGGTATCCATAGCTCGAAATAGTTAATTATACAATAATTAACATTTAATAAGAATAAATTTCATAAAAATGTATCCCTGGTCATTTTAGGGGCATGTAAAAGTGAAGGTCTTGTTCATAATACAAAACATTAGCTTACAAATTTTTTGTTTGCCATATTACCTAAATTACCATACAGTAGTTATAATTAGTAACGTCTGTATACAGTAATTGTTCTTTATATTTGCTGCAGATATGAGTTCCAGTTGGATTAAAGTAGTAATAAAAATCAATCGAGTTCATATTATAATCAAAGAGCACACAGATACCAGTCACATTATAGCCTTAAATGTATAATGTTTGTGTATAAATGCAGCTTAAGGGATAAGCTCAGACAATTGCTTGTCATACAGTGTATTTTGGTTCATCCGGGGTGAGTCTAGTTGTGGTATATAATAGTTTTCACAGGAAATTTAAGGCATTTAAGTTTAGTGCTTATACTGATCAAGATCTTACATCTCTTGCTACCTACATAAAAAAATGATAAACCTTATTATTATACATATATCACTAATAGAATTTTGGAGCATATGGCACCATTACTCTCAACACATTATAAAAGCCATTAAATTATTGAATTTTTCTTTTAAACATACAATATTGTGTGTTGTATGCCAACAATACCTGTTTCATATTTAATTGTTTAGATATTTTTAACATTTGCAAAAAAGGTTTAATATTCAAATTCAAGACAAATGATTTTATAAGAAATGCACACTGATTACCAAGAGCTGAGAGAATTGTGCCATCCAAGGTTAAAGGACAGTTATCATGGAGAAAATATAGATGATCACCATGTGGTGCTTAAGAAAGCTTCAAGAATACAACTACAAGAATCTAACTGGTTTCAAACAATTTACTTGCAGCATATCCCTTTTCTGAATGGCTCTTGTAGTGCTACAGTAGTTGTTGTTGGAGTCTTGTGCACCTGTTTAGTGGTAAGCAGAGTTGCTATACGTGTCATGACATCCTGTACCCCACTTCCTGTTGCAGCACTACACTCACATGCGAAACAGCAGTTAGCCTAAGATAAAATAAAAATTATTAAATGTTATTGGAATTAATAGTTTCTTTCATTCAAACATACAATTTTGCATATTGTATGCTAAATTATGTCTGCCAACAATACAGATATAAACCAGATTACAATGCAGTGTAATAAAACAAATATTATTTATACAGTACTTGGTAATCTTGATGCAAGCTAGCTTAATGATACTAATGCATTATAATGTCACGACACTAAAGGTAAACAATTCAACAGTGACACTTCAGGATAAGTGTCCAAGAAGAAATATCATCAGGAAAGTAGCTATCACAATGTGTCCGATTTCTTAGAATTATCTTGCTAAATATGAAGAGTAAAAACTATAAATAAAATGTAAAGATATTCACATTGTCAATATCCCTCAGGAACACCTGTAAGCTATTGAGTCAAGCATTTGTGTATAAGTGTAACTCGCTCATGATAGTTGTGGCAATTACAATGACAAGGGAGCCGGTCAGCCGAGCGGACAGCACGCTGGACTTGTGATCCTGTGGTCGTGGGTTCGATCCCAGGCGCCGGCGAGAAACAATGGGCAGAGTTTCTTTCACCCTATGCCCCTGTTACCTAGCAGTAAAATAGGTACCTGGGTGTTAGTCAGCTGTTACGGGCTGCTTCCTGGGGGTGGAGGCCTGGTCGAGGACCGGGCCGCGGGGACACTAAAGCCCCGAAATCATCTCAAGATAACCTCAAGATATGAGGTTCAGTACAGTTAAATGATTAATTAAAAATAATTTTTCTCCAAGGTCTCACATTAGATTGCTCCCAAAAGAATTCAGTATATCTAAGGTAGGATTCATGAAGTTGAATGCGACTAAATTCAGGTACAGTATAAGCACCATGGATCTTTTCAAACGTCCCAAATGGGTCATACAAGGTACTAGGAAGGTACTCGAGGCCCAAGTTCACCCAGGGTGTGTGTGATCAATTCTCACTTGAGCAAGTCTGAAGCTTCACTTGATACCATCACATACCTGGCCAACTCGGCAATCCACCCCATTATTGGTCAGTAGGCAAAGACCTCTATCATTAAAAATTTTTATCCATTGAAACATTGTGCAATGCTGTATGTTGTCTTTGTTTAACATGTGCATGCTTCAAGAGTCTCTCTCATTTCTCCAATATCTGCTTTTAGCTTGGTGCATACCTATCATTGACTACAGGGGAACGAGATGTTGCATTTTTGTTATTTTCCTCTGTGGGGTTATGAACCTGGATTCAATCTCCTTCCTGGCAGTAGACTAAGGCTCATCTGGCCATGCCTGACACCTTGCCCTACATTAATTGGGGCATGGGATAGAGGAGGGACTGCTCTTTCAGAAACAGCATACTGCATTGTCTTTTGCAAGTTCATTCCTCAGCCTGGCTATTGCTCTGCCTTGCAGGTCTTTGCACTCTAACAGAGGCTTTGATTTACATTTTTCAGGCAAATCTGCCTTGCACCCTTTATAAATAAAGGTTCGGCAGGGGCTTGCTATATCAGTGTTTTTCTCCCGATTTAGAACAAGACTTGCAGGCAGGAAAGTTTTAGCATATATGCTCTGCATCTATTGTGTGATGTTGGGTCTTTCTTTTGTCTTCACGATCTTTTCAGTTGGTAGTGGTTCTGGCGCCTTCATTCCTAGACCCTTTTCTGCTGGGCAAATGTTCTTTATCCTATTTGCTTTGGTTCTATAACTTACTTCTTTTTATTTTATTTCTTTAGATGTGTTTCAGATGCTTACCTTAGAGAACTTTAAAGTGATAACTAAAAAACCAGACTCAAGAAATTTGAATATTGCAGCTATTGTTCTTTGCTGTGGGGAGTTTTTTTTGTCAGGAAGGGGGGGGGGGCAATTCTGAAGAAAATCTGGATTTGGAAACCCTGTTTAGGCATCAATGTTGTTACGTTTCAGTGGGTTGGATAGGCAGGTGATAAGCTTGTTTGAAATATCCCATGTAACATCAGTCAAGGTGTGGTAGGACTTGAAGTTTTTATGAAAGTACCTCTGATGGATATTCTGGGCTGGACTGAGGTTTAATCAAGTACCTCCCAGCAACTTACATAACCCTGCAGTGATGTTTGTAAAGATATACGTGATGCTGGTGCTTATGTTATCTTGTTTGTTCACTAGTCCTCTTATTACAACTCATCCTTAGAGACAACAGTACACATACTGTATCGAGTATTACTGATAGGCGTCTTTTACATCCAGCAACTAACAAAGGATGAATCTTATATGGTCCAATAACAATTGGGTTCCCAAATGTAAATTAATTTTATTATATATTTAGAGGTTTATATGTAGATCTAGAAAAGATTAGGTCAAGTGTTTAGTTACATCGATTTAAGTAGTGCTTACAATGTAAATTGAGTGAATGAAGCAAAACTATAGACAAAGCTTCAAACATTCAGATTAACATTTGTACAAAATATTGACAATTACTAACTGGGATAGTTAATTTTTGTACAGGCATCATGAACCCACTGACATTTTCTTTTGATCATGGGCTCTGTTAAAGACAGTAGGTTCTTACCCCAGAGAGCAATCAAGCATCTTTGCATTGAATGAAGCTTTTCAAATTGACTTGAAGCTCAATTTTTTAACAATTAACTAAAACCAAAAGTTCTGTTCAGGTAGAGTGCCAATCATAGATTGTTAAATTAAATGGAACATTGCTTGGGATGATCAGCATTAAACACTACCATTAATCCATGAGATTTTAAACGCTCAATACTGTACTGACAAACCTTAGCCAAGTTGTCTGCCATGTCTTGACTAATGCACCGACTTTCCTGCAGATCACCTTTATTTCCAAGCATGACAGTCACCACCTCTCCAGCCATCTCCTGTAAAAGGTAATTTCATTTTTTTGTGTGATCAAAACTACAAAATCTTAAAACATTGGGATTGAATTTTCTTGTAAAGTGACAATTTATAATGAACAATTTAAATTGCAGCATATGTTTAAGTACACTCCAAAATCTCACCTTGACTGATGTTATCCAATCCACCACATTTAAGAATGACTGCTCACTGGTGAGGTCATACATCACTACCACACCATCAACTTTCCTGGTGGAATATGCAGCCAATGACCAATTTCAACACTGATATTGGAAAGTAACTGTAGATGTGGTTTGTCAGCTGCTATTACATGTCATGTTCATTTCTGAATGCTGTTCTGAATACGTTATATTACATATTACTTATGGTAGTCCCTGTGTTTAATAGTTCTCAAACTACCTGTAGTATTGCCTGGTGATAGAGCGAAAGCGTTCTTGGCCAGCAGTGTCCCACAGTTGCAGCACTGCCAGTACACCACCTACTTGCACCTCCAGTGTCTGGTAATCCACCCCGACTGTAGCACCAAAGTCACCTCGAAACACTCCCATGGATGCTCTGTAGATTTGTTAATAGAAAAAGACATTACAGCTTAACTGACATTTTTTCACTTTCAGTATAGTACTGTACTTAATACATATTAACACATTTACTGACATGTACTGTAATCTTTTTATCCTGGCTGAATTTATAACCTATTTCTTAGCCTCACTAACATTTATTACAGATAGTATAACAAAGTTATCAGGTTGAACAGAAAATGCCGAGTGATGTAGAAAAAAACTTTGCACAGCTCTAATGTAAAACATCGAGAATAATGGGAAAAATAGACAAGGACAATCTACCTGTGAATGAAGGAGGTCTTTCCTACTCCACTGTCTCCGATGAAGACCACTTTGAACATTCTAGAGGGACAATAGAGTAGAGGTTTTCCTCCCAGACAGGTGGTAGATGCAAGTGGCTGGTCACCTTCCTTATTCTTTACCTCTGCACTTTCATCATTCACCTTTGATTCGGAGTCTCCACAAGGGTAATGGCGAGGCAGCGAAGTTACCATTATCGTGGGATCATTTTGGAAGTTACTTTTAATTGTTCTCCCTTCAACAGTGTCTAAAATTTCATGCAATTTCTTCTGTGGTGGTCCATCGGGACCCATCTGAGTGAAAACAATACAGTCTTCTTTTGGTAATAATTACAATACAAACATATATTAACTTTACATATATTAACTAAAATTACATATCTACTAATTTTAAAATTTAACTTCTGTATAGATTCTGAAATTCACTGCATTTTATCTCCCATTTTTGGCAGTGTAGTATACAAAGACTTCACTTGACTAGCAAATTCTGTGTACTGTACTAGGTTATAATTAAATGATTGAAACTTTTTAATAGTATTGGCATTTCACAACACTGGATTTGTAACTTGACAAGCAGAATCTGGCAAAAGCTGTATAAATTTGTATTAAATTTAAAAAAAAAGGATACAAAAATATATCATTATAGTTTCAGTAATTGACAAATATTTAATAAATTAAGTTTCTTATTAATAATTCGTAATTTACATTTGCTGTATTTTGTTGTATATACAGTACTGTATATTAGAACTTGTAAACATTTTAAAAACTATTCCAAAACATATTGAACATCAACTTGTATGTACTGTAAATGTAACTTCATACCTTGCATATTCCTTCATCTATGGATGATTCATTCCGATCACCCTCAGGTTCATCCTTTTGTGTAGGATTGTTCACAGGTCCACAGAATATATCTTCCTGCATGCACTGGTCCCTATGGTCACCACCACCTATCTGCACACACTGACCCCTATGGTCACCACCACCTGTCTGCACGCACTGGTCCCTATGGTCACCACCACCTGTCTGCACACACTGATCCCTATGGCCACCACCACCTGTCTGCACGCACTGGTCCCTATGGTCACCACCACCTGTCTGCACACACTGATCCCTATGGCCACCACCACCTGTCTGCACGCACTGGTCCCTATGGTCGTCACCACCTGTCTGCATGCACTGGTCCCTATGGTCGTCACCACCTGTCTGCACGCACTGGTCCCTATGGTCACCACCTGTCTGCACACACTGGTCCCTATGGTCACCACCACCTGTCTGCACACACTGGTCCCTATGGTCACCACCACCTGTCTGCATGCACTGGTCCCTATGGTCACCACCACCTGTCTGCACACACTGGTCCCTATGGTCCCCACTGGTCCCACCTGTTTGCACGCACTGGTCCCTATGGTCACCACCATCTGTCTGCACACACTGATCCATAGGATTAATAGTGGCACTACCATATACATCACTGCCCTGAACCTGGGGGATTTGGCATTGTCTTGGCTGGCTGCCTTGAATGTTATTGGATACAGTAGCCATTTTCGGTGCAGATTCTGTTTGTGTCGTAGCCTTTTCTTGCGTGTCCCAACTTTGTGGGTTGAAAGTGTGGTATGTGTGGTGAATAGGGAAGGTGTGATGGGTGTATTGAGTGTGATATAGAGGGAGTACTTGTGTGGTGTCATGGTGGCCGAGTTGGTAAACGATGATAGTCGTCGAATATTTTGGCACGATGGGAAACTGGTTACCAAACCTATAACATGGAAGAATTCATTAGGTTATTTAGTGTAGATTAAACAGTAAACTTTCTCCTAAGTTATCAATCAGTATACAGACAACCCATGCCACTAACAGCTCTGAATTTGAACAATTCAGCACTCAAGCACTTTTTTTTTTTTTTCAAGAAAAAATCCTCGGTAGTCGACCGTTTGCTTGGCACTCCTACAGGTATGGGTACACACTGTGTACCCATACTCACAGGTAACAAACAAGTCAGTAGCTGTTGTTCAGTGCACAACTCCACAAAACTTCATGTTTTCTTGGATATATTTTACACCAAGTCACCATGGTGCCTAAGGTGGTTAGTGGTAAGAGCCAAATGAGAAGAAAGCTTGAACCACGATAGAGATGGGCAACTTGTAGCAAAATATGAAAAAAAAGGGGTGTGTGTGTGTCTGTTCTTGCAAAATGGGGGGAGTAGGTGCAAAGTTTTCTTGAAAAATATCACCCTGCCAAAGCTATAGTAGTGTTATAAAACTGAATGACAATTTTATGTTTCATTTCAGAAACATTTTAAAGTGCAGGCAAGAATAAATGCGTCTGGAGATATTTCCTGTAAGAAAAGCATTCTGTAAGTTTTGAGAGAAAAAGAGAGAGAACCCTAGAAGCACAATTACCTGACATTTTTATGGAAGGGGACTCGCTCCCCTGCCAAACGGTAACATTTCTCCTCGCCACCTTCCACATACGCCATCATTTCTCGTAAGTGCAGGTAAAATTAGAATAAATTTGCATTTCATCTAGTGTTTGCGTGTGTGTTTTTTGTGGTCAGGAATGAATTATTCCAATTTACATTATTCCTCCTGGGAAAAATTATTAATTTCGGGAATGAATCAAGTTTGGGTATGGAGGGTCCAATGTATGCTGTACATAGTTCTGCCTCACTTTGCACTCAAGGTACATTGTAAGAAAAGGGTGTGCAAGGACAACCCATTTAGATTTTTTTTATAAAGGTGGGGGGGGGGGGGGGATAAATTCACAATATTAAAGGAATCTATGTCTATTTGCCAATAATTAGCAATCATTTATATACAACCTCATGCACTTTCCAAAGCACTATTAAAAATTAATCTGGTAATTTGTTCCACATATCTTTTTACCCTAACCAGTTTGTGTTTATTTTCTAAATTTGAATTCATTGGTTTGTGTTCAAACTTGTGTTGATATTTATATAACCCTCTTAAACCCGGTGATCTGAATACTTAAATCATGTTCAGTGCAATTAATTCATAAAAATGGCAGTTGAATGCTGCCAAAAATTTAATTAGTTTATTTTTCCAGAGCATCAGCGCTGAGCACTGCACCACCTGGGGGATGCAGCGCCGGCGCTGACTACCATCTGGAATTACCTGTTGCACAAACAGTGCCTGGGAAAATTGTCAGTGGATGTGCTAAAGTAATTTTCATGAACTTCATGAGATGGTAAGTTTCCACAATCCTCTCCACATAATTGTTGTATGAGGAGTTTGTGTGTTGGTGAGGCATCTTGCTCTAGTATTTTAGCAGACGAGTCTTGCCATGCTGCCTTATCGAAAGTGTGTGTAGCCACTGAGGAAGAAGTCAGTCCAGTAAGTGATGTCTGTGTTGTGGAGTCTTGCTTCACAATAATTGGTGATCGGAAGTCTTTCAAATCTATAATCAATGTAGACAGAAAAAGTATATTAATAGCAAGTCCATACATGTTAACATTCAAGACCAAGTGGCTACATTGTTCAACAAAAATAGCAAAGTCCTTTGTACAAATATATGCAAGTCATGAAAGTTTTATGCCAATACACAAAGCATTCTTCAGTTATCGCACAGATACTGCTTATTTAAAAATTACAACCCAGAAATTCCTTGGGTGCGATTCCTAGTTTCATGTACAAATACTTTCTTTAATACAAGAGCCACATGCAAATTAGTAAATAAAAGTGAAACTCATAATATACCATGAATTAACTGCCGTCTTACCAGGCAACATTTATATATATCCCTTTATATGTCTAATAGAGAATTCATACCTGGAGTGTCTCCCACATTATTAGGAAGCTTTCCTCCACACACAGTACAAAGGGGAGGGTACTGTAAGAGTTCTTGCAGAAGATTTGTTTCCACGGCAGTAGTCAGCTGGGACATCTCTGACTTTTGGCCAGGCTGAACACCCAAATTCAGCTGCAAAAGAAAATCTAGATAATATATTAACATATGCTTCTACATACAGTGTAGAGTACTATCTACCAACACTACAAGTCTTCATAAACATGACATTATTTTTTCACTAACAATTATACTCCATTTAATCTCTTCAATTTATCCATTATTTTCAACCACTTCAATATTTAAAACAAAAAAATAATTTTAGAGGAGTTCTTTCACTATATACTGTATATATATATATGTTTGTTTATTTATTTATTTTATATCCATCCATTTGGGATGCTTGCACACTTACAAATGCTTTTTTCAGAAACCATTAAGAGTTGAATAAAATAAATATAAAAATTAACTCAAAGATTTTACTGTACTTTCATTTTATCTAATTTACCTAGAAAGTATGCAAGTTTAGTACAGATATGAATGTGCCAGAAATTACCAAGGCATGTGGCAGCACTTGTGTTCATAGTAAATGTGGGGACTAAACTACTGTACTGCTATATGGGGAGAGAACGAGTACAGGTACTGACCTTAAAATATTCTTCATCGTGCTCGCAATCGGTGGAACCAGCACTCCCATAACTCAGTCTGCCAAAGAAAACTTTACAATAAAGCCAGTCTCAAGTTACAGTAATGTGAATGAAATTTCTCAATTACAGTACACAGTTTTACCAAACAATATACTGTTAATGTGTTAAACCGTGTAACTGGTATATTAAGGATGTAACTTGTCTAATTAGAAATGAATTATATACAATGTTCTTATATACCGAACATTGAGAAAGGATTTAGGTTACATTTGAACATTTACTTTAATACTCTTACACACATACTGGGTCTTCACCTTCATTCAAGCACTACGGCATTGTCGTAAGTTTCTCCATGTTATGTATATTTTATGATGATAATTATCATTATATAATAAGGAATGATGCTCAATCGTTTGGCCTGGACGGGAGAGTGACGGTCTCGCTTCATGCAGGTCTGCGTTCAATCCACAACCGTCCGGGCATCATTCCTTCCCCCCGATCCCATCCCAAATCCTTATACTGACCCTTTCCCAGTGCTATATAGTCGTAATGGCTTGGCACTTTCCCTTGATAATTCTCTTCCCTTCATGTCCCCAACACAATAAGTTATTATTTTATCTGGCACCACAATAATTATGTACATGACAATGTTTAACCATGAAGGAAAATTAAATAAATAATTCCTGCAGAAGTAGTGTGATAACATCACATTATTAGAAGGATGATGTGTTAACACGAAAGTACTTAAGGAATTATTCATTTCATTGTCCTTCGTGGTTAAAATTGTCATATTATTTATCACGGGTTAATTTCTTCGAGATTTACACACAAACTATAAATATAAGGCAGCACAAAAAGTTCTAAACGTTATAATTTTTATAAAACCACCACCAATTTAGGAGCTACAAAGCTTTTATACATTCAAACATTTAGCTTTTTGCATTAAGTTACATTGATTAAAGAAACTTGTAAAGAAACAAAGGCAAAAAGCTGACCTGAGGTGCCGATGAGTGGCTTGATCGTGTTCATCTCTCAGCTGTGTGTTGATGGTGCGCAAGAGGCCAAGTTGGGTCACCAGACTCTCCCTCTCCCTGACAACTGCTTCGCTCACCTTTGTATACACACGTTATTACACTAAGAAATCATATTAACGAGATGAGATGCATCAATAGTATCAATTTGCTTGGAAAGACCCAGAGCATAGGTTCGAATCCTCCTCAAGGCTCTTACTGATCTTCTCACGTTATTATTGGTAATAGAAACATCTCATTGTTGTCAAGGGTTTGTAAATCCCAAGAGCATTGCTGATTATCTGCTCCAAAAGGAATAAATGCTTTGGAGAAAATACAACACTTTAATGATTTTATGCCGCTCTAAGTCGACTCCCATACCTGGAATGGTTGAGGGCCACAGGACTAACTACACTAAACCAGACGACAAGGCATCGAGACCTTTGAAATACTGGACAAGATGAAATATAGTAATCCAGACCACTGCTTCAAAAGGTCAAATGTACCTTAATACATACAAGGGGCAACAGCTTCAAGCTCAATTAGCCACAACCTGGCTAAAGACTATCTGTGACGCCCTTTCCCGCCGACAGGTTACTCCGGACGGCCTCCTACATCGTTATGGGATGTCCGCCACCCCAGCCACCTATGTGCCAGAGAACTTAACTCTCAGCCTCTTAACTACGCTCTTGGCTTCAACACAATTGCTGTATGACACTAGGTGGTAATAGTAGTTCGCAGCCTACGCAACACACCATGTGTGACCAAAGAAACCCGGCAACCCCACACCTTGTGGGAAACTTCCTGCAGCGAGGGAGTTACAGCCCCACTCCTGTGCCAGGTAAATCCACTACGGGCTCACCATAGCCCGTGCTACTTTGGAACGTTTGTTCTAAGTAGCTGAATCTAAAACATTCCTGCAGCGCCTTGTACAAAGGAGCCGACGGTGTGGGGGGAGGGGGGGAGACAGACTCCATTTTATTCTTTCTACTTCTTTTGTACTTTTAAACTTAAAACCCTTTACTTGCAATTTTCCCCACTCTTAATTGCGCAAGTCTTTAAATTTCTCACGTTATTCCCATAACTTGTTACCTAGTAATTAACGCTCTGAGCAAGTCCCTTTATCCTGTAATCGAGTTCTCTCATGTAGCCTAGTTAATCCTTAAACCACATGAAACTAATTCACTGTACAAAGCACAGCCAATAAGTAATTATCTCTTCTGCGCACACAAATGTACCCTCTATCTTTCTGACAATTGTGCTACATGTAAACATTTCCTAAATATTTGTAATTTAACATAATTTATATTTATTTATATTTACTTTCCCATTATATAATTTAGCTTGAACCCTAGAAATACACCGTATGGTGTATATATCATTCACTGATAATTCTTGGCAGTAAATTGATGAAGAAAAGTACCTTAATGGAGTTGGAATTCACCAATCACTGATAGATGCACAAGTGAGAGCTGCAGTAAACAAAAGCAAACAAAATCCTAGGACTAGTCAAACGATATTTTTACCTCAATGAAAAGAAGGTAGTTATACGACTATAAATCTCTGCTGCACTCCATTTTGATTATTGTAACCAAGTATGGAGACCTCATTTTCAGAAGGACACACACCTGCTATGGAGAAATTTCAACGCCAGAAGACTAAAATAATTTCTGAACTAACGACTCTCATACCAGGAATAGTTGAGGGCCACAGGTCTAACAACACTGCAAACCAGACACAGGACGGATCTTATCGAAGCTTAAAATACGTAACAATTTGGAGAATGTTGATCCAGACCACTTCCTTGTGACACAAACAAGGAACAACGGCTTCAAGCTCAACAAGCCACAATGCAGGTCAGAAGAAAACAAATGATTATTTTTCACCCATGGAACCTATCCGCCGAAGCCGTAATGCCTAAACGCTGCTGAATTTCAAAATCCAGCTCGATAAAATCAAGACAAATACGGGGGACCTTCGAGGAGCCATCGGTTTCCTGTCCTCGTCGAGGTTACTAGAGAGTGGCCCTCAGGCCAATTCTGTGAATTAACCATGTAATTTAAACTTACAATGTGGCAAAAATCTATATAAATTGTTCGAGTAATTATGGCCTTTTTTTGCTATATGAATGAAATATGAATAATGTCCACAGAACATGATCTAGAGCTTGGTAGAATATATTTCTAAGTTATTTAGAGATAATAATTAACTCATGCGTTTCAAGTGTTTACCTTGAAAGCCTGCTGTGCCCGGCGGATCTTCTCATTCTTGGTGTCTGTCTTGAACGCCTCGAGAGCGGTGGTTAGTTCCAGCCCCTCGGCAACCTTCCTCGCCAGCTCCTCCTCAAGTCGGTCCTGTTGATGTATAGTCACCCAGCCTGCACTAGGAAAGTCTGGGTAGAACACAAAAATATTCACCAATATTCGTATGATGAGTGGACATACACTCGCGAGTACTGGAGGCTATTCTGGTGCTCTACCCAGAGTTTGCGAGTAGAATAGACTCACATTTCATGTTTTCTCCTGATTCCATGTATGACTAACAAACTTGCGAGATGGGGATATTAGATGGACTCCTAGCAAGATTTGATCTACACTGTAATCCTTCATATAAGAATAATGGCAGCAGAACACAGCTTGTTAATACAAATAAAATCACACTAGTTGAGCTATGATGATAGTCTGCACAAGCAGCTTGATTACAACCAACCCAGTTGATTTGCACGTAGTTTAGTTACAGAAGGGACAAACTAGAGAACTAACCACATGCTGAGAGAGGTGCGAGTTGTCCAGTCTGACAACTGCCTCCGTAGCAGCCATCTGCTCCAGCTGCTGGTGCACGGCGCGCAGTTCCTCCTCCATGGTTCGCAACACTTTTTCACGCTCCGCCACCTGTGGTCAACGAAACCGCCATAGTAGTTAATGCCTAAACATTGCTGAATTTCAAGATCCAACTCTAGAAGATCATAAAGACAAGTGGGGGGGGGACCTCTGATAAGCCTTTGGCAAGGCTTCCTGTCCTCGTCGAGGCCACTAGAGATATTGTTATTATTTTTATTATTATTATTATAATAATATATTTGCAAGAAGGTACAATGGGTTGGTGAGATTACGTAAGATTGGTATTTTTACATTCATACAAAGCCAGTAACATACACAGCGTTTCGAGCAGACCCCCAATATAGTAACCCTCAGGTAAATTCAGATATAAACGCGTTTCCAAATGCGTGTGTTCACACACATGAAGAAACGTAATTTGGAATTTGAACCCGTTCGGGTGTTTACAAACAAAAAGTCACTGAGGCCGCTCCATACCCAAATTTACAAGCAGGTACGATACAAAACTCGAACGTGGAGATTTAAACACGCTTCAGGGACTAAAAGCTATTTTGGGGCTAGAAGCCTAGCTTGACTTCAACTCCTCGTACAAATAACACTCACAGACACATGAGTGCGCAAATGCACAAATGATACACACACATATGACACACAACATTCCTTGCTTGTGTGCCCTCGCTGTCCTCACCTCCTCCTGAAGTAGCACCAGGGCCTGGGCAGCCTTGTGACTCTGCATGTCTGCTGCTCTTGTCTGCTCCCCGCTCAGTTGGCTCTCCAGTTCTTCATACAGCTGCGCTACCTGTGCCATGTACAGTGTCATCCTATCTTATGCAATATTATTTTAGCAGTAATGTATACAATTTTATGTGAAACCATTTATAACTAAAATTGAAATAAGTTTATTGAGGTAAAATACACACAAAGGGATGAGATAGTTCAAGCTATTCTCACCCCGTTATTTATAACTTGGTCAAGCACTCTGCAATTTAAATTTACTTAACAAAACAAACAATATAACAAATACTAATAAAATAGGACAGACATACGGATAAAAGTTTCCTAAGTTAAGTAACAAATGAGGTTCTAGGAATAGGGAGGGAATTATCAGGGGAAAAGCGCCAAGCCATTACGACTATATAGCACTTGGAAGGGGGGTCAGGATAATGATTTGGGATGGGACGGGGGAAGGGAATGGTGTCCAACCACCTGGACGGTCGGGGATTGAACGCCGACCTGCATGAAGCGAGACCCCTGGCTCTACCGCCGAGCCCAAGTGGCTGGACCAACAAGTTTAGTGTGGTGAGAAGTACATTATTTGTCTGCTTGACACTTTAGGATCCGAGGGAAGAGTAACCACATTTCAGTTTTGATGTTAATGTATCACAGTCATCAGTACTGAAGCCACTGATATAGCTCATCTTTCAGGACAGATGATGTATTCATCTTGTGGGGCCAGCAGCAGCAGCGGTTGTCTCTTACAGCCTGTGTTGATAGTGTGCACGTGGCTGGTGACGTCACAACCCCAGTTAACGTGCAACAAGTCACTGTGACGTCACCAGCAAGAGTTCCAAAGATGCAACCGTTACGGTGGTGACAGTTACTGCCAGTAACAGCACTTGGTCATTATCATCATTCTTAACGGGAATATAATGTTCATAATGTGCCATTCAGTTTAAAACATGGTAGTATCAGTTGTCCAGTGATGCTGTCCTAATGCACGTATAGTTTTACTATGTATAGTTTGTTACACGTATAGTTTACACTACTTGTGTGTTAAATGAGCCTAAAAATTTTAGGGCCAGCCGAAATATAATAGGCTGGGCAAAGGGGATTGTTTTTCTTGGGGGGGGGGGAAGGGGGGGATACGGGTCCCTAATTTATTATACATTACACGAGTGAGAGATGCACCGACCTGCTGATTGTACTGGTCAGTCTTAGTAGCCAGGGCTGCTTCAAGGAGGGCGTGGTCAGCCTTAACCCTCAATAATTCCTGTAGCAACGCCGCTACAAACTGTTCCATCTTCGCGTCCTGGACGCCTCCACCACACACCTCCCGCCACGCTGCCTCCACACCTGCTGAACTGCGAGAAACATTACTGAAAGCGTTACTGAAGGCGGGGATGAGCGCGCGAGTAGTGGTGCCAGCAACACCACATCACAACTGGACAAATGTAGGAAATATAGATGTGTATCTCTCAGAATGTTTGGTAATATGTTTATTGTTTGTGATGTGTGTATATATATGTATTAACACGATGTACTGAACGGGGTGAGAATAGCTTGAGCTACCTCATCCCTTTGTGTGTATTTTACATCAATAAACTTATTTCAATTTCAATTTCACTGGACAAAAACTGAACAGTGTTTGATACAGCTTCTACGAGTGAACAATTAATGGGACACGTTTTAAGCAAATCTTGTTTTATAATATGCATAATTAATACTTAGCTAAAAGCTGTTCATAAAAATCTTTTATAATGGTCCTTATATTTGTGTACATCAAATAACACAAGAGAAAAATAACTGGGTTATGGGGAGTTTCATACATAGTTAAGCTGTGGGCTTTGGTAAAGTTGTTGACGGAGGGAGTGTTGGCCGACTCAATCTGGGGATGATTTTTAAGAGCCGTGATACAGTTTAACATTATAACCGGTACTGAAGTTGCTACCAGCTCTAAATTCTGTTGAAATCAGGTTGTTGTTATATTGGCTGTGTGTGTTCAATATGAATGTGATCCAGGCTAGCCTCTTGAATTGGCTAATAATGTAGAAGTGAGGACATGATGTGTAATGTCTCTAAAAGATGTTCTGTATATTTGTGTGTTCATTAATTCATGTAATTCTAGGCTAATCAAATTATTGTGAGTTCATATGAAGGAATCATGTTCTGACCATTTCTGAATCACGATAAATGACTATGTATTGTAACGGTTCTATTCCACTGGAATAGAAAGTGGAAAAACATTCCAGTGGAAAACATTCTGTTTTCTTTAGATTTTTAATTACCTTATTTCCTATAAAAACAGAAAATAGTCAATGATCAAATCAAATAATAAAAAACTGACCAAAAGATAGAAACAAGCATGATGCCTCGGGACATGACGGCCACACAGCTCAGCGGTCAGTTAAATCAGTAAATAATTGTCAAAAGATGGCGCAAAGCGGAGCTGCCACGGAAAAATCGCCACCTCGGCGAAATCGTCATTTTTCGCAAAACTCAAAATCAAAACCAGCCATAGAATCGTTTTCAAAATGCTACCATTAGAATTACCGCACCTCTGGACGTTTCTTTCTGTTAACTCTTTCTTTGCTAATTTCCAATATTAAGCCTTTTACACATATATTTACCGAGATACAGCCAATTCAAATATCAAACATATCATCATGTTTTCTCAACATATTATTTAGAAAAATGAGTTAATGAGCAAGTAATAATAATTATAATGAGCCTGATAATAATTGGATATTAAAAAATTATGAATTTCTTTCTTCATCATTTATGTAGATACTTTTTTATATCTTCAAGCCTATAACACCCTACAATCACTGTGTAGAAAATTTCTCTGTCTACAATGTCATCAGGATGTTGGATATCCACTAGAGTGAGTCCTGCCTCAACCAGGATGTTGGATATCCACTAGAGTGAGTCCTGCCTGAACCAAAATGTTGGATATCCACTGGAGAGTGTCCTGCCTGATTCAGGATGTTCAATATCCACTGAAGAAAGTACTGACAGAATCAAGATGTTGGATATCCAATGGATAGAATTCTGGTTGAATCAGGATATTCGATATCCACTGGAGAGAGTCCTGCCAGAATCAATATGTTGGACGTCCACTGGAGAGAGTCCTGCCTGAAACAAGATGTTGCATGTCCACTGGAGAGAGCCCTGCCAGAATCAGGATATTGGATATCCACTGTAGAAAGTCCTGGTTGAATCAGGATGTTGGATATCCACTGGAGAAAGTCCTGCCTGTATCAGGATGTTGGATGTCCACTGGAGAGAGTCCTGCCAGAATCAGGATGTTGGATACCCACTGGAGAGTCATGGTTGAATCAGGATGTTGAATCTTCACTGGAGAGAGTCCTGCCAGAATCCGGATGTTTAATGTCCAGTGGAAAGAATCCTGCCTGAATCATGATGCCAGATGTCCACTGGAGAAAGTCCTGCCTGAATCATGATGTCCACTATGAGGAATTTACCCTAATTATTTTAATCATATTGGATATCTAAGGATGATGGACATCCTACATTATCATCAGGATGTAGAATACCCGCGAAGGAATACGGCGGATGTAACGAGTATATAGGAGTCCCACTGAGGCAAAACATACCATAATTATATCAAAGGAAAGCAGATATCCATAGATGCGAGGCCTTCCTACAATATTCAGAGTGCAGGATATCAACAGCTCTCAGATATGCTTTCATTGTCGTCAGGATCAAGGATATCCAAAAAAATGTTCATGAATAGGGAATAATTGAGTGAATAACTCTTCTTTAAATAAATATATAAATATAGCAGTTCAGTATGATGCATCACACAGCTAGCCGGTCATTTTTCGGCAAAAACCTTCTGTTTTCTTTTGATTTTTAATTACCTTATTTCCTATAGAAATAGAAAATAGTCAATGATCAAATCAAATAATAAAAAACTGACCAAAAGATAAAAACAAGCATGATGCCTCGGGACATGACGGCCACACAGCTCAGCCGTCAGTTAAGTGAGTAAGTAATTGTCAAAAGATGGCGCCAAGCCCAGCTGCCACGCAAGAATCGCCGCCTCGGCGAAATCGTCATTTTTCGCAAAACTCAAAATCAAAACCAGCCATAGAATCGTTTTGAAAATGCTACCATTAGATTTACCGCACCTCTGGACGTTTCTTTCTGTTAACTCTTTCTTTGCTAATTTTCAATATTAAGCCTTTTACACATATATTTACCGAGATACAGCCAATTCAAATATCAAACATATCATCATGTTTTCTCAACATATTATTAAGAAAAATGAGTTGATGAGCAAGTAATAATAATTATAATGAGCCTAATAATAAATGGATATTAAAAAATTATGAATTTCTTTCTTCATCATTTATGTAGATATTTTTTTTATATCTTCAAGCCTATAACAGCCTACAATCACTGTGTAGAAAATTCTCTGTCTGCAATGTCATCAGGATGTTGGATATCCACTAGAGTGAGTCCTGCCTGAATCAGGATGTTGGATATCCACTAGAGTGAGTCCTGCCTCAACCAGGATGTTGGATATCCACTAGAGTGAGTCCTGTCTGAACCAAAATGTTGGATATCCACTGGAGTGTGTCCTGCCTGATTCAGGATGTTCAATATCCACTGAAGAAAGTCCTGACAGAATCAAGATGTTGGATATCCAATGGATAGAATTCTGGTTGAATCAGGATATTCGATATCCACTGGAGAGAGTCCTGCCTGAATCAATATGTTGGACGTCCACTGGAGAGAGTCCTGCCTGAAACAGGATGTTGCATGTCCACTGGAGAGAGCCCTGCCAGAATCAGGATATTGGATATCCACTGTAGAAAGTCCTGGTTGAATCAGGATGTTGGATATCCACTGAAGAAAGTCCTGCCTGTATCAGGATGTTGGATGTCCACTGGAGAGAGTCCTGCCAGAATCAGGATGTTGGATACCCACTGGAGAGTCATGGTTGAATCAGGATGTTGAATGTCCACTGGAGAGAGTCCTGCCAGAATCCGGATGTTTAATGTCCAGTGGAAAGAATCCTGCCTGAATCATGATGCCAGATGTCCACTGGAGAAAGTCCTGCCTGAATCATGATGTCCACTATGAGGAATTTGCCCTAATTATTTTAATCATATTGGATATCTCAGGATGATGGACATCCTACATTATAATCAGGATGTAGAATACCCGCGAAGGATTCCGGCGACTGTAACGAGTAAATAGGAGTCCCACTGAGGCACAACATACCATAATTATATCAAAGGAAAGCAGATATCCATAGATGCGATGCCTTCTACAATATTCAGAGTGCAGGATATCAACAGCTCTCAGATATGCTTTCATTGTCGTCAGGATCAAGGATATCCAAAAAAATGTTGATGAACAGGGAATAATTGAGTGAACAACTCTTCTTTAAATAAATATATAGATATAGCGGTTCAGTATGATGCATCACACAGCTAGTCGGTCATTTTTCGGCAAAAACCTTCTGTTTTCTTTTGATTCTTAATTACCTTATTTCCTATAGAAACAGAAAATAGTCAATGATCAAATCAAATAACTGCGTAGTCGGCGGATGTGTCTCTGGATTTAGCAGTGTCGCAAACGTTGAGACGAAGCCTGGAGCAGAGCAGAGAGCTGAGTGAGGCCGGAGTCGTGGAGCTCTATGTGGGAGAGCGTAGCGGCTCGATTGAGAATTGTGAGTGTCTGAACTCGGGGAGCGAGAGCGTGGCGGCTCGATGTGGTCGTAGTCTGCTGTCTGCTCTGTGTCGAAGCTGTAGCGTCTTGGGTTGATTAGGACTGTACACGCCGAGTACTACATTTTGTTGACTGTGGAAATTGTAGTCTGGTACCAAAAGATGTAGGCAGTGTGTGGACAAGCTCGGTGTAGCAGGAGAGAAGAATGTGCATAATTGTTGCGTCCTTGGGTCGCTGGTGGAGCATTTAGATCCGGGGCGGATGTGCTCGGGCACCAGGACATTAGGAGGTAATGTAAGCACGTAGTTAGGACAACGAGGTAATCACATCTAGAGCTGAATTGTCCTGAAGGCGACGAAGTGTCGGAAACGCAAGCTGTAAGTCCTGTACTGCGCAAAGGGCTTGAGTCGGCCGAGTATCAAAATGCAGTGAACGTGTAGATGAATCTGATGACAGAGCAGCTGTCGTGGGCGTAGGACAAGCAGTGCCCTGGCAGCGACGGAGAGTCGGCAGGACAAGCTGTAGATCCAACATGATGTAATCATTGATGAGGCTGTCAGATGAGTGAGTAACGATCGTGGAGCAGCAAGCCGTAGTAGATGAAAATGCAGAGATGGACGCGATGAAAATCATAGCTGTGGCGAGGGTGTTGGCAGTGTTCCATCACAGCAAACAGTAGCAGTAGAGGTCCAGTGAGAGTCCATCGTGGCTGGGTATCGTCGAAACTCTCTGGGGTCACCAATGTAACGGTTCTATTGTTACGTAAAGTATGGTTACAAATAAACACAGACACTAAGATACTATATATATATTTGGTCGAATATACAGAAGTACACAGGTGATACTTTGGTGTGAGTTGAGCGCACTGAGCGTCGGTACAGTATCTCGCAAGTGTCTGCTCTAGACCACACTTGAAAGAAGACTAGTTAATGTTTGCTATTCTGCTGCTTATATGCTCGGTCAACACCTCACCGTGTTGCCCGGGCAACGCCTCACCTCATTCATCTCCAAAGGTTGACAGGAATATTAACAATGCATTTGGAGCGAGTATATTATTGGGATAATCTACTCGCTACAGTATACACACATAATTGTAGTTTGCCAAGAGGTGTGACGCGTTGGTGTGTTAGTACTTGAGGCAGCGGCCCACTTAATTCCCATCTGTAGGCTTTAAAGCTTGACCTCAATATTTGTATTGCTTACTTATGCTTCAAACAAGACATGACCCGAGACTTACTAGGAGTCCAGGTCGTGATCGGCCAGACTCTTGAGTAAGGTATCCAGCTGGCTGGTGGCGAAGGCGTCACCCTGGTCCTCGGCGCCACCCTCGGCCTCCTGCTCCACCTCTGAGCAGACTTTCGATGTCAACTCCGCCCGGAACCCCTCCACTAGACCCAAATGACAGCCTGGGGAGTACATATTACCACCATTAGAGGTGATCACCCAGTTACAGCCCCGCTCCTGTGCCAGGTAAGTCCACAACGGGCTCGCCATAGCCCGTGCTACTTAGAAATTTTTGTTCCGAATAGCTGAATCTAAAACAACAACAACAACAGGTGATCACTTCTGTGCTGGTTACCCATTGGATGATTGAGTGATTGATTAAACTACCCAAGAAGTGGCATGGGCACGAATAGCCCGTAAGCTACTGGAAGGTGTTCCGGAAGTTCTTCTACTCCCCAAGCCCGGCTGGGGCCAGATGTGGCGAGTCTTCCCCTTACGATGCAACACTATAGAACCCATGAAGAATATCCCAGCAGGAAATATCGTTAAATCAACGTAGTGTTAACGTTATCTAAGTTAGTTAGCGCTCAAGAGTATTGAAACCCACTTATATACCGTAATAATAATAATTTTAATCATAAAAATGTGCGTACAAAGAACAGTGGGCAGTAACTATACTTAGGGCACAATATATATAAGCGTCTCTATATACACTTTTCAGCACTCCTAAGGCAAGAGTGCCAAGAGTAAACTCTTGGAGGGTGAGGAATCATAGAACAATTTAAGGAAAGCGTACCAAAGCCAAGAGTAAACTCTTGGAGGGTGAGGTAGCCGTTGTGGTGGTGGTCGAGGACCTGGAACGCTCGCTCCAGCTCCTCGGGCTCCAGGGACACTTCTCCCCACAGGTGCTGACCACAAGAACGTTAACAAAATTAACACGATTAGGTAATTAATACAAATTATATCAGGCATATTATTAAACATTTGTTTCCAATTATTACTCTCAAACATGTTTATTCTAAGACGTAAATAATGAAGTATATTACGATACTCAAACACCCCAGACCCCAATAAAATGATTTCACCTAATGCCTCTGTTCACCTAGAAGTAAGCAGGAATTGTACAAGTAACTGTAAGTAACAAGTAAGCAGGAATTGTACAAGTAAAGCAACTGCTTCATAGATATGTGGAAAAGCTCCTATCATTGTGGCAACAGTTTTTTTTTAATTTTATCGGGGGACAGTCAGTCTGTATATATATATACGTTAGGATAAATATTGAGGTCCTTGCAAGGTCGAATTATTGGCCCTCCCAGGATGCGACCCCACAACAAGCCGACTAATTCCCGGTACTGTACCCACATTTTGCTTCCAGTAGATGAACGACATATGAGATTCAGAAACAAGTAGTGTATTGTGAGGACTAATAATAAACAGAAGCTCCCCTATGACTCTGTAATATCCCCATTGGCCAAACTATTATGTATTAGCGATAAGACCTACCATTAATGTATGATGACTTACTGTAAATATGTAGCTCTTGTAATAGCACTTTCTCTGTAACTAGCTGACATTGTATCTATAAGGTGTGAAGGATAGAAGAAATTGTTTATGTAATAATCTAAGATGAGGTCTGATAAAGATCTTTTGTGCCCTCTGTAATGCTTTTGCGCTACCGCTCACAGGATGAGTATGGGGTGCACAATAAACTAGCCGCCTTCGGCGGCAACAATCAAAATCAATCAATACCAGTTGAACAGAGGCATTAGTCGAAAGAAAACGTGCCTATACTCATTTCTGTCCCGGCCGAGATTCACGATTGTGACTCGGTAACGAAGCCAATTGTACTACCGAGATCCGGAAAGAGAACTGGTTGGAAAACAGGTGAGATTGTCCTCATAGTGTGCCGGGACGGACACGGACTGACGGACGGACACACACACACACACACACACACACACACACACACACACACACACACACACACACACACACACACACACACACACACACACACACACACATCGGGGGTCTGACGGCTGATTGGACAGCGCTCGGTATTCGTAGTCTTTGGGTCCGGGGATTTATCTCCGGTGGAGGCGGAAATAAATTGGCAGAATTAAATCCACAAGGGCCGTGATGAGGGTTCGAACTTACGCCTGGGATGATCCCAGACGCTGCCTTAGTCGACTAGGCCATGTCGTAGCCAAGGTATAAATGGGCAGAGTTTCTTTCACTCTGATGCCCCTGTTCACCTAGCAGTAAATAGGTACATGGGAATTAAGAGCTGTTACGGGCTGATCCCTGTGTGTGTGGATGGGGGGAGGGGAATACAAATCAGTTGACTGACTGACAGTTGAGAGGCGGGACCAAAGCGCCAGAGCTCAACCCCAGCAAGCACAACTAGACGAGTACACACAGGCGAGGATACTAACTTTCAGGTCTCTCTTGGTGACGATGCCCTTACGTTCCCGGTCACACAGTGTGAAGAGCTCCTCCGCCCGCGTCTCCCACGACGCCATCACCTCATGACCGCCCACGCCGCCCACGTCCTGCTCCGTCATGGTCACCCCGACGGTATTGTGTGTCTGGAAGACAGAGACCAAGTTGGAGAGACAAGACAGTGGTGATGATAATTTTGTTTATACTCACACTCACACAACCTCTCTCTCTCTCTCTCTCTCTCTCTCTCTCTCTCTCTCCCCTGCCACCCCTTCACCACCCCCTCACCCCCCCTGCCTTCATCCCCCCCCACACCACACACCTGCATCAACACGCCACAAAGACTCACACCTTGAAAACTGAGCTCTTTCCACACACTACAAACTTTGGAGACGAAGCTCAGGTCTGCCTATGTTGTCAAATGTTTATAATTTAATGATAACTAATTGTGTTGGGGGACAGGCAGCCAATGAGTGTGTACACTCACCTATTTGTACTCACCTATTTGTGCTTGCGGGGGGGTTGAGCTTTGGCTCTTTGGTCCCGCCTCTCAACTGTCAATCAAATGGTGTACAGGTTCCTGAGCCTACTGGGCTCTATCATATCTACATTTAAAACTGTGTATGGAGTCAGCCTCCACCACATCACTGCACAATGCAGTCATGTGGCCCAGGTTCGATTCTCTCACCGGGTAAGTGTTCTGTTTGTTAAATATAACTTGTGTGTTCAGGCAAGTGTGTGGTATATATAGACACGAGTTTTCCCCTAGTATTATGATTGATATAAAATGTGTGTCTGAGCTATAACCATTAACTGGCATCCACTGAACGCAGTGCATACGTTCATCAGCCCCTTGAACGCAGTGCACACGTTCATCAGCCCCTTGAACGTAGTGCACACGTTCATCAGCCCCTTGAACGTAGTGCACACGTTCATCAGCCCCTTGAACGCAGTGCACACGTTCATCAGCCCCTTGAACGCAGTGCACACGTTCATCAGCCCCTTGAACGTAGTGCACACGTTCATCAGCCCCTTGAACGCAGTGCACACGTTCATCAGCCCCTTGAACGCAGTGCACACGTTCATCAGCCCCTTGAACGTAGTGCACACGTTCATCAGCCCCCTTGAACACAGTGCACACGTTCATCAGCCCCTTGAACGCAGTGCACACGTTCATCAGCCCCTTGAACGCAGTGCACACGTTCATCAGCCCCTTGAACGTAGTGCACACGTTCATCAGCCCCTTGAACGCAGTGCACACGTTCATCAGCCCCTTGAACGCAGTGCACACGTTCATCAGCCCCTTGAACGCAGTGCACACGTTCATCAGCCCCTTGAACGCAGTGCACACGTTCATCAGCCCCTTGAACGCAGTGCACACGTTCACCAGCCCCCTTGAACGCAGTGCACACGTTCATCAGCCCCTTGAACGCAGTGCACACGTTCATCAGTCCCTTGAACCTCAGTGCACACGTTCATCAGCCCCTTGAACACAGTGCACACGTTCATCAGCCCTTTGAACACAGTGCACACGTTCATCAGCCCCTTGAACACAGTGCACACGTTCATCAGCCCCTTGAACACAGTGCACACGTTCATCTTCAATGTAAACATTCTTTGAAGATGATAATCACACGATAATCACGTTCCTACACATTGCACAACCGTTCATCGAGTTTCATTATTACCTATTGAGAGCTTTGGTCACGTTCATTGGTCTTCTGGAGACCCGCGGAAGACCTGTTGAGCACGGCGCTCACCGCTAAGCACCTGTTGGGCACGGCGCTCACCGCGGAGCACCTGTTGGGCACAGCGCTCACCGCGGAGCACCTGTTGGGCACGGCGCTCAACGCGAAGCACCTGTTGGGCACGGCGCTCAACGCGAAGCACCTGTTGGGCACGACGCTCACCGCGAAGCACCTGTTGGGCACGACGCTCACCGCGAAGCACCTGTTGGGCACGACGCTCACCGCGAAGCACCTGTTGGGCACGGCGCTCACCGTGAACACCGCCTGAACACTAGGTGACGCAGGGCAAGTGCCCAGGAGTATGTGGCAGCCAAGCAGATGTTTAGAGAAAGGCCGAGGTAAGCACAGGTGTGGAGATGTCGCAGGTGTTGGTCAGGCAGTAATCAACAGCTGCCCCGCCCCCTCTCAACCCCCCCCCCCCGGCCCCCCTCGAGGCCAGGTTTGTCACCGCCTTGTGACGAGAAGTTTTAGATAACTTTGAAGAAAGCAGAAGAGTGCAAACCAGAAACAAGCATTGGTTGTTGCAAGGAAACTTGTCAAACAAAACATGTGTATGAGGCAATAGAGTGACAGATGTTGTCACAGCTCGAGTACGACTTTGCTACACAAGTACAGTATCTAGCAGTTTGACTTGTATGGGGTTGTAGAAGAAGTGAGGTATTAAACATGTGGACAAAGACAAGGACACACCCACCGCTCCTGTGCCAGGTAAGTCCACTGCGGGCTCACCATAGCCCGTGCTACTTGCAACTTGTTCCGAGTAGCTGAATCTATAACAACAACAACAACAAGGACAATCACTAGCGCGAGTGTCTACATTTTACATAGCGTAAAAATTCGCCCACTTAAAGAGATAAAACTAAGCTTACGTTGCAAGAAATGGCAGAGAGAAGTTTGTTTCCAGCTGTAATCATAAGGAGGCCACATAGACTGTAATTATGTACAAATTTCCGTCGAGGTCTGATTAAGACCTTTTGTGCTCTCTGTATAGTCCTTTTTGCGCTACCGCTCACAGGATGAGTATGGGGTGCACAGTAAACTAGCCGCCTCCAATGGCAACACTCAAATTTGTTGGTCAGTCACTTGAGTGTGTGATAGAGGTGGTGGGGGAGGGGAGGGGGGGGGAGTGTATAATTAGTGTATAATCCACGAGGTATGTGTATGGAGGTGTGGGGGGTTGCAGAATGTGGGGAGGGTATGATGGAGGGTGAAGTTGATGGGGTGGGGGTGGGGGGATGTGGTGGGTCGTATATTGGGTGTGGGGGTGAGTGTAAGGGGGGGAGGGGTTGTGGGTGTGGGGGCCCCGAGTGCTTGTGGGTGTGGGGCAAGGTGTGGGGGGGGGGGGTAAAGAATGGCGGGGGTAGAGAATGGAGAGTGTGATAACTGTCAAAGAACTAGATGGTGACAATATGACACTCTTCCTGGGGTCCTTGGTTAGGTTAGGTCAACTTAATACATCAGTTTATTGACGTTGGGAACGCTAGAGATATTGAGCTGGGATTTTCATCGACGCTTCACGATATATCAGCAAGCTCCTCGTACGATATATCGGCGAGTCATCGTACGATATATCAGCGAGCCATCGTACGATATATCGGCGAGCCATCGTACGATATATCAGTGAGCTCCTCGTACGATATATCAGTGAGCCATTGTACGATATATCAGTGAGCCATCGTACGATATATCGGCGAGCCATCGTACGATATATCAGTGAGCTCCTCGTACGATATATCAGTGAGCCATTGTACGATATATCAGTGAGCCATCGTACGATATATCGGCGAGCCATCGTACGATATATCAGTGAGCTCCTCGTACGATATATCAGTGAGCCATTGTACGATATATCAGTGAGCCATCGTACGATATATCGGCGAGCCATCGTACGATATATCAGTGAGCTTCTCGTACGATATATCAGTGAGCCATTGTACGATATATCAGTGAGCCATCGTACGATATATCGGCGAGCCATCGTACGATATATCAGTGAGCTCCTCGTACGATATATCAGTGAGCCATTGTACGATATATCAGTGAGCCATCGTACGATATATCAGTGAGCCATCGTACGATATATCAGTGAGCTCCTCGTACGATATATCAGTGAGCTCCTCGTACGATATATCAGTGAGCCATTGTACGATATATCTGCGAGCCATCGTACGAGCGCTGCACGATGACCCTCGGGGTTATTGTGCAGCGCTGCCAGCTGCCGTTTTTGTTTACAGTAAAAGACTCACGTTGGATAAACTGTCTACAATCCTTTAACTGTGTTAGTAAAGATCATAACATCAACCATCGATACACCTACACTGTCCGAACTTCAATCTATCCTATCCTAACCTCACCTAACCTTAACCCAACCTCGTCTAATAGGATTCAGCATGTTATTAATCCCAGAGCCCTCAAACCCGTGACAACCGCTTTCCTTCCCCAAACTCGTTTACTGTGGTAAAATAATCCGATGTTCACATAAAACGTTAATCGAGGACATTGCAGAGCTTGAATTTGTGGGATGAACGTTCCAGAGGTGATTGGTTTAACCAAACTTGTCCTCACACCTCATATACCACAATTTGAACGCTGTCAACCATCAAAATAAATTATCATAAAAGTATTTGTGTGTACGTCTGATACCATACTACTTGTGAAGGAGGAAATGTATATGTTTATCTCTCAGAATGTTTGGTAATATGTTTATTGTTTGTGATGTGTGTATATGTATGTATTAACACGATGTACTGAACGGGGTGAGAATAGCTTAAGCTACCTCATCCCTTTGTGTGTATTTTACATCAATAAACTTATTTCAATTTCAGTTTCAACCATCAAAATGACAATATTTTAGTGAAATTAAAAATAAGTGACGCAGCCTTTGGACTAACGATAGATTAGGTGGGTTACATAGGGTCGAAGGCTTCTGGTTAGGCAAACTAATTTAAATTCAAAGTTCGTCAAATCCTGGTAACCAGTTGGACCGACAGCTGAAGAAGGCGAGGCGGTGTCGGCGCAGAAGAGCCTAGGGTGGCCAGGGCGCGCCGCCTCCACCAGGTAATATAAGGCGGCGAGACAGGCTCTGACGGCGTTTTGGCTGTAGCAGTTGTTGTGGGCAGGTGTGGCCACCAACTGTCATTGACGACACCTCCGTCTACGGACAGGTAGTGCAGGTAAGATACATATACGCCACCACAAAAGAAAGATTTACCCTCCTTGCTCTTACCTCCTTTCATGTCGACCTCCACTGTGCTGAAGAGAAGGGGTGACAGGCCGACAACTGGAACATGCTCTCTGGCTACACCACCCATTACACGTATACTTCTCGCGTCATCGATGACTGGCACTTCGCTCTTACAATGTAACATTTCACTTTACCAACTGAAACAAACATAAAAAGACGTGTGAATCTTCGACAGTGCGAATTAAAAAAATAACAGGCAAACAATACGCCAAAACTACACAGAAAATTTCAGAAAAGATGGAGGTAATAACGAAGTGAGGAGCCCTGTTATCATGTCTTCCCATTTCAGTGTTATAACGATACAAAACACTGAAGAAGGTCTATTGGGCCATACAAGGCAGCACCAATTGATATACACCCGAAGCACGTTCATATCATATTATATATATAAATAAGTAAATAAATAAATATATATATATATATATATATATATATATATATATATATATATATATATATATATATTATATTTATTTATATATATATATATATATATATATATATATATATATATATATATATATATATATATATATATATATATATATATATATGCGAACAAGCTTGAATGGTCCCCAAGCCAATATGCAACTGAAAACTCCACACACCCCAAAAGGATTCGAACCCAGACAGAAAAGAACACTATGATCACGACGTACCCGGTTCCTTAACCAGCCCGGTTAAGTTGCCAGTAATTTGTTCCATAATTTCTAGCGTCATCAAGGTGGTTCATAGTGTGTGAGAACTGGTCCCCCGTAGTGTCCTCACAGGTGAGACGACACCACCAGCCACACACCAAGCCAAATAATTGACAGTTGAAGGTGAATGTCATGATAGTGATAACATAGATATAATAGTTCAGTGTAATGAACAATTGTCGACAAACTACATAGTTGCTTCTTAAGACTGAAGTAGTATATTTACTTTAGATAGAGAATACTATAGATGGGGTATCCGGCGGTGCCCGGGACTTTTTACCCTTTCTTCTCTCCCATTTCTTCCTCCTCCCCTGTCCCCCCATTTTCACACCTTCCTATCTTCTCTCTCCCCCCCCCCCATCCTACCCTTCCCCTTCATTTCCCTTCGCCACTCCCCTCTCTCCCTTTCCTCCCACTACCCCTCTCTCCCACCTCTTCCCCCGTCCCCTCTCCATCCCATTCCCTCTCCCTTCTCCTTCACTCTTTTTCCGTCCCTTCCTCCTACTCTCCTCCACCTCCTCTTTATCTCAGAAAATGCCACAATACGAGCAACTGAAAACCTGTCTAAAAACTCTCTGGAAAACGTAACCACAATTTCAGAACTCGTAGGAGTCGCTGGCAGTCGCAATAGGATATGATCCTTTTTAAAGAAGAGACATGGGAGTCGAACCCGACCTCTCTATGACACTCTCCTTACATTTACAAATCACCATGCAAAGTTGTGCAAGGTTGCTACCAAGTGTTTGCCATCCAACTATGGATAGAGAACTATTTTGTTTTACAGATATAGACACCGAAGGTTATTACGAAATATAGCTAATAGTTACTGATCGGTAACCAAGTTAAGGTTGCAAAATGCTTGTTCAATAATGCCTCGGAAGTACAGTGGCTTCGTTTTCAAAATTATGTTTTGGACTTTTCATACCAGTTGTGGGGAATGTGCGGCCAAGAGGCCCATCACAGTGCGGCCAAGAGGCCCATCACAGTGCGGCCAAGACGTACGTGTATTTTGATGCAATGGACAATTAGAAAGTAAAATTTTGTACTACTGTATTTGGCCAAACCGGAACAGGTTTCGCATTTTTGTTAACAAAATCCTAACTTTCTTAGGACTACTACAGGCTATCTGAGGCCTAATATAGTACATGTGTATGTGCTATACTAGGAATATCTTTTTTAGCTATTTTTACTCGGACTCTATATTGAATAGTACCAAATTCTACTATCTAATTGTCTATTACGCTAATATACAAATATGTACAATGGTTCACATAGTTAAAAAAGTACTATTTAAACGGGAGGAAGGGTTGGTGTAATATTGTCCATCCCTGTGCTGAGCTGTACTTAATATTATCCGGCTGTATGCTCAATATTATCCGGCTCTATGCTCAATATTATTCAATTCTGTTTAATAATATCTTGCCCGTGTTTAATATTTAACTCTGAGCTTAATATCATCCAGCCCTATGCTTAATTATTAGGTCCTGTACCTAATAGTATCCGGCCTGTGTGCACTATTACCGGCCCTAAGTTTTATATGCTCCGGACTTGTGTTATTAATATACAGCCCGTGTTTAATTGTATCCGACCCTTTGACATGTGTTGCAATGATCGCCTTCGATCCTTCTCAGATTATATTTACAAAATGTTTTCTGGGATATGAATAGTGGAGACGTGTGTACGTGTGTGTGTGTGTGTGTGTGTGTGTGTGTGTGTGTGTGTGTGTGTGTGTGTGTGTGTGTGTGTGTGTGTGTGTGTGTGTGTGTGTGTGTGTGTGTGTGTGTGTAGGTGTGTAGGTGTGTAGGTGTGTAGGTGTAGAAGCTGGATTTCGCAGGTGGAGCGCGGCAGACAAGGAGTGGCATTAAAGACACAGAATCGGCCATAAGGAGTCCAGGGACAGGGGGTTCGATCCCATTGGAGTGTCTCCAAATTTTGTCATATATATAATCGAGCATTTTCACAACGAGGGAAGAATTCTTGACGAGTCGCAAATACTCACCAAGTTGTGCTTGCGGGGGGGGGGGGTTGAGCTTTGACTCTTTGGTCCCGCCAAAGTGATCAAGATGTGAGGTGCGTGGCCACATGTGAACCCCCTGATTGTCTGACTTCCCTCCCTATAGTCTGATACACTGAGCACTCTGATCTACACGTGATCAGTTCATCCGAATCTACTGGTCACTCTCTTCCACCGGTGACCAGATCACATCTATATTTCGGATTTCTTAATGCCAATTAAGCTAATCATCAGAGGTGTTTGAATCTCTGTATGTTGTGCTTGAATGCTTGTTTCCAGTAAACCATCCGACAATAACTATACATTTATGTTCCCAATTATTGTTGTGTGCATAAGGGTGAATAGTGTGAAAGGACGTTTGCAAGAGTGTCCCAACTTGTTGATGATTCGACTCTTGGACTAACTTGTTTCGTGAATGTTGTAACCACTATGCCCCAGGCCCTCAACACCTCTACAGTGCCACGTTTTTTCACAGAACTACAGAACCATTGTGGAAACACACACACACACACACACACACACACACACACACACACACACACACACACACACACACACACTTCCCCCAGCTGGTCGCAGACCTCGGTGTGAAGTGTCACTACAATCCTTGTCTCTGTACAGCCATGATAATGGTTGTAAGATGTGTGGACCTCCTGCCCCTCGTCATGATGCAAAGTCTGCTTCGCTTGACCCCAGCAACTGCGAGACACCACCACCCCGACACCAACAACTTCAACAACCATGTTCTTCAGCACCTCTACGGTATCCCACACCAAGATGACGCCATTACACATCACCTCCGTGATACTCACCACGACCCTGAACACATCTATCAAGACAAGCGGGATGATCCTGACTATATTTGGTATTATATGAACGATGTGCAACAGGACCCTGGTGCTGTCGACAAGTTTTTCGACAGCGTCCGGCAAGATCCAAGCGTCGTCCGAGAACACCTTACCTTTCTTCGCCCTGACGCTGAAGGTCTGCGGCAATATCTCGACGCTCTACTCCCAGACTCCACTGACATTCAGCAAGGCGCTCATGACACTCGCCAAGTCCCCGAAGGTCGTCAAGACCTTGATGGTCTCCTGCAGGAGTACCTACAAGATGGCCGCCAAGAGTCTGCCTTCCAGCAAAATTCCCTCGATATACAAGACTTCTTAGCACCCTATTACTCTAGTCCTATCTCTGACACAATCAACTTGGGCACTCAGCGGTACAAGCGCCCCGGTCAGAACGCCGGCGACATCCTTCAGAAGGGTGGTGAAGGATGGAATGGTGTCGGGATGTACATTGGTAGGTCCTGCTGGGACCATTTCTCACCTGAGAACATCTGGTGTCCACCAGGACTGTTTCAGGTGAGCCCACGCTCAGTGAGACTGATATGTTAGCATCAAATACATCGTTTCAAATAGAATACTAAATATATGAGTATATATAGCTTTTGGAAGGCCAAAATAATTGGGTGACAATCCCTCCCACTCCCCACCAGCAGGCCCTGAGTGACCACCTGCAGCGCCACCTACTGGCCGACGCCCCACCCTATGCCCGCCCATTTGTGATGCCCGCCCCACCCCAGGCACTCCCCACCCATCCCCTCTGGCTAAGGAAGCCCCCCACCAAACGTTACCGTGAGTAAACTGTTTGATTTTTGGTGTTTTGGAAGATATACAATATTATGACACGCTAGTGAGTCTTTGTAAACTACTCTGGCTGGAGTGTAGAGTAAGTATTCCAGTCACCTGGGCTGTAGAGTAAGTATCCTGACTGCAGCGTTGAGAACTCTTCTAAGACTCATTCTCAATTCTTTTCTGCCTCTCTCTCTCATACCTCTGAATGGTATTTGTTTGTTATTTATTGTGTCTACACCTCATCAAATTTTTAAATGACCTAAATTAATTATTTTGTTAATGCCCGAAACGCTTTACTTATTGACGAACTTATTAAATATATATATATATATATATATATATATATATATATATATATATATATATATATATATATATATATATATATAACCGAAAACTCACACCCCAGAAGTGACTCGAACCCATACTCCCAGAAGCAACGCATCTGGTATGTACAAGACGCCTTAATCAGGCGTCTTGTACATACCAGATGCGTTGCTTCTGGGAGTATGGGTTCGAGTCACTTCTGGGGTGTGAGTTTTCGGTTGCATATGTCCTGGGGACCATTCAGGCTTGTTCGCATATATATATATATATATATATATATATATATATATATATATATATATTCTGTAACAAGTATTAAACCACTGTATCATATTCTTTTGTATACTTTTAAATAATTTTTTTTACTTTACGTCCAATGTCCGAGGTCAATATACCAACACCACATATGCTGAAATACGTATGAAAAACCTGTCAAACACTCAACAACCGCCCCACAGAGGCTAGGCTGCTTAACTTAGCTTCCAAACACAATTTGGCGTCAGCAAGGTGGACACCATACTGTCACAATTTGTCGTTGTTGTTGTTTAAGATTCAGCTACTGGGAACAAAACGTTCCAAGTAGCACGGGCTATGGTGAGCCCGTAGTAGACTTACCTGGCACAGGAGCATTGACAATTTGCCCTATATTCCACATTTCTAACACTTTCTTTCAGCTGTACCTCTCCCCTCGTCTTTTCTTCCCCCTTCTCTCTTCTTCCCCCCATTCACCCCCTCTCACCTGCGTTGCTGTTTTTGCTCATTACAAACGCCCATTAATGCCACAGTTCTCACCCGAGTAGAGGCCAGAAGCGAACAAAAATCACTGTCTAATGAGGTTGTTGGATTCAGTGGCGCTCGGCAGCCTGTCATTCACCACCGACACTCCCTGGCTGGCCGGCCTCCACGTCCACCCCGTCACTGACCATTCCGGTTTTGATTGTACTGGGATCTTTCGTGGCATGAATGTCGGCTTCATCTGTATCTCCGGGAAGCGAGATTTAGCTCTAGGGCTCCGCTGTATGGTAGATGTACGCCGTGTCTCTATTACTCCCGACGTTTCTCTTGTTCACTAGCACACTTAGTACCAGAATGTTCACACATCTGTGTAGGTCATTCGTTTTGAATTTCCATTTTCCCTCTGTAGACCATGTTTTGTTTTTCCTCGCCTGGGAAGGGATATCTTTTGATATTTAATATATTGTCTTCAGTAACTTGTGGGTTGTGATCATATCACCTTTGGTCCTATTACTCCCGACGTTTCTCTTGTTCACTAGCACACTTAGTATCAGAATGTTCACACATCTGTGTAGCTCATTCGTTTTGAATTTCCATTTTCCCTCTGTAGACCACGTTTTTTTTCCTCGCCTGGGAAGGAATATCTTTTGATATTTAATATATTGTCTTCAGTAACTTGTGGGTTGTGATCATATCACCTTTGGTCTTCTCTTCTTGAGTAGTCAGAATAAGTTTTTATTAATCTGTCCTCGTATAACGGATGTCTTATCTCCGGCAATAATTTTGTGGCAAATCTACTGACTTCATTTTATCATTGTGCGTCATAAAGGTGGAATTCAATGCTGTTGCCGCATGTTTTAATACCTGTCTGACGTAGGTTTGGTTAAGTACTATATAAATCTGAATGATTTCTTCCATAAGTTCCTAAATACCGTCATTATGTTTGTCAGTTTTGCAAATGCGCTTAATGTTATTCCAGTGAATTACGGCATGTGTCAGCTGTAATGGAAGTACCACAACGGTATGTTGTTTGATCTCTTGAGGACAACCCAGTAAAAAATAGTGTGTGTATACTCACCTATTTGTGCCTTCGGGATCGAACTCTCGCTCTTGGACTCCGCTTTTCTAGCCGCTGGTGTGTTTTATTGAACATGCCTGAATGGGTTAGATAAATGATTATGGCACGAACCTTCACTGTATTTCTAATGTCCTCCTATGCATGGGAAGGAAGTTGAACAATTAAATCTCCACAGTTTATTTTACAATATTGTGAGTCTGACCCGTGTCGCTAAAGACCTTACCGGCCATATTCAATAACACGTATACAAGAACAACTAATCCAAATATATATATAAATATATAATGAGACTATTACAAAAACTAACAATTACTCCATTTCCTTGACAGTTGGCATAGAGCTGCCAGACTACATAGCCACCACATACTCGTCCATCAAGACTGACAACGCCCACTACCTCACCAAGCTACACCAGCTCAAACAACGCATGCGCAATGCTGGCAAGTAGACAACCAGCAGCCCACTCTACGCTTCCCACGTCCGCGATAGACACCGGTTTTCAGAGCGGCGTGCATCCACAACTATGGCTTACACGGTCAACCATTCTAGACTAACATGTCAACAGTTCCACAATCCCATGATCAACCCTTCTACACCATGACCAATTCTTCCAGACTACAATGATCAATCCTTCCAGACTATATTAATCAACACCCTCATGTTCCACCCCATCCAAATTCAGATGATTAACCTGTATATATTCACAGGTCCCCCACCCCCCTAGGAGGCTCAAACTTGGGCCGTCAAAATAATAGTGCTGTACTAGTACTAGATACTCTTGCCCCTTGAGAGTTTGGGAGTGATGTATGGTTGCGTGTGCATTACATTTACTCATTGCCATATCAATGATTTAAGTTCGAGTCTTAAAGGGGAGTCATAGCGTGAATGTTGTAAATACGTGTATCAGGGATCGAGTTTATATACACCATTTAAACCCCTAAGTACCAGTTTGATCAGAGAGCGATGAAGTAACTATATATACTCGGTGCACTAAATATGCACAATTAACTTCAGATTATTATCAAGATTCAATATTACATGAACGTCGTTTGCTGGGAGGCGAGGATACACCTCATGTGAGGATGCATGTGGGACCTAGGGGCTTCCATTACCTTTTATCACATCAGGATGTGTGGATATATAGCAGTGAGTTCCCTTGTTGTTCAATACAAACTAAAAGAAAGTATGGCGCTACTGTACTTGGGCTGGCAGCCGACGGTAGAGTGAGACGCATCAGTCAGCTGAAGAATATCGGGCCGAGGATCCCTCGAGGACGACGACCACCGCAACAACTTGTGGTGGTCACCAGGAGATGAGGTGATGCAGGAAGCATTTTATCACACGTCGAGGTTCAATCGGACGAGTAAGAGGCTGTTACTAACACTTTGTAAACTAATTAAAAGTTTTTCTTGTCATAAATGAAGTTACTACTTCAAATATAAATATTTTGATAACGTATACACTCATGCATTTTCTGGATCGATTATTCATATTCTTTTGATATATTTCATCTACTTCTGGAAATGGTGCGAGGTTTTGCGAATGTACTTAATTGCATTTCTAGAATCATACAGTAGGCCGGAGAACCAGTTACCGATTCTCGAACTAATGGGTTGAAATAGTATAACCAAATGGTGTTGACGATCCTGTGTAGACTATTACATGTTGAACATGAGCCTAGATGAGAGGGGTAACTCTAGGGCTGGACCCCTGTCATCCATCATCAACTCTTAATTAAACACGACTTTATTATAATATTCAATTCAAAACTTATATTAACTTCGGATATTCCGGTGTTTCTGTGGATTTTGTTGTTATAAAAGATTACTCACTAAGTTATATATATATTTTATATAATTCATTTAATTTAAAACATACTTCCAGAATGTGTAAATATTAATAGGCTGGTGAATGTGTCATTTTGAGCATATCATGACAGCTTACCCACAAGTTGGCTTACCTTCATAACACAGCTGAAACAATGCTCTGCTTCTTCGCTTGGCTTACTATTAACTGTTTTATATGTTTTTAATTTGTCAGGTGTCTGATGAGTTTTAAGTTTATATATATATATATATATATATATATATATATATATATATATATATATATATATATATATATGTGTGGTGTATTTTGTTCACACTACGTGGTGTATGTTATAGGTATATATTGTTCAATGTACTTGTGCGTACAGTTTATGACAGATGCGTTATGCGTAGTATAACACTTCAGCCCCCCTTCCTTTCCCATTCCCTACGTTTCAACTTGAACTTCAGTGTGGCTACATTAACTGTCAGTAAAGCACTCCAACAACCAATACATATATTGTGCAAGCTATAGTGGCTTAGGATACTATTTCCGTCAGCAACAATTTCACCCTTGATATATGTTGCCTTTGTTCAGCGAAAGCCCCCATTTATAACACTTTAATGATGTATCACGGTGTTTTGCAAGTGTTGAAATTAACAGGGATATTTGAGTAAGTAAGGAGTAAGGTTGAGGAGAGTTAGAGTAAATAAGTCTGAGGATTCAGCTACAAGTGAGGCTAATGACGTGGTAGGAAATACCGTACATGTGCAATTCTGTAACTATGACAATAAACAGTTCTTAAATGTAATATTTTGATTTTCCGTTTTCTATCTCAATTGAAACTTTCCTGTTTAGCAAATCGTCCGGTGGATGTGAGCCAGAACATATTGATGAACACTTCAAAGACGTGTTTTTATTGTTTACAAAACGTGATCATCAAGATGATGGCGAGCCGCCATGCGACTTCAGATAAAACAGTATATTATTGGTCTCTACTATTGAAATATTTTACAGGACCTTCTCCACGGCCCATAAAACAGAAGAGAGGGTCCCGAAAAACCTTGCCGATAGAAATGTGACTTCTAATAACATCAACCAGAAGACTGAACTAATAATATACTATAAGTCCCAATGGCGGGGACACGAGGGACTTATAGTATAAGTCCACTCTACAACTGTACTATAAGTCTACTCATTCCATTCACCTTATCCTCGGGTACATATCATGCAGCATGACAATTTGTAATCAGTCCAAATTCATCATTCTGCCTTTGCTGATGTTAACAAGAATAAACGAAACGCAACTTAGTGACAGGCTAAATAAAACTGAAAATGAAGTTTGGAAGAATTAATTTTTCAACTTCCTTTTCAAGTGAAAAAAGATCAGGAAAACAGAGATCTGTGTAACACCAGAGAAAAATCGGTGTATAAAGGTCAAGAGGTATCAGATATTATAAATATTACTCAACAATTCGTTATATTCACCATAACATCCACCACCACCCGCATAACATCCACCCCCCCACATAACATCCACCCCCACAACATCCACCACCCCCCACAACATCCACCACCCCCCACAACAATATTAGAACCTGACTTTGCTGTTTAAGGGCTGGGATCGCACCTCCCTAGCCCTTAGAGGCTATGTTTGCCTTCATTGCGTTTCAGCATCCCAATATGCTGATTTGCATGTATTATAATGGGAAATATGATGCTGAAAATCTACATGCAAAGACATATGGCTGAAGTGGTAATATATTTTTTACTGATTCTGTTAAATGGCTACTAATAAACATGTAAATTATTGTATTTGTTACCTACAGTGGTAAGTTAATGTGCCGACAAACTCAAAGAATATATTTCTATAAAATTCAGCAAATTCAACAAATATAAACAATCTATTTCTCACAGATAAATTCAAGAATTTCCTGGACATCTGACCAAAACCATCCGTTTAAATAATATATATATATATATATATATATATATATATATATATATATATATATATATATATATATATATATATATATATATATATATATATATATATATATATATATTAAGATTACTTTAGGGAATATTAAATATACAGATGGCCATCATATAAGGTTTAAAGATCATTAAGTACCTGCTGTGATGTTATGTATTAGGTTGTTGGCAATTCGTCTTATTAAGCGTATTGCGTATAATGTATAAATAATTACACAAATTATATATATATACAACTTCTGCAAGGAATTAACTAACCATTAATTAATTTCCCATTACTGAACCATCCCAAAGAAGAAATATAATTATTACTAAACCTATTTAATCAGTACATTTCACTTTACCAATACTATACATCTATGACAGCCTATATTGTTTACTAAACTGCATAATATGTAATTGGGTATTTAATATGAGAATGCAGATACAGTTATTTCACTCTTTACCTCCAGTCATGATGTAAACACTTGCTGGAAGACTTGAGTGAAGGTGACAGTCTCCTTGTTATGGCTGCATTATATATCAACTTCATGTTCCTCGACGTGCTTGTCAACCCTGTGGACTTTGACCAGTCGCAGCCAGCCATGTTGTTAATGTCGCCAAGGTCCGCAACACTTAAATATTGCCACGCGCTCCGCCAACACTCTCCCGTGCTACTGATATACACACACTCCCCCGCTCAACGTGCCACCAGTAAACGTTGCCAGCGCACATACTACAAGCAAACATTCCCTGCACACATACTACAAGCAAACACTCCATGCACACATACCACGAGTAAACATTGACAGCGCACATACTACAAGCAAACACTCCCTGCACACACATACCACGAGTAAACTCTGCTAGCGCACATCCTACAAGCAAACTCATTTTTCCCAAATATTTTTAAGCGATGATGCTACTCGCTCCAAAATTCTTAAAATTAACGACTAACGTGTAACACGAAAATTTGTCTTTTTATAAAGTAAAATAATGACCAGAAAAAATGCCAAATCTAGGCATAATAATTGAACTAATAAAACAAAATATAAATGACATAGTAGTCTGGAACTTGAGATGAGTTACACAAGTGGCAATGAAACTTCCAAGATATCATCTGAGCCAACCGTCCAGCATTCTCATATATCAGGGATGATGATCGTCAGTGCTCACCGTGGGCTGGAAACGAAGCCAATGACGAGGGTTCGGATGACACGCCCACCACCACCATCCACTGTTGACTAATTTAGTACAGAACTGTGTCTAATGTATTGACCAGTGTCTTCAGAAGTCGAGATACACATATCTTGGAGATCAATACGTGTTCAGTATATTACAAACTAAGTTATTGACAGGTTGAACGATGCTAGGATTTATATACAAGATGTCATGTAGCTTAATGTATATATTTACATTCAAAACAACAAGAGTATAATAATAAAATTATACTAGTTTTCTATTAAATACATAAAACATTCCGTACTAAAATATTAATGATTACATAAATAAGTAGCTTAAAATAAACAATAAATATATTTAACATACTTCGCAGCTCTCTCAAGACACTGCAAGACAATCAACAATATTAACAGAGAAGAGTGAAACATGGACAGTACCAAGTCAACAAGTTAAACTACCTATTGACTTTTTAAATATAGCTCTGAAAATCTACCCATGTTCACAGTTCACAATATTTCAAGTCCTCACAAAGTGACAAACATGAAATGCTATACAGTGTACTGTATAATATATATATATATATATATATATATATATATATATATATATATATATATATATATATATACATACATACATATATATATATATATATATATATATATATATATATATATATATACATACATACATACATATATATATATATATATATATATATATATATATATATATATATATATATATATATAAGTATAATTAGATTTTTTACACACTTTGCATAAACAACAATGATATATAAAACCCGAAGGAAAAAGTACACTGAAAAAATATAGTTTATATGAATTTGTGAAAAAATGGTAAACTGGGAGAAAAGACTTTGGCAACAGCATCTTAAATATTGATAAGGCAAGTGCACATATAATACTTCATATAAATAGGTTAGCTTTGAACTAAATTGAACCAAGAAATAATTTGAAAAACAAACTTTGGAAATAATAATGAGGCTACTTCATGGATGACAATTTAGTTATAATACAATAGTCATGGATCATGTAAATTTATCATGTGGTTCAGCCATGCACTGCACCTTCCTTGAAACATAACAAATTAACAATAAAATGCTACAAAACAACTACGATGTATAAAAACAAATTATACAAAAAACACAAGCCACCTACGGCCCGCCATCAGTCACAGAAATAGCCTTAAGCTATTCTATCCTGTTATGATGTATTTTTACTTTATTTTACTATCTCAACAAACTTATTGTCTTTAAGTATCAGTCATATGATAATTAGCTAGTAACAATATAAATAAACAACTCAAGAATTGGGTGCTGCATCTTCGTAAAATATCACAGACCAACAGAGTTTATTTAATGCTAATAATACGGGTCTTATAAAGCACGGCGTTGCTTTAATTAAACGAGACATTGTTATTATATAGTACGTCATTGCTCTGACAAAGCATGTAACTGCTCTGACAAAGCAAGGCACTGCTCTGACAAAGCATGTAACTGCTCTGACAAAGCATGTAACTGCTCTGACAAAGCAAGGCACTGCTCTGACAAAGCAAGGCACTGCTCTTACAGAGCATGGTACTGCTCTGATTGAGCACGGCACTGCCCTGATAAAGCACGTCACTGCTTTGACAAAGCACGGCACTGCCCTGATAAAGCACGTCACTGCTCTGACAAAGCACGGCACTGAAGTGACAAAGCAAGGCACTGCTCTGACAAAGCACGTCACTACTCATGAAAACATGGCGCTGCACTGATAAAGACACACTTGCTTTATAATTATCACCAAGACAAAAATATTGTTAAACTGGCGAAGTTGCAATTAGATTTTTCTACTTGTCTTCACTCATTCAACTACAACCTTGAGAGCTGTATCCAGTCCTAGGAAAATATACAATTCTTATATAACTTTTAAAAACCTTGGTGACCTCCATAGTATTTAATTTAACAATTACAGTACAGTATATCAAATTATAAGAAATATATACTTTACAGTATTGTGCTTGAACCCATTATTGTACTGTAAGGGTACATACACACGAAATTAATGTTTATTTCCTTATTCAATTTTTTACATAAATTATTGCTTCTTTGAGCCAACAATTGTACGGCTGGCAGTGATGTATGCCTTGAATGTATAGGGACCGGTTGTACGGCTGGCAGCGGTGTGTCTTGAATGTATGGAGACTTGTATGGCTGGCAGCGAGTTTTACCTATAATATATGGGGACTGGTTGTAATGATGACATCGGGGTTTACTTATCATGTATGGGGACTTGCAGCGGGGTTTACCTAAATTGGATGGAGACAAGTTGTACGGCTGGCAACAGGGTTTGCCCTGAGTGAATGAGAACTTGTTCAAGTCATCTCCTTATGGCATTTATTAATTAAGTTAAAATGTTGTGATAATAAAAACTGGACAAAACATATTATAAATTACGAAATTTTAAATAACAAACGTTACGAAGATAGCAGGAAAAGTTGTATTAGGTCAAGTGCTGCAGATCCAAGCAGTCAACAACACAAACGTTTAGCATAGTAAATCAGCACAGGAAAGTCCACTACGGGCTCACCATAGCCCGTGCTACTTGGAACTTGTTCTGAGTAGCTGAATCTATAACAACAACAAATCAGCACTGACCAGTCAATTGGATAGAAAAATGGACGCGTGTAGTGATCTTTGGTGACAACTTATGCCTAGATTAGCATAATAATTATTATAACATCGTTATTACACGGCCCAGAGACATTGATGTCTTAGTAAATATAAGCAAACGACCACATTTTAGCAGGACTAAAGTAGACCAAAAATGTATTAAATCTAATAAATTGAATAACATTGAACATTCTCAGTATTAACTGAGTATCTTACTGCGCACGCGCATGTGTGTATGCGCGTGAGTGGTTGTGCAAACATGTGTGCTTGTTTAAGCAAGCACGAGTGATTGTAAGCACAAACATGTACTGATGAATATTACTAAGATACATAAATGTTGCAAATTTATGAACGGACTATTATCAATAACCGTTCAGTTGAATATGATGGTATTTAAAAACATTACATTAAATCAAACGACGGTCTGTGTTCAATTGTGAACTAAATCTATTCTTTATCTTATCGGTAAAAGTCTATATAATTATTCAAAATTACGTTTAGTGTGACAGTCATGGCGGAGAGGGAATGTGACAGCTGTCACGGACAGAAAGTGACAGCCATCGGGAAGAAAGTGTCATATTGTTGTTCTGTCATTGGCAAAAACTGACAGCCGTCGCGGAGAAAGATTGTCATGTTGATGTATATGTTAAGCAAACACATGGTTTATCATGGAAACAACCCCGGCCACATAACACGATATTTTCACTCCGACAATTAAGGATGAATGTCGAGTTGTCCCATTGGTAACAGCTAATTCCTTTAATTTTCCGCACGATATCCTATGATAATCCCGGTCACTCGAGGCCTGGGATAGCGTCCAGCGGAGACGGGATGGAGGCGGCCTGACTATACTTGGGCTGGCAGGCACAGCCGGATTCCACTAAGACGTAATCCTGGCCGGTGAGGGTGACAGGACCCAGCGGTATCACCAGAAACAGGTAGGGTACGTACGTCTGCACACACGCGCCCTGCACAATGTCGCATGACTTGCTCCTGCAACACAAACACATGATGTTACCATGGTGAGCTTCTGCAACATAAGCAAGACGTAGAGGTAGGGATAGATGTTGTGTGTGGTGGTGGTGGTGGGGGTAGGTGAAGGAGTGAGTGTGGTGGTGGTGGGGGTATGTTGTTATAGATTCAGCTACTCGGAACAAGTTCCAAGTAGCACGGGCTATGGTGAGCCCGTAACTTACCTGGCACAGGAGCGGGGCAAGAAGCACGGGCTATGGTGAGCCTCGTGGACGGGAGATGTCTCTCCTGTGTGGTGGGGGAAGGTGAAGGTGTGAGTGTGGTGGTGGTGGGGGTAGGTGAAGGCGTGAGTAGAGGTGGGGGTTGTGTAGGTGGCTATAGTGAGCTCACCAAAAAAAAAATTCTCATTTAATGTGAGAACTACTTTTGGGTTTTATACAAACATTAAACGGTCTAAAATAATTTCGTGGTTATCTACATTGTTCAGTATCAACAGGAAGTTCAGTGTTATTATAATATATATAACAGTTGTGGATTTGGGGGTATGATGAAATCTTACACAAGACGGTTCGACTAAATTTGTTTTCTGGTTGTCACTACCGTATATATATATTAGGTTAGGATGTATTAATATTAGTTTAGGTTAGGCTGTGTTAGGATAATTTGGTTTGAGTTAGGTTAGGTAAAATTACCTAGGTTTTAAAATTCGTTGGCGAACTGTCTTGTGTAAAATTGTGACGTATCCGTAGATTTAAAGTCTATATTATGAGACAATTTAGGTAGCATGGAAACTAAGGAAACAAAAGAACATATATAGCTATTAACCTACACATTCAAGTTTCAATGAAACGTGTCCTCCTTTGAAGAATAATGAGTGTTATAAGTCTCAATACTATGAAACAACAAGATATTGCATTGAAACAATTAACAAAATCGCTACAAGAACCACTTCCTCCAGCCCAGAAAGACTCACTCGCACACTTCGAAGATAACTTGCTGCAAGAGATCAGGGAACTTCTGGACGATGGTGACAGGCCGGCCTGACGTGAGACTGATGCCATACATCGGCGCCGTCGTGTTGAATTTGGTCCGGCATAGCCTAGCCGGAGGGCCGGGAGGACACGACGACGGTGACGGTGACGACGAGACGGAGGGGCTGGTGGAGGACATGGGGGACTTGACGGAGGCAGCCGTCCTTACCTGGTTCTCTGCCGCAGGTGATGATGTCATACTCCTACCTGAGGCGGTCAATACATCATATTCTAAAATCATTCTGCTTTAAGATAATTATACTCAAAACTGTCACATTTTTAAACTACCATGATGCTCTTGATGACACAAACTATTTAGCCTTTTTTTTTATTAATACATTAGGTACATCTGAATTTGTGCAGCTACCCTAGACTATATGAAAGGGAGTACAGTGTGTCAAAAAGCTAGCTACGTGATGCTAAAAAATCCTCCATCACACAGGATGGTTAGTCATACAGAGGCATGTGATAAGTAGTCTGCACTGACAGACTCTGGGTTCGTTATGAGGATATCATGAGTACAAGAGTGAATAAGGTAGCAGTGATAATAAGAGTCCCCATCTCGCAAGATGGTTAGTCATACAGAGGCACGTGATAAGTAATCTGCACTGACAGACTCTGGGTTCGTTATGAGGATATCATGAGCACAAGCGTGAATAAGGTAGCAGTGATAATAATAAAAGTCCCCATCTCGCACGATGGTTAGTCTATTTAACATTCCATTCACCTGGGCTTAAGGGTCGCATACATACATACATACAGTAACGGGGTGAGAATAGCTTGAGCTACCTCATCCCTTTGTGTGTATTTTACCTCAATAAACTTATTTCAATTTCAATACATACATACAGTCCAGGTGAATGGAATGTTTATTTCCTTGGAAGTGTAGATGACAATTTATATGACGTGGGCGTGGGTCAGTAATTCCTCTGAGCTTCACTAGTGGTCAGGGTAAGTTGAAAATTTCAATTTGACAGCAGGATGCTGCTTCTGAAAATTTTCTTTTTTTTTAAAGGCTGCTCATAGCAGAGTTGATAGAGCATCGGCCTCACACACGTGGGGTCCACGGTTCGAGACCCATATACAGCCCAGATGAATGAAAGTCTGCCTCCGCAGACTTACGAAGATAAAGTTTGAAAGTATTGGGCAGTACTTTAAAGTTACAATACTGAAATTCTAGCTTTGTGGGAACGGGAGTGGGGAAATGTCAGTAGACAACCTTGCCAAAGGTATTCACATTAACCACTCCTGTATGTTTAATTAAAACTAAGAAATATTAATGCTATGTTGTGCTGTATCAATGGCACTGCATGAACTCAAGTAGAGACTGACCCTCTGGTGCGAGCTGGCCGAGGTTGGCATCCTGGTATTTGGCAAGGAGTCTGTTCCTGGTGGTGCTGGGGTCCAGGGTTGGGTGCAGGGTTCGACCCTTCCTCGCGCTCCGAGGAGGCCCAAAATCGCCTTCAGTGTACAGCCGATTTACCAGAGCGCTGTGGACATGGAGGACGAGGTTAGGGGTGAACATATATTTTTGTTTGTTTTTTACACAGATGGGTATAGGAACAGACCAAAACAGACCACTTTTGACTCATGTTAGTAGACTGAGAGCTTTCTCTTCCCCTAACTCATGGTACAACCCGTTCTCCTAATAGCACATCGCATTTTGACGTACACTTTACCTACGGCCAAATAACTGATGTACTAAAAATAGTAGGGCTCGCGAAATTATTGTGATGTACCCGTTTTCTGTTTGTGGGCCTTCGGGTAGGTTAGGTTCAGGCAATTTAGTACAACAGTTTAGTGACGCTGGGAACGCTCATCTATAGCTGTTGTAGACAAACAGCCCCGCTCCTGTGCCAGGTAAGGCCACTACGGGCTCGCCATAGCCCGTGCTACTTGGAGCGTTTTGTTTCCAGTAGCTGAATCTAAAACTACATGGGAACGCTCAGGAGGACGGGCTTCATGGTCAACCAATCCTATCATAGCACGTCGCATTTTAATGTATACTTTAATGTATACTTTACCCAACTAATGTACAAGAAAATTATTGCGGCTCCCGAAATTGATATACTGTTCCGTTTTCTCTTCGTGGGTCCTCTGGGTTGGTTAGGTTAGGGCACTGTAGTGCAACAATTTCCAGACGTTGGGATCGCTTGCAAGAACGGGCTGGGTGGTAAGCCTTACCCACTAGTTTTTCCCTGTGATACGACCCCCTAATTGGTTAACAACCAGATATCTAATTACAGATGGGTGAACATAGGCGAATAATTAAGGATTGGCACCTAGTCAATCCTCACTGGCTAGGAGTCGAACCCAGGACCAAACTGCTTGCGAGGTACGGGCCCACTGGCCACCAGGAACTGCAAATGTGACTGTGGGCATGGGAAATTGAGGTTAGTGGTGAACAGATGTGTTGTAGCCTATGGGCAGCAAAGACAGGATTTGTGGTAAATATAGTACCGTGCTGGCAGGGTCAGCAGCCTAGAGCCCGAGTGAGTTGAAGGATCTAGAATGTGTTGTAACGGTCAGCAAAATGCCATGAAGTACATATGAATGGCAGGCCTTCAGTCCATTATAAATTTATTTGATCTGACCATAATCATGGGGAAAATCAGCATTTGCAACACACTTACTAAATAGATACTGTACTACAAGACTAAATTCATAACTTAATCCCTACCTTCGAAGTAACATAAGCAAAAAAAAAACAATAAAAAAAGTATGAGAAGCAGCAAATTTTGTCATAAGGAACAGTGAGAATAGCACTAATTTCTTACGCTATAAATACCATTCTGCATGCTGGTAACAGATCAGTAAATAAACGCAGTACAGAGGGAGCCACAGTAACAGCAGGAGCATCATCAATAACAACAGAAATAGAAGCAGCAGGAGACAATTTATTAAAATAATCATATGATGGAGACGATAAAGCCCCACAAAGACTTGGGGGTACTGACCTAGGGTATGGATTACCATCGGGGCCGAGGGCATCAGGGTCAGTAAGGGCGTCTCCCCACGTGTACCGTCTACCATCTTCCACCCGGCACTCGCACACCCCTACTACCACCACAACCACAACCACAACCGCTATCCACATATCTGAAAACAAATGAATACATCATCAAATATTCCCCCCCTTTCCCTAACAAACATTCAAACACTCGAAATAAGAAATAAACGAATTAAAATTATAATTTTCCGCCATACATACCTGCAACATCCAACGATATCTATTTTTTTCTGAAAATAAGGCATCAAGTTATGACATTAATTTAGAAGCCAGACATGTTTTATGTGTGTAATGGGTATACAGTGTCGAGGACTTTCAAAAAAACATTGCCTCCTTGACATCCACGAAGGCCTACCCTCGGGGGAGGCTGTCACCACACAATCACTAAAAACTACACTTCTCCAGCCCACCCTCTAAAAATTATAGTAATTATAGAAACTATTTGGTCGAACATACAAAAATGGACCGATTTGCTCCCCACAAAAAAGTTCGCGTTTTGTGCTATTGTATATAAAATTTGGAATGCTGTGAACGGAATTTTAAACATTGGATCAGTAACTATTCCACCTTATTTGACCAAGGCGTAAATAAACAATCCTAAGTATAATGTACGTTATCTGGTGTATGGTAAAACTCTTGCACGGGTGTATAGAAAACTCTTGCACAGTTGTATTGTAAAGCTCTTGCACAGATGTATGGCAAAGCTCTTGCACAGGTGTATGGCAAAGCTCTTTCACAGGTATATATTATAGCTCTTGCACAGGTGAATGGAAAAGCTCTTGCACAGGTGCATGTTTGTTAAATCACATCGTAGGAAGGTCACTTAAATTTCGAATGCATTTTCATTCAACATTAGGACTGGGGAGGGTGTAGGGTATTTTATTTATTAAGCAAGACCCTGACAAATTGGACATCTTACTGAGCACATCATACTAATAGCAATTAATAATAATTACAAAAACAAACATGTACTTAAACATATTGACGGCTGATATACACAATCCAGAAAGATTTGATCTAAATAAAGTGTCTAGCAGATGCTTCTTTTGCATGATACATGTTATCATGCAGACGATCAAAATGCTCTATGCCAAAGGTACAGGGAGAGGCTACAAGTTAAACACTCGTATTCAGTTTACAATAATATACTCGATTTAACATAATTAAAATACTTCATGCCACAGCCCTCAAATTACAGCCTTACTGTAGTGTTTCAACTAGAATCTACTTATCTTGTAACTTGGGCACAAATATGAGGCTAATTTAAATTGTTTGTAACTGGATCATCATAAATGTAAATTGTACAAAGAATACAGAGTAACGTTCCTAAACCCATTATCTTGACTAATCTCTCTGCATCACCCACTGGGTGGGTATGAGTTCCATAAATCACAAATTAAACTAAACTAAAGGCATGAAGATACATTGATTACTCCTTTTTCATTATGAATATAACTTAACATTCCTTACCCGCCTCCCGTCTCCCCCCAGCACCTCGTTTCCAAAACACCAAGTCTCTGCCCCCCTGTATCCCCGCCTCCACCCTCCCACCCAGAACATTGTTTTCTCAAGACGTCAGCTGCACGGTTGATATAAGTCTGCTTTTCCCAGGCTTGGCTGCTCACACACACTGATCCCTCACCTGTTATTTTACCTCGTGGCACTGCATTATATTCACCCGGCGGGCCTCCTGTTTGCTCCGACGGCTCCACCTGCCACTCACAAACAGGTGTGCTTCCACTCCATTTTTACCACGTGCGTACCTCGGCCGTTAATATTTCAAATGAGATTGTAAAGTGGTGTGTATGTTAGTGTGGACTGTATTATGGTGTAGATGATATTATCGACTGTGGGTTGATGATTTAATTTAGTGTGGGGGTTAAGCACGAAGCAACTAATTATGCAAATTCATTGTTCTTAATTGAAAATTTTTAATTAAAAAAAATCAGCTCATACTATGAAAAAGTCGCAACTGGAATATTGTGATTGGTTTGGTATTGGGTATTATATAAGGCCTATCACAACCTTTTGAGGGTTATACATAGTCCAGGACTGAAGTAAACTCTGTATATATATATACACAGATCTCCACAGATACTCTGTATATATATACACAGATACACCTCTCGGTGCACATATATGCAGTGTTTATTATGTTTTTTGTATACTATGCATGCACTGGTCGCCTGGCCCATGGCCGCTAGGCTACCATACATCAGTCATCAGCCTCATCACCTTCCTTCATTGTTGATTTGTTATGTATGCTCAGTAAATAACTCTTACAGTTCTATTTGTCTTGTCAAATAATTTACATTCACTGTCTTGCATATAAAATGAATTATTGTTATCGTGATTATTGTTATCGCTGAGAGTATAGCAAACACAGGGTTCGCTGAAGATTCACTTCAGGGTTCGCTGCTCCCTGCTTGACTAATGATGGACAGATATTTACAAATTAATTAACGGGACAGACAAAATAATGACCATCCTCATACCAATACCTTTGTAAGGAACAAAATAAGTAAAATCCTCCCCTTAACCACATACCATATAATGACAATGGCTTAAAAATAGGTATATAACCTCTTATATTTACAAAAAGATATAAAAAATACAACAAAAGTGGCAACCGAAATAACAAAGCAGTTGTGAGGTAAACAATAGATCTTAAAGACTTACGTGTTTATTTACGAGATCTGCACCTCTTATCTGAGGATCAGGCGGCTTTAGGTACGTTTCCTTTCATCTTATGCACTTGTTCACCTAGCAGTAAATAGGTACCTAGGAGTTAGAAACCTTTCGTTGATTGCGTCCTAGGAAAAATCAGTCGTTTGCTAAGGGGACTTTGCTTAGCATATATAGCTTCTGCCTAACAGGCCAGCCCGTTCTCCTAATTTACCACGCCTTAAAATATGCAACTTTTTGCCTAATTAGAAATGTACAAACCCTAGTAACCGGCATAACCTATCGAGGTGCATGCACAGAAAACGTCCATATTACAGAGCTTTAATTTTCACAATACGTCGCATTTTTACCGGAATAATCGATTCCGTACAAATGCGAGAACGGGTTTTCCCGCATCATTACCCTGTGCACAGCTCGTTCAAATAAACCCTCTGTTCGAACGTACCTCAAATAAGAAGGTCCGTGATGGTAATACTCAGCCAGTAGAGAACACTCATACTAGCACTCAGTAGTCAGTAAGTAAGCACACCAGTGAGGTAGCCAGACACACAGAAGACCGCTTGCCCCTCGTGTGCTACTTTCTCGACGACTCCACCCAGCGCTCTGTGGTTTATTCCCTTACAACTGGTGTACCGTACTGTGGCGAGTTAAGTTAAACTTTAAGTCATGCCCAATGTGGCATTGTGGGCCAGATTCACGAAGTACTTACACACCTGTACATCTTATCACAATCTTTGGCGGCTTTGTTTACAATTATTAAACCGTTAATGAGCTCCGAAGCACCAGGAGGCTGTTTATAACAATAATAACGGTTAATTGGGAAGTTTTTATACTTGTAAACTGTTTAATAAATGTAACCAAAGCCGTCAAAGATTGAGGAAAGATGTAAACGTTCGTAAGTATTTGCGTAACTGCTTCGTGAATCTGGCCCCTGGTGGGTAAGAAAGTGCCAGTGTGCATCCCTTCTGGCCCCGCTTGCTTGGGAACGCTTTCGACTAAAGACAAGTGGTGTGTTCAACGTGTTTGTGACATTAGTTTTAGTGGAAGTTGTGCATTTAAAAACGAAAACTATCTGTAAAGTGCCCAGAGACACTGGAAAATGGTCGCTTTATTACAGAACCCTTGATGTGTTTAGCCATCGATTGAGTTTTGGTAACTTAATTCAGATTAATATATAATAATAATAATAATAATAATAATAATAATAATAATAATAATAATAATAATAATAATATTAATAATAATATTATTAATAATATTATTAATAATAATAAAAATATATATATTATTATTATTATTATTATTATTATTATAATTATTATATACGTTTAGTAAAAACAGCGACATTCCAGTTGTAACAGTATGGAGACGAGTTAAAATACAGTGGTGTTAGTACTGAGGAATGTATAGTGCTGAGGGAGGAGAGGATGGTGTCAATACTGAGGAATGTATAGTGCTGAGGGAGGAGAGGATGGTGTCAATACTGAGGAATGTATAGTGCTGAGGGAGGAGAGGATAGTGTCAATACCGAGGAATGTATAATGCTGAGGGAGGAGAGGGTGGTGTCAATACTGAGGAATGTATAGTGCTGAGGGAGCTAGGAGAGGGTGGTGTCAATACTGAGGAATGTATAGTGCTGAGGGAGGAGAGGGTGGTGTCAATACTGAGGAATATATAATGCTGAGGAGAGTGGTGTTGTCACAGAGTAAACAGAGAACAATGAACTCGCTTCCATCATTACAAGACTATAAATATACACTCGGGAAGCCTGTTTCGTCTGCAAACAATCCTAGTTTAACGTCTCAATGCCAGGAGAATCGTACTGGGAAAATCTTAACAAGGCTTATGAGTGTTCAAGTTCAAGTAAGTTTATTGAGACAATCAAATACATCTCAATGCGATAGAATGGTTTAGGCTATTTCTATCCTTCGGGCTCTTGGGGACTAACATCCATCATGTAAGCCACATTTCGCCTCATAAAAGTACAGTATACAACAACACACAGCAATAACTTCAATAATAATATTAATAATGAACATAAAAGTATATGCGAATTAATTTAAATAATCTTCGCAAACGCAAACGTTACCAACTTTGCATAAAATTATTTTGATTACACATTGTGCGAGATTACTGAACAGTGGTAAATGTACCTTCAGTTGCTTTAAAACCCGATGGAAAGATGATCCATCTATGCCACCACCCGTTATCTCGATGTGCCACTTCGTAAAAAATGCAACTGTTTAGTCTAGCCAGAACCGTTACGAACCCAAGCAACCCACCAAACCTATCGAGGCCGATGGATAGAAAACAAGAGTAAATAGTGTGGAGCTTTAATTTGTAATAATACATCGCAAGTTTAACGGATTAGTCGATTCCGTACACAAATGCGACGTATTAGATGAGAGGCCGGGTTGCTAAGAGATACGCCAGGGTATAAACGCCATTTCCCCCGCGCCTAACCCTAGGTTAGGGTTAACCTAGGGTTAGGTTAATAACCCTAATATATACATATATATACCCTTGTGTGTATATCACGAAAATAAACACGTGATTAAGAATGTGACAATGTCAGACCACGGAGGAAAATGAAACAGGAATTTCCTTAAGTACTTTCGTATATTAAATACATCTTCAGAAGGAATGAAGATGTATTTAATATACATCTTCATAATACACCTTCTGAAGATGTATTTAATATACGAAAGTACTTAAGGAAATTCCTGTTTCATTTTCCTCCGTGGTCTGACATTGTCATATATATACCCTTGTATACATATACAAGAACAACTTTCAGGAATCTTGTAATCATTTACATTTACATATAATCATTTACATATATACTACTTGTATGGCCAGAACTAACGTATGTGGCATAGACATGGAACCCACACCTTGTGAAGTGGAAAATATAGAAGTGAGAAAGTGCAGAGATTCTCCGCCATGTCCCAGAACAAAGAGAAAGCTGGGACATAATTGTACGCTGAGGTAACTCAACTTCAAACCTCCAGAGAAAGACTATCATCACGCTAAATAATCCCCAACACACATGGACCGTCTTAATACACGTGCAACTTGAACGAGAAGATAGATGTAACCAGAACGAGAGGATGTAAACAGAAGTAGAAGATAGATGTAACCAGAACGAGAAAACAGTGTAAACAACGAAAAGACAGGAAAAAATTGGAATCAGGAAATGTTCAGCGAGTGAAGTCAGTGGAGATAGAGACCAAATCCATTCACTGCTTCATAACTATAGTTATGAAGTGACACAAAAGGGACAGGTGTCGTCGACCAAGACGACCGATAGCCCAAAGGAACTAGAGCTTGAACTCATTCCCTACCAACAACATTTGGTAAGACAATCCAGATATGAAAACAACAAACGCAATTAATCAACGACAAATTTAAGAAGAGTACACAATTCACTTTCCCAGGGCCATAGGCTAGCTAGTACACGCCTGCTAGCAGTGGAGACCACGGCACGCATAATTTGTTAGTTTGTAACTAGGTCAAGGTATACCTTGTGGGAGCCTATTGATGACGCTGCAGCTTTGCCCCGTCATCTAGTGGAGGTGGAGGGAGTTATATTACATGTACTCCGCCACCTCTAAGGAAAGTTTGCCTCTGTACTGCTCGCTAAATTTCACATTTGTTTCCGGGGAAGTGCTGGCGATCCTGGTGGAAACCATCAATGTATTTCTAGCGGTTTATAAGTATAACTGGGCTTTACCATTAAGTCTACTGGTCAGTAACGACAGAATACCCTTGGTGGCATTATTTCATTCTAGCTGGACTGCCATGTCCTTACTTCGCCCCAAAAAAACACTTTTATGTTATTATTTCTATAGTTACTTGGTGCATAAACAATGACACTCGCCACCTATTGTTACGGGCTCGCTATAGCCTGTGCTACATGGAAATTTTGTTCAGAGTAACTGAATCTAAAACAACAACAGCCACCTTTTGATTTTCCAAATTTTAATTTTTCTCGCAAACACTTGAAAAGTAAAATAAGTGAAGTTATTTAATGCTCCGTTCAACTCGCCCTTTATTCACAACAGGCATATTCCTTCCTTATTTATCTCATTCTGTTCACTCCTCTCCAAACTCCGCTCTATGTGGCTTGGCTGCGCCGTAGAACAACGGTCTCACTTCATGCGGGTTGGCGTTCAATCCCCAAATGTCCAAGTGGTTGGGCACCATTCCTTCCCCCCCCCCCATCCCCAATCTTTATCCTGACCCCTTCCTAGTGCTATATTGTCATAATGACTTGGCGCTTTCTCTTGATAGTTACCTTACTTCCTCTCCTAATATATATATATATATATATATATATATATATATATATATATATATATATATATATATATATATATATATATATATATATATATATATATATTAATTTCACTTTTATTTCCACTTCCTTTATCTTGTCTGGAATAATCCTACAACATCGAGCTTTCCTTCTTTAAAAACCTTTGCCACTAAAGACTTTCGTTCCCTGTGTATTCCTCTCGCTTTCCTCACAGCCATACGAACCTGCCATTGCTTGCTAGGGTCGGTCACGTGCTTGCTGGGGTCGGTCACGTTCTTGCTGGGGCCGGGCACGTGCTTGCTGGGGACAGGCACGTGTTGGCCTGGAAAGGGGCAAATGCGGTTTAACGTTGAGAAATTTAAATTTCTTAACCTGGGGAAAGAAACTATTCTGTCTACGGCATTAATAATACACATCAAATTGTCAGACTTGAGAGTGAGTGGTTAGAGCAACGCCTCGAGGCCAGGAGAATAATACATCACTGCACGGAATAAAGTCAGAATGGAGTTGTGATTTATAATATGAAGCGTTAGCTTAGTCACTTATTATGTACCCCATCCCGTGGGCGGTGGTGGAGAGGGTTACAGCGGCACATAATAGGTTCAGGAACTATCATGGGTTGAGGCTACCAGCTAGCATTACTGAGACAAAGAATACACCAGGTAACAAGAAGATATTGAGGTAAGTATACAGGTGAGAGGTGGTTGGGGGGGGAGGGGAACTGTCAGGAGAAAGCGCCAAGCCATTACAACTATATAGCACTGGGAAAGGGTCAGGATAAGGATTTGGGATGGGACGGGGGGAAAAGGAATGGTGCCTAACCACTTGGACGGTCGGGGATTGAACGCCGACCTGCATGAAGCGAGACCGTCGCTCTACCGTCCAGCTCAAATGGTTGGACAGTGGTGGATGTTAACAGGACCTGCCAAGCATGGACGGTGCTCCATAATTCTTACATTCTATGGTCTTATATAGTTCACAAAAGCAGCTGATGTATTTACTGATATAAAAACACCTCCCGGGTGTGGTAATTGTATTTTTATTATTGCGATAATGGTTGTATAGCATATGGAGGAGGCGCGCCTGAGACAATCTTGCGTAAGAAGCCTAGTAAGAGGAAACTTACGGCAGCCAGAGAAACCACAGATGTGAGAAATTACCCTGGAAGTAAATTACCGGGGGGGAGGGGGGGTGAACCGTTGTGTGGACGTCCCGTGACCATAGTCACAGCAAGGAGTACAGTGAACAAATCCCCAAGAGCCGTGACGAGGATTCGAACCTACGTCCGAGAGCTTCCTAGACGCTGCCTTAATTTGATTTGTTCATTTGATACATCACGCTATTGTGATTTCTGTGTGTAAGGAGTACAGAATTTACCCCACCGGCCAGTGGGCACAGGTACAACTAATAATAACCAGTAGGGAGTGTGAAGAACATCACGTCTATTAAATAATAACAATAATAATGTTCTAATCATTAAATATCGTGTTCCGGATGCAGAAATGTTTCTCCTAACTCCTGGGTCCTGGTGTACCTATATTTTTTGTCTGACGTGACTCCCAAATCCCACTGGTTTTGTCGTTTTTACATTTGCATACTTGTATGGTGCTTGCCTCCACTACTCTCATACTCTTGCTAGCGTGACAACCGCTCTCACAATACCAGTACCAGGCATGGACTACCATCACCAGTACCTGGCACGACGACCCGCTCTCACTTTCGCCCGCTTCATCACCCTAGCGATACCAGAGCACCATTGGTACCCAGACCGTAGTTATGTGAGGGAGAAAGTCAGGGAGAGGTGTGGGAGGAAGGAAGGTACCCGGATGGTCAACAGGATGCGACAAAGCTCGCCATAACATTACTATGATCACGTGACGTACCACCGTCGAGTGCTGGTACGTCAAGTCACTTGACGCAAATGGTAAGGTACGTCACCTGACGTAAATGTGTACCAGGGAACACATATCTTAACAATGCAACATGTGTGCTTTACTGTAGTACTTTAGCTTAACACTCAAGACGTATATTTTCCTAAACTGAAGAACAATATCCAAACGTAGATAAGAATTATGGTTGCGCTGAATTTGGACACATCTATTGTCCATGGTCTTATTTATAAGGCAATGAGTCTAAGAACTGATTGGGTTGTTAGTTAAATTAGGCATAGTTTCTCACTGTCAGGGACAGGAAGCCTCTTCCAGCTCTTCTGATGCCAACGGCTGGCCACTACAGGATGCAACCCACAATAATCACCTAACTCCTGGGGGTTCCTATTTACCCCTAGGTGAAGAGAAGCATCGGCTGTCAGGAAACTTGCCCAAACGTCTGGCACTGCCCGAGAATCGGACCTAGAGCCAATTGGTTGTGTGCTGAGAGGGCCACACAGAGGTCACGCTGAGGCTGGGTTGCATGGTAGTGAGCACAGCAGTACTGTGCGGGCCGGAACATGGTCATCACTTGGTAGACTGCCTCAGTAACGGCTGTCATGCTCTTCTTCACCCTCAGATCTTACACTCTGGTTACTCCCAAGTCTCAGCGTTCTCCACGTCCTGGGATGGCTTAGTGTTCTTCACGCAATATATTTTTGTTTTACCCTCAATAACAATTATTTTCATGCGGAATTTGGGTCCAGAGATACGGGTTTGGTCATTTTATATGACCTCGATATCTTCTCTCTCTCCTAATCCGCGTGAGGGAGGAAGGAGGGCGCTTGAGGAGAGTGGGCTGGACGAGGCCCGTCAACTGCTGGTGTGTAGGCGGGGTACTGGTCCTTTTAAGTACATTCCTCGCCCGGGATCCTCACGAAGTTATTCCTTCCTTTCTTCTCCCGCCACCCCTATTCCTCCTTCGCCTTCACACACACACACACACACACACACACACACACACACACACACACACACACACACACACACACACACACAGTACACCAGTACACCAGTACACACACAGTACACCAGTTGATTGACGGTTGAGAGGCGGGACCAAAGAGCCAGAGCTCAACCCCCGCAAGCACAATTAGGTGAGTACACACACACACACACACACACACACTGCTAAGACAGGCATTGTTATGCAATAACAAACCAAAGTTAAGTAAAGAAAACAGATGCACTCATTGTCCTGTAAGGCTTCCTGACATTACCTCTGACCATGACCTCAACTGATCCTTCACCACCTTACCTTCCCACCTGCCTACCCTCCCACCTCCCCTAACGGCTCACACAAATATTAGTCATACTCATTACTCGTTAGTGACGCCTCAGATCTTCCGGTCTTTACAAAATAACTCCAGTGCCCTTCCGCTCTACGGGCCGCCACACGGGCCGCTGCCACACACGGGCCGCCACACACACGGTCCGCTGCTTAACCCGGGTGGTTTGCAAACATTAATTTGGCAATTTTCTTCGTTCCACTAAGGTACCATCAAAATAACTGTTACTGGCTGACTGTGTATTGTGAATGACGTAGATGGTACACAGTAAGGGAAACAATTCGTAATGTTTACTTCTGTCTGTGAAGGGAACTGAAATAAGTCTTGCTAGCGAAGATACGCTGAAGACAATATAGAGAAACAACACTGCGAGCTATGGCTGGTGTTCAGAGCTCGACCCCGCTCAGGAGGCAAAGTTGTATTTAGGGTATAAGTACGTCCCCACCCGCTTGTCGTAGCTCAACTGGTTCACAAATAACCAGACATTTGAAGGAAATAGACCTTCCCGCCACGCTGGGTCTGCGGTGGTGACCGGACGATGGGTCTCCGGACCATGGTTTTCCGGACCATGGGTCTCCGGACCATGGGTCTCCTGGTCTATGGTTTATTGTAAACACTTCCGTTCCGTTCCCTGTCGGTATCATACATGTCTCCTCTCGTATTATAACAATAACGTAATCCTCTGATACGTTAAGGTACAACTTAGGTTGTTTCCTTAACAAATGGAGTTCCATTTAGAAACCATAACCCAATATTTCCCCTCATACTAAAGTCTTTTATGAGACTTTAATATAGCACTTCATGTAAAGACGATCCCAGACGTAACAAACACAGACGTTGGCCAACAGTGTGCTTCTCTGTGAACATTAATTGTTCTTAAGGATGAGTTTTTTTTTTAAATCAAGATAACCACGTTTCCTTGAAAAATTGACAATAGTTAGCAGCTGTCGGCGTGCGAAAAGACAACTAACCAAACAGACATCCCTACGGATGTTGCTCATTTAGTCAACAAACAGATTTTTCAAGAGCAAAAAAAGATAAACTACCTCGTCAATAACCAGAGGGTCAGCGGCCCGTGAGGAACTCGCCCAACCGTACCATATTTACATTGCTCTGCTGTCTTGAACACACTTCTGCCGGCACAAAATATTTCCACGTATCCTGTGTCAACACCGAGAGACCGCAGGACCACAATGTTTACAGCGGCGCTCGCTGGCAACGCCAGAGTAATTGTAATAATATTTGTCTTATCCTAAACCAGTGGCAATCAGGCCAATAGCCGATATAACGACATACTTCCAAAATATTAGATAACCGATATTCTAATTCGTCTGTTTATTAAAAATATTTTTAATTTATGTTTTTCTCCGCCGTGCAGCACAGTTCGTTCCGGTGAGTTCATTGACTGAAGCCACGGCCAGCACGGCGCCCAGACCGTGACGCTCATCCCTGCTGAGAGAGGTTAGAAGGCCTGACCCTGACAAGGTGACCTGGGAGCCCTGACAGGGTGGTCTGGGGGCCCTGACACGGTGGTCTGGGGGCCCTGACACGGTGGTCTGGGGGCCCTGACACGGTGGTCTGGGGGACCCTGACACGGTGATCTATCCGATAGCGTTTCTAGAAACTTGGTGTGTGTGTGTGTGTGTTTATGAGACGAATTGCCTGTGTGATGAGCTCTTGTCTAAGGAGTGGTAGTGGACCCCATACCCATCCTGTGAGTGGTAGTGGACCCCATACCCATCCTGTGAGTGGTAGTGGACCCCATACCCATCCTGTGAGTGGCAGTGGAAAAGGTTACACACGCACACACACACACACACACACACACACACACACACACACACACACACACACACACACACACACACACACACACACACACACACACACACAAGGCTCACGAACTGAACCCCAATATTCAGTTTAGCCAAGCAAGTACAAGTTAAATAAACAGGTTGCCAGCTTCGGCCTAACTGCATTGTTTGACAGGCTAACTATACAACCCGTCCTGGCGTGCGTTCCCAGTTAGACCCAGTGTTATAACTGATATGAGTGGGGCTGTTCTGTTATCTGAAAACAGCGTTTAAATGAATCTTGTAAAAGTT